TCAGTAGAGGACTGTGGCCTCCCAGATCCCCAGATCTCAGTATTTCTGATTATTATCTTTGGGGCAACCTGAAGCAAAAAGTCTACAAAAATAATCCCCGCAGCATTGATAGTCTTCAAAATGAAATTACACGCGTAATTCATTCAATTACCGTCGACGAACTGCAGAGAGTGTCGCGTAATTTATTTGTGAGATGCGCGGCATGTTTGCAAGCAGAAGGAGGTCACTTTCAGCACCTGTTATAAACCACGGTAAGTTATCTTTTTACTGTATTCTTATAAATGTGTGCATGTAGAGCAACTGATGGACGGAGACTTAGCGACACCACTACACTCACGCTATCGGGGAACGGCACTGCAGTCGCGGGGAGGAGTTGCATCTGTTCTGCGGTGGTATGACTCACGGCAAATTGCAGCCGCGGCGCGCACTTGATTGTACGCACTGTATTATTGTATGTTGTAAGGTCTGCACATAATCTAGAGAACATGAGAAGATAGTAACATTGCAATTTATATTCTATTTTTAGATCGGCTGTGACCATAGTGTTAGCCTTGCAAAAGTCTGTCATGATCGTGGGTTTGAAGTGTTCAATTGCAATTGCTTGTCATTGCCACTGAAATCTGGAATTGCTGATGGATGTCTCAGTATTGCAGTTATTCATCATCTTGCCACTAAGGTAAATTTAGCGTAAATGAAAGTCTTTCTGTTGTCACTATGGATTAGGCAACTTCATGCCTGAACCAACCTCAAAATCCTCTTTCCACCATCTCTTTGGTTTTTCTGTTAGTCTTCACCCTGTACGTTTATAATTCCATAATATGAGCGAGTGAGTAAATAGGTCACAAATGAATGTAAAATGTAAAATGTGATATTCAAACCTGGAGAAACATTTATTTCTTGACATATCCTCCACCAACATTTATATATTTGTTCCATTGCCTTATGAGTGCGAAGAAACCCGCAGCATAGAAGTCTTTCAACTGTTGTCTCAGCCACTTTGCACCTCTGTTTCAACCTCTTTGTCATCAGAGAAATGTTTGCCACATCGGTGATTTTTTAGCAGACCAAACAGACAGAAGTCACTAGGGGCCAAGTCTGGGCTGTAAGGTGGATGTTCAAGAAGTTCTCACTGCAGTTCTTGAAATATTTCCTGGGTTGCTCAGGCTTTATGGGGTCTGGCCTTGTCATAACAAAGCAGTACCCCTGTTGCCAGTTGGCCTGGACATTTTCTGCGAATTGCAACTGAAGCTTCAATAGAACTTCACCGTATGATGCAGAATTTAAATTTTCACCACACTTCTGAAAATGGCCTAACAGTACTCGTGAGAATCTGAAAACACAGTGGGGTGGGACTAAGTCCCTTGTACTGTGGCCACTTCTGGCCTATTGCACCAGCTCCAGATGATAGGTGAGGGTGATTGTGGAGGAATTGGTGGAATGAAGATTGGCAGGGGAAACCGAAGTACTCGGAGAAAACCTGCCCCAGTGCCACTTTGTCCACAACAAATCCCATTTAACCAGACCCAGGATTGAATCCGGGCTGCTGTGGTGGGAAGCCAGCGACTAACTGCTTGAGCTATGGCGCGGCCCAACTTCATCTGTGTTTTCTGTGATATGCATCCGTCTGTTAATACTGAATTTAAATGCACTGCTTATTCTAAACTGTCATAATTATGATTTGAAACCTACCATTATCAATTTTTGGGTTTGACTTAGAGTCAGCCTTGCAGATTTATACAGAGTTCTCTATTAATTTCAGGAACGGAGATTGCAAGCAGTGGAAGAAATGGTGAGAATTCTACAGCCGGGTGGAAAAGCCCTTATCTATGTGTGGGCTAAAGATCAACAGAGGCATAACACACAATCTAGCTACCTAAAACAGGATAGAAAAAACAGAAAGAAGGATTGTGATGGTGAATTAAAATGTGTGCCACAACACGCTGATGGCAGTAAATCCAGAAACACAATTTTAAACAAGGTTTCAAGTCAATTCCCATCACTCCCAGTTCATACAAACAGAACACAATTCCAGCATCAAGATCTTCTAGTGCCATGGAAACGAAAGCCAGGACAGAAAATTGAACTTGATAACAAGACAGAAGGCGCATTATGTCTTGAAAACAGTTCCCAGGAACTGCCTACATTTTACAGATATTACCATGTGTTTGAGGAGGGGGAGCTGGAACTTCTGTGTAGCTGTGTGAAAGATTCCAAAGTTGTCCAAAGTTATTATGACCAAGGAAACTGGTGTATTGTTCTTGAGAGAGTGTAAACACTGTTTTAATACACTTGGAGATGAGTCATGAACAGATGCAAGAAACCAACTTAGTGCTTAACAGTGTCCACTTCCTTATACAATGAAACTCGCATTTACAGTACCATCTTTTTGAATCTTAGTTTTAAACAGACATAATTCTTTTTGTAATTAAAATATACAGATTAAAGTTTTATCATCATTTGAGGTATCACACTGAATAACCATGTAAAGGATACAAACGAGTGATGTGACAAACATCAACCTTTTCACACAGGGTCTTGTTCAAAGAAGTTTAGCAGATTTTGCAAGTCATATTTATCTAATACTTCCAGCAGCTGTGGAATTTTCCCTTTCACATTAATTCCTTTGAATTTGTGTCTGTCAATGTACAAATCTGTAATCATGCCTAAAAAACAGAGAACAAGTTATTTTATTAGCTCTTATGACTACGTTTGAAATTATTTCAATGTCAATTCCCTCTATTTTATGGTTTTCCTTCACTCAGCATTCAAGTAAGTTGTCCAGACAAAATAAATATGGAAAGGTGAAATATTTAACAAGGGATCTGTTTTTCAATTGAAGTGTTTTGTACTCAAAACTATGCTTCATTTACAGTGACTGTGTTAACAAACATTAATGCATGCCAGGCAGGTAATCATAAAATTATTTCCATACGTGCAGTTTATGCAATGTCTGTTTCCTACATCAAAACAACAGGCAACCTTGAAATCAGTAAATCTATGCATATAATAATACAGTTTCAAGAGTTTTAATGTCATAAGGGTAGTGACTGGTAGTTACTTTCGATAATGGTTATTCAGTATTTTGCAGCTCTTTGGCGACAACAGTTGGTTCACTGCAAATAGTCTTCCATTTATTGCATCCAACATCATGTCTGTGTTTATAACCACCGCACAGAAATTGGGAAAAATGTAGAACTGTGACAGTAAATATGTTTACTTCATTATTGTTTTTCTGTCTCAACAAAACAACTATCAAAATGTAGTTCATATTCATGGTGTACAAAGAGTTTATTGGTCCTAATGGTTTTGGGACCCAACCTCCTCTCCAGTGGGTATGGGGGGCTCTTTCCATGAGTGTAAAGCAACCAGGGCATGAAGCTGACCACACACCTCCACCAACTGCTGATATTGAGAATGGTGGAGGTATACCTCCACTCCCCATATATCTTCATGGCGTGGTGCTTAAGTAAGCACAAATACAATCTGATTTTACAGATTCCATTGCTTATGGTATACCTCCATTCCTATATGAGACCAGTACAGTTGCAAATTGTTTCAAACTGTTAATGAAACTGATTTACGTGGTATGCCTAAGCTTAATGAAATCTTTACTGTGAAAGCCCTTAGAGATAAATACAAAATAATAAATTACCATATAAGCGATCTAGGTGTGCAGGTTGTCGCTTGTACTGGGCCAACAGTTCCTTCTCATTTTTCAAAATATGTCTGTATTCTGGCAAAAGACATTCCAGTGATTCTGCATCATGAGTGTCCAGTTCTCGAAGTGCCTCCAGAAGTGCCACTTGTTTTGAGAGTTTCAACTGTGCTTCCAGCTTTGGATGTAGCAAATGTAGAGTGTGTACCACGCTTTCATCATTCACTGCTGTTATTCATATTAATATTTAAAATTATGTTTCCCAGTTATTCTATTCATATATGCCTTTAAATGTGATATAAAAAATTTGCCACATCACTGAAATGGGGTTTTTATGTGTTCATAACTTAAATTAATAGATTCAGTCCACAGTATATCATCACAATCATTATAGTTGTCATGACTATATAATTTTAAGACTGATAAGAATTTCATATAATTTTTCATTTCCTTTGTATCATCATGTGTAAACTTGTGTCAGTAGCAGACTTTGTTTTAATTTCATAACCAGAAAATTCAAATAGTGTGCAACATAATAGCATGTGATACGTGTACTAAAATCAAGCACTACCACCATTTAAAAAGAATACTTCATTTGATTCACTTACATTTATAAATTTTACACTCTAACCCACCAATTATAACAAGAACAGAAACTTAGTACTTACCACAAAAAATTTCCAGTTTTATTTTCTTCTTTGTGGCTTCTTTAGTTAAAATATCTTTTAGAATTGAGATAGTAGAAATATTATCTGACTGGAACTCTGCTTCCCCCTTCCTAGAACAAAATTATCTGCTTCACAAATACATCTTATATGAATGATCAGTTGCTTACATATTAAATACTATACAATTTCAAATTAGTAATTTTTATTTAATTACCTTTTTAGGTAAAACTGATGTGAGCAGCTAATTAAGGCACATTAAATTTCCCCTTCGTACTTCCACTCATATCCTTCAATAAGACACAAATTCATGTACATATGCTAGATGTTACATGAACTGGACAACATAGGCGTTTGAAGGAGTTTGGTAAGGGAATTTTCCTTTCTGAAATGTACCTTCCCATCTTATCCTTTTAAGTACATGGATCCCTTGTCATCTGTGATATTACTTTAAATCATTTTGTTACAACAATTTCATTTATAAAATCAGTGTTTGATGCAGGAAATTTGCAGAATCTATCTCCAATGATGTTTTATTACATCTTCTTAATTCTGTGCAATCCACAGCTTATAACTGATCATATGAGTGAACATGGGAGTAGTGAGAGCAGGGTACTGACAGCAAAATGCAAAAGCAATCTGTTACCACTGAGGAGAAATTAAATGTGATTTAAATGGTGTGAACATAATAAATGCATAGTTAACATAGCCAATGCAATGGGAATTATTGAATCAAAATAAAAATATCGGTATGAAAACATGTGAGATTATGGGCATAGCTCAAGTGGTTAGTTGCTGGCTTCCCACCGCGGCAACCAGGGTTCAATCCCGGGTCTGGTCAAGTGGCACTGGGGCAGGTTTTCTCCAAGTACTTCAGTTTCCCCTGCCAACCTTCATTCCACCAATTGCTCCACAGTCACCCTCACCTATCATCTGGGGCTGGTACAATAGGCCAGAAGTGGCCGCAGTACAAGGGACTTAGTCCCACCCCACTAGCAATAAAAAAAAATGGGCAACCAGATTTTCTAAAGTATTAGCAGATTTTAAGTTGTATTTATGGAGCATTGGGTGCATGAAAATATGGTACATACCAGTAAGAGCAATGTAGCATCGTGTCAAGGAATGTGGAGACAAAAGTGAATGTGACTTTGTCCCCAGTAGGAGCCTTCTCGGGTATCTCAGGTAGGCAGAAGGACACCCATGTATGTATCTCTCCAAGACTGAATGCCCCCTTCAGTGTGAGTATATTATATGGCCTGTAATATGCATAATGAATGTCACTACAGATACAACACAGAATTCAACTCTACATATATACATTAAAACTCCTGGAGTAGCCATATTCTTCATGTGCTATTATCCAACGAGGATTAAATTCCAGAAATCATGCCCCTAGTTGATGTTTTTGGAAATGTGGTGAAGAAAACTACAAAAAAATATCAGAATATCTTAGTAAACTGGTCACCATTTGAACTGGGAATATTGTGATATACTGATCAGATGGATATGATGTGGCTTGCTTCATTATCTCAATTTACCTACCATTTTAATGAATAATGTGTCAGTGACCAGAAAACAAGTCTTTATTTACCATACAACACTTTGTAACTTTATTCTACGAATTCTCCCTCTACTGAGGCCATATAGATAACCAAGTAAGTTAGTTCAGTGACATATCTAACTTGCATATTAGAGGTATCCAGGTTAGGTCTGGATATTGTGGCCAAGCCTTTTCATGCTATTGCTCAGTCCCTGTAGATGTGTACTAGACAGAACCTAAAATAGGCTGACTGCTTACTAACACATCCATTTCACTATAATACTGACATTCATCATGTAACCTGGGGACAATGATGTAGCAGTAACACTCCATCTAGATCTGTATTTGGGATCTTGGTGTGTGCTATCAAGGTTACTTCTTGTGAATGACCATCTACAGTTATCACAGAAAATTCTGTTCACTGTGTCTGCTAATGATATTTAACAGAATTTGCTGTAATAAGCATAGATGGTTGTCCACAAATGACCTTGTATCTGGGAGGCACCCATTTAAAATGTTTATTGCATTATTGGTTATCCTGACTGAACAGTTTCATGGCTTTACTAAGTGTGTTCAGGCAGATGCCAGCATGGTACTATGACCTTCTCCTTCCTATGCCTTTGTGACTGACTTTTCATTTCATTCACTGCTATATAACCTCAAAAACTGTATCAGTATTGCTAAACAATGTATCAGTCATCCTATCACATCTCATTTGATCCCACATAATTCGGTAGTTCATGAATCACATAACCAAATATATGAAATTCAGATTCTCACCAATGGAGGAAAAGTTTTCATTTCATGACAGCAATATGAGGGCTATTAGGAAAGTAAACTCTGTTTATTCAGGCAACTAATGTAGGAATGGGAGAGAGCTTGCACATGCAAGGTAGCATCATGACTTATTGTCTTGTAAACCAACACATTACTGGTCACATAATGTTTGTTCTTGTCTTTACAGAGTGTGTCCTGTGATTGATAATCCTGTCAGCTGCAAAATTCATGCCGTTATCCATTTTCTTCATGGTAAAAACATTTGTACTGCAGAAATCCATCGTGAATCATGTGTGGTTTAACGCCAAAATTTAATGAGTGAAGGAACTGTAAGACAATGGTGTGGAATGTTCAAAGTTGAGAGAGCAAATATTCACAATGAAGAGCCAAGTGGTCGGCCATCTGTAGTTAGTGGTGATCTTGTTCAAAGTGTTGACCAAAAGATTTGTGAGAGATGGCGCTTCACAATTTCAGAATTTTTGTGAGAATTTCCACAAATTTCATGCACTGTTCTCTACAGAATTACCATAGTTACATTAGGCAAGATGGGTTCTGAAAATGCTCATGGGTGCACACAAAATGCAGAGAATGGCTTTAACTTTTGTATACTCGTACATGTTTAGAGCGACACCACAAAGCTGGTGATGAATTTCTCAGTCACATTGTATGAGTAACAAGTGATGAAACCTGGGTTTCATTTGTGAATGCTAAAACCAAAGAGCAGTCAAATCAGTGCATGCACACACATTCACGAAACAAGCTGAAAAAGTTTAAACAGATGTTGTCTGCCAGAAAGCGGATGGCAATTGTTTTCTGGGACAGGAAAGGAGAACTGATGGTGAAATTCCTGCAACAAGGGACCATTATAATGTCTGGAGTGTCCTGCAAAACACTAGAAATACTGCATAGGGCCATTCAGAACAAAAGGCGTGGAATGATGACATCCGATGGAGCGCTCCTGTATGACAATGTCTGTCTGCATACAGCTGCTCGCATTCAAGAACTGCTGGAGCATTTCAACTGGAAGTTGTTTGACCACCCTCCTTACAGCCCTGATCTCGCTCTGAGCGACTATCAGCTGTTTACTTACCTGCAGAACTGGTTGGGATCACAGCATTTCAATAATAATGAGGAGTTGATGGAAAGTAACAAAAAGTGGCTGAGCTTCACAGGTAGCAGACTTCTTTGACATAGGGATACAAAAACTTGTTCCCTGATATGATAAATGCCTCAGTTCCAGTGGTGACTATGTTGAGAAGTAGCTTAAGTATGTACATATTTTTTGTACATAATAANCTGCTTTCTTCATAGTCACTGCCATGAAAGCCTCAAATCTTACATAATAAGATTTGTTTTCCTCATTGCTTGTTTTGTTAACAGCTCACTGGAGGTTTCTCTCCAAATAGCCCTCGTACATATGATTACATGGATAACTCTCCCATATTTTACAAACATACCCATTTATAGACACAGATTCAATATGCATTACATTCCTAATACTACCTGTGACTCCTTGTTTAAAGAACTGACCGTACTGTATTTATTCTTCATTTTAATTTCAATCCTACATCATGTCATTTAAATTCATTCTGGTCCTACTGAGCCAGTTAATTTAAACATCTCTTCTTACACTTTAATACAATATACATGGCAGGGGACATTCAATGTTACTGTTTTTTTAGGACAGGCATGGAAAAAGAATTACACTATCCGGAAGATAGTTGAACTGTAAAACTTACCGCTGTGGGTCAAAGGAATGACAACGCATATGAAGAGACAAAGGTTTTATCTTATACTGTTGCAACTGACAGCACTTGGGTTGAATCAAAGGTGTGACATATGTCCGTAGAGTTCCATGCTGCCCTTCAATTGTACGCAGCTTCAGTTCAAGTCTGGTTGTATTCATTTGGCAGCGGTACGTTGCCAGCAAGTAGTTACCACTCTGCATGTAAAGCAATCACAGAAAACACAAGCTGAGGTCTCCATGTTTTCATTCTCATTTTTTAAGACTTAACTTTTCCTGAAGATGGAAATATTGCCAAACAAATTGAACCATGGCAGGCAGATGTCACAGAAAATTGTAACATAAATTTAACATTAATTGTTTTTATAAACTACAAAAAGACTAATAAATCACATAAGTTGTCAAATACTTGGAAACTTTATAAACTCTGCCATCTCATCTCACCATTACCTGTTTCCCGCGTTTTTCTCTGCATCATCCACATGATAATCCAAAAGGAGCAGAAGATGTCATTTAATGCTTTCAAAGCTATGAGTGAGACATCTCACTCAGAAACACTGTATCACTACTTTTTAATATTTTGAATATATATTAAGTATCCTGCTTACCCCTGGTTCACATGCACTGTAGCTTACAACTGCTGAATTTCTCTCCACATCCAGCAAGTCCACAGGAACATCACTTTGGATAAGTACATTGTCTATAGCTGTCTGCACTTCCAGTATTAGTGAATATGAAGCATCATCTTGACAGAGAGTCATCTGTCAGCAAGTAATCCAATTATAAATAACAACGCACGAATTGAGAAAAAATGTGCCTACAATATCCAAGAGAATGAAGCAGAATCCCATTACATGTTCCTCTGGAGATGACAGATTTAACCATTGAACTCTAGGAAACCTCAAATGGTAGATGCTCAATGCTGAGATAATGCGTCTAACACTAGAGAAATATTGAATAAAGGAAAGCCTTATAAAAGAGGAGAGGGGGACTCCATTTTAATGTCTCATTAACATACATCAGAAGTCAGTATGCATACATAACATAAATAAATGCAGTTACCTGTAGTGAAAATCAAAATCAGAGTTTTTAAAAATTTTGCAGGTTTGACATATGAGATCTGAGGTTCTCAGAGAGGTTAAACTCAAGATTATGGTTTCCTTGGGTGTGACATCATGCTGTCACAGACATAGAGCTGTGACATAGAGCTGCCGCTGTCTTTCTACCTTGATAATGGAGGCAGCAGGTTCCTCTGAAACACTGGTACCTATCTACCAAACTACATAGTGTCACAATTCAGGAGACTGTAATCTTAGTAACATAACAAATTTTGGCAAGGATGCAACATATGCTTATATTTTCTTAAAACGTTGGAGACTTAAATAGAGAATTTCTACAACAAAGACCAAAACCATGACAAAAAGTAAAAAGGCACTATTCTCTAAGCTGGAATTTAAAAATAAAATTACAGAACAAATGATAAGTTTCAAATCTGTGAGAGTTGAAATAACAAGCAATGGAGCCTTAAAAACAAAATTCAAACAAGAGGCAAACAAAGCAACCAGAATATCCAGGTGCTTAAATGATACTAAACAGAGAACAAAAGGTAAGAATATATGTGTTATCAGGCCATACTGAGCCATGCAGCTGAAACAAGAGCAGATACCACAAATACAAAATGAACATTGAAAGCATAACTGAATGTATTAAGAAAGATAAGGGGAGGATATCAGAGGCTGATAATAAGGGAAGCCAAGATATCAGTCAACAAAAAAAATTCCATGAAATAGGAGAATGCATGAATAAATGTAGGTGAGAATTGAACAATCATGTCTCATGAATGGCAACTGTTGGGACTGCTTGAATAGCAAGAGACAAACTAGAGGGAGGAGTCCTGAAAGACTAAACAAATGATAGCAAGATACATACTCTGCAGAAAATAGATCCTATGGTCTAAAATACAGAAGAAAAAGATCAAATTGTGAGCAATTTAGGAGAAATGGATAACGTTGTAGTCTGGTAGGTAAGTACCTATACAGAAGACCATAATATGAAAATCCAAAATAGTGAAAACCTCAAATTTAAATAATATGTTAGTTTTCAAATCTAACACTTCTCCTTTTATGAGCATGAACATTAGAATTCTGTAGCATATAGAAGATTTTGTACTTATAGTGTTCTCTGTAGTGACAACTGAAAACCCTTGTGTGTAACAGTGAACTGTATAATATGTCGATCAGCGATAGCACTGTAATAAACATGATTAAGAGAGATTGTGACCAAAGTGGTAATAAATCCAATCATCCAAACTAGAACCCATCATTTTTGTCATGCGTACGACCCTACACGTGGCAATACTAATGTCATTCACATATAACTAATTTCCTAAGTTTGTGACCAGCCAACTGCCAGATCAAAAGAAACTCCAAACTTAAAAACTGAGGATGTGATAAGGTGTTGCCCGGGCAGGACAATCACGTAGCTCATGGGACAGTGACAGATGAATATGGAGCAATGTTACAATGATGATCAGTAGGGGAAAATCTAAGAAAAAACTATTCCTGTGTTACCCTGTTTGTCATGAATCTCATATGAAGTCACCCAGGATTGAGCCTAAGGCACCATGGTGGAAGACTGAAAAAAAATGCCGTGATAAAATTCCTGAAGAACCGGAAAATAACAGCACTTCAATTCCATATTTTCTGTTTATCTCATGCTCCAACATTTCTAAACTTTTGCTACATCCATTTATACCATACAATCTACTTTAAATTTATCTTACCTTATCATTAATTGAAATGAATGGAATTGCTGATAACCCATCTACTTTGTCTTGTGTTGCTGCTTGATACTTTTCTCTTTCTCTGTTAACTCTTTGTTCTAGCTCATCAATTTCAAATCTGTAAAAAATGTAACTTTATATAGATAGCAAATATAGAATTTAGTATTGCCTTGTTCCATTTTAGAATCTGAAGGAATATTAACACCGTAGCAATTAAGAAATACAATTTATTTTTAATTTACATTCTTAAAGTAACATCCTTGATTGAAATATTTATTGTCTATGATAAATCGCTGAAGAATGGAAGAGCACATCATGCCACTTTACAGGCATTATATAATTTTCCACTTACCACAGAGTAGCAAACACACAATGTTTTAGTAATTTATATCATATAAATTTCACATGTTGAGTTCCCATTTATTGTTAAACCGAAACATGTCATGCAATATCCATGTTATTTCTCATTTTTCTAAAAATCTCCTAACTAAAAGTTACATATACTTCTAAGATATGTGTATAAAACTTTTGGATTGTAAATGAATAGTACAAGTGTTTTATTCCTGCGTCATAGGAGAAGAGAAGAGAAGTTAACAAATATGAAGATGAGGTGGCTCTGCTGATATTGTTAGGGCAGCAGAACATTTAAATCAAGAAGGCTAAAATGGGCTGGATAGAGAAATACAAATGCACAGGTGGCTGGTTAGCAGTTCAGTTAGCCAGAAAGAAGAATACTACATAAAGAGATATAGTGACACGTATGTTAAATTTTCAAGCCTTTCAGAAATATCAGACAAGGGTGTACCTGTGCTATTAATACAGCATGCTCCTGTTACAGATAAAACCATGCTGAATACAAAACCTGAAGAAGCCAAAACAAGTCTTGTGTAGTGAAAAACAGAAATTCAAAGCAATGAAAATTAATTAAGAAACCAATATTTCTATTATTAGTTTTATTCACAAATGTAGAACCTGGATTTTAATACTATCTGTCCTAGCTACTGGACCAAGCTCTAATAGTGTTTCTCAAAGTGGGAAACATAGCCTTTCAGGGGGCCATGAAGTTTTCATGGTCTCTTAATTATAATAATGTAAACTGACAAGAAAAAGCTACATTAAATTACAAACATACAATTTAATAAAATATGTACCTCACAGACAACATTAGTAATTAATTTTTGACACTCTTACATCATATTTTTACAGGTTGGAAGACCTCAAACTTTTTATTCATATAAAGGAAGTCTCATAGTAAAAGAGCTTGTAGACTTTGCTCTAGTACATAGATATGTTGACCTCCTTAATAAGTGCAAGGATGTCACATGGGTCTTGCTACCATCACAAGATTGCATACACATTAATGACAAAGAGATAAATGACACAGTCAGATCACTTTATGAAATAACCTTTGTGAGACCTTCTTCAAGTGACAAACCTCATGGCTTTGGAATCATATTTAAAAGAGCTCAAATCAGACTTGTGAAGTAGATCTCTGGCCTTCATCTGTGACCATGAGTCTCACTCATTATTGGTACACAATGGGTTTCAAGTGAAAATATGGAACAAACTGTTATTTCAAGAGTAAGATTTAATCATATGGTGTACACTTAAACAGCTGAATTTGACAGAGGGAATTATAAATTAAGCAATTAATTAATTCTATTTGGCACAAGGAAAAATTGCCTGATAAATGGAAGGAGTCTATCAGTTCACAAGAAGGGTGATAAAACTGACTGTATATCACTGCTATGAACTTCATACAAAATTTCCAATATTCTTCTCTCAAGGTTAAGTCCATAGAGAGATGAAATTACTGGGGATCATCAGTGTGGGTTTGATGTAACAGATCACCTGCTGATCCCTTTCATTTGAAAGGGATACTTCAGTTTAGATATGTGACTGAGAGTTGTAACCACAGTTTTCATCCCAGTCACATTCAGCTGGGAAGCTGAAAGACAAGATTTCATTACTGATCTAATATTATACCAGAAATTTGAACCTTGAGACTAGTGTAGTTTTGTAATCTGGCTCTATTACTGGTTTCAGGTCTGCTGAGTGCTTGTATAGTTATTTTAATTTTGTATACCTCACATTGTTTCAATATACTGGTAACTGGGTAAATTGTTATTTATTTATGAGACTAAATTCTGTAATGTTATGTTGGGTACGGTTATATGTTAACTTTGGAAAAATCAGCCTTCATTCCACTGACCTACAGTAGCAATTAAGGATTATTTTGAACAAGAAAATGTTCCATTTATACTGTATGCACAGGTGTCATGGTTGAGTTAATACTGGATGTGCAGTTCATTGGTTGATTGTGTTGCCACAGACATGATGCAGACTATTTAAGGATGGGGCATTTAAAGACTTTAGTTGCATTCTTATTAGTTGTTACAATTACATTTGCTGTTACTGAAAACTGCTTAATCCAGAGAACATGTGTACAACAAATGGTGTTCCTCGAAATCTTAGCAACAATCCTAAGTGCTCTTCATGGAAGGATTGTAACCCTCCTTTGGAGTCCATCTGTGCAACCTGACCACTTTCCATCTTATGGTGAGGATTTCCAGGCTTTCCTTATTCATGTCAAAATTGGACATTAACTGTAATTTAAGTTGTTCTTCTAGTTAATGCTGTATTCAAATCCTACATCTTAACTTCAGATAACTATTAATAAGCACAGAATTAATAGTTATGGTATAAGGATTTCCTTCTGCAGTTTACAGGTTACAGAATGGTTCACTCATGATATTTTTCTGCAATGATACCACTTGCACTGAGTCAAATTGTCCGTTTCCAAGCACAAACAGAAATCTTGATGCCAATGTAGCCGTGTCTCCCCTATAAGATGGTAGTGAAAGCAAGTTACAGCTTCCTCATTCAGACAAAAATTATAAGTTCACTTTAATAATAATGTATTCCCAATTTTATATTGTTACTAATCTGCTTTTCGCAGCTGCTATTTCATTTTATCTTACAATCAGTCAAACTCACTAAAAAAAGACTGCAAATTATTTAAGTTTTTCTGTAGTATTATGGTGATGTGAAATGTGAATTGCTACAGAATGGCCAACACTAATTTTGTGCCATCAGCAGTGACATCAAGCAATTGCTCTATTTGCTATTCCTTCATCTAGCCTTGTATGGAAAGGATATTGCCTCTGAAATAAATTGTACTGATACATACATATTTCAATCTCTCATTATAAAAGCAAATATATCACTTCAGATACAATATAAGGTAAGAGAGGTTGTTGTGAATTACATGTATGCTTAACATGTGACCTGTTCTGTATCAGGACAGCCTGCATTTTCTTGCTGTTGTCATAAGAGGAATAGTCTACTCTTAACTTCTAACAAGTTAGAGGAGAAATATTTATCATGATAAATTTTATGTATTTATAACATAGAGGACAATTAAAATAAAATATTAGGTGAAGTTAATATTAAAGTCAGAAATAAATTAATAAAAGCCTTCTATAAAAACATCCAATGAAAAATTAAGGAAACTGACCAGAATGAATGAAAGTAAAAACCAAACAGTGATTTAGAGTGAAATAAGCATGAAACATTTCTCAGTCTGGAACTGAGTGTGTGTGTGTGTGTGTGTGTGTGTGTGTGCCAACACTGTATAGTGCAAGATACCTCAGACGCATTATCTTCTGCTGAGCATCCTGGGAAATATTCATACTGCCAGTTTCTGTATCCATAAGTATTTGCTTATCCACCACTTCTGTTGTCAAGCCAAAAATCCATCCTATGCAATATGAATTTATTGATAATAAATTAAACAACAGCATTTATATTGATGAAATATAAATCAAAATTCTTTGCTAGCCTTCATTCTAAAGTTGGTCATGCATTCATTCACTGATTCAAGGTTAGGCTAAACTTTGTACAAAATAACATAATATTTGTATAAGGTTTGTAAGCTGTTGTTCTTACAATGGAAATGCCAAAATCCTTTTGACCTCAAATCTGGATGAACATGAGTCTCAATTCAAGTTGTCCCTACTCTAGAGAGAAGGTCTTCACCTCAACTGCCAGTGATACACACTTAACTCTGATATGTCTGATATGAGAGGCCCTGCCAACAGTTATGCTAGTATCAGCACTGCTCCTCATTTCATTAAAGCTCATAATTCGTATCATCACAAAGAAGGTTGTAATTCTTGCAAGAAGATACTTAAAGAAGTTAAATCAGACTGAATAAAAACTGGAAAAATATAATTTTTGCTTTATTTTATGATGCTGTCAGCATTTGATAGCACTGAATGGTGGGATGATTGGTGAATAATGAATTGGAAAGGATTTGGAAGGCACCAGTCATGACATAATCAAGTTACTATCCCAGTACTTCCCTGGAGGGGGAGAGGGAAAAAAAACTCAGAATAGCCAGTAACCTGGCTAAAATTCAAACCAAGCACACCCAAAAATACAAGTCTAGAGAGCTACTGCTACATCAGCTTGCTCAATGGAAAAATATTTATTTTTAATATTTAATTATCCAGCACAAGTAGCAAATGTTTGGCAGCACCAGTTCTTCATACATTTCCTACCATATGGTTCTGTTAAGTGAATAATCTCTCCTTGCATACTTCCCTCATTTGAAGGAAATTATGAGGAATGACATTTATAAGATCTATGGTATATATGCCAACTGGTGTATTTTCTTGTATCCATTATGAGAGACAGTTCGAAGCAGCAATACAAAATGATGGATAACAGACAGAATATTTATCTAATCACTGCTGCTGATTTATGCACACTTGATACAGAAACCTGTCCCTGTGCTTAACTAAGCACTGTACTACAAAAGCGTGTGGGGAAAATGAAGTATAATTTTATGCATCCTTAACCTGAGCACTAAGTACAGGTGAGTAGTCACCTTTGCACCCTGGCTGCTTTAACGCCAAAGAAGAGCCCTCAGTGTTACTAGATAGGAGGCTGCGTGCGTCTCAAAGCCAATCTAGATGCTGCAGAATCAAACCCTGATTTCTTGGTCATCCAGACGATAGCCTAGTTGCTATACCAACTCAGCTAGTATGCTTGATACTATGAAAGCCAAATATGTTGGTGATGGTCAAAATGTGGACACTCAACTGTTGACTTTGCACCTGTGCCTAAGCACCATACAATTGAGGTGAATTTCCAAAATGCCTGGACACAACTGTATATGGAGGTGAGTGGTCAGCTTCACTTTATACATGGTATAACGGCTTCCTGGTGCTCCATTGGATTGTACAAGGTGGGCTCCAGAGCTATGCCTGATGTGACAGTAAAGACAATCTCTGCCACTGCCAGGAATTTAACCCCAATCCATCCAGACCACAGCCAGTAACTCTACTGACCGGCTCACTTGTGGCAGCAAATGTGTTCATAAAATGTGTGTACTCCTTAGAATGACATCCATTTTTATGCGATAATTATTAAATAATATCTTCAAAACTTCATTTAGCTTTAACTTTAGATTTAGGAGCCGGGGTAGCATAGTCAGTATAGTGACTGGCTATGGGCTGGATGACTGAGGGGTTGGAGTTCCGAGTCCTGGTAGGGTCAAGAATTTTCTCTTCTCCAAATCATTCAGACCAGCTCTGGGGTCCACCCAACATCCACTGGGTACCTGGGTCTCTTTCCCTGGCAGTAAAGAGGCTGGAGCATGAAGCTAACCACTCATTTCCAGCTAGTGCCAAGGGCAAGAAAATGTGGATCTATACATCCACTCCCCCATACACCTTCATGGATTAGCGCTTAATTAGTTAAGCAAGGGAACAACATTAGCTTTTTTATAACCTTTTAGCTTTAGTTTTAGCTACTATGCACTGTGAGACTGACAAGGGAGGCAACCATATCCCAAGAGATTAATGGGTACTTCCAAGAGTTGTCTCATGATGATGTAATAGTTTTCTTGTAAATTTAGACTAATTATTAATTATATATTCCTTTAACATGAATTATTTCACTCAGTGAATATACACTATGTGAAGAAATAAATAAAGAGACATATTACCTGTATATGTTGAAGCCACCACTTCTTCATAGCCTGCATTTCCAACAACCCCACCATGGACAGAGGTAATACTTTCATTACATGACTGAAACAAAACACAAAGAATGAAGTGGGATCCTGAGGAGAGGGAGTGAACCACAATATCTCCAGTATGAATCAAGTCATTTTAGTATTAACTGGTTAATTTTCTCACCAAACACTTACATAAGAAAACCTCTGTGTTAGTTTGCCTTCTTCACCAGCATCATCACCCAACGAGAAAATATCCAAAGTCCCATCCTGTCGCCCTATCAGAAGGTCCAATACTCCATCTCCTGACATATCATAGCAGTCCATACAGACGATACCGGCTCGTTGCTTCCCATCATTCAATATCCACCTGTGATCTACATCCATTCTGAAAAACAAAATGGTTTATTTGCTGTACTTCTTTTGGCTTACAGAGATATTGGGTTTCAGACTATATCCATCATCCTGGTTTCAAGATAACTAAGAAAAACACGACGTTTCGGAAACTGGATCTGTTTCCGTCCTCAGGTGAGGGAAAACACCTGGAACAGTGATTGAGGCTAGCTAGGTGTTTTCCTTCACCTGAGGACGGAAACAGATCCAGTTTCCGAAATGTCGTGTTTTTCTTAGTTATCTTAAAACCAGGATGATGGATAAAGTCCAAAAACCCAATATCTCTGTGTGTTATACACCATCATCAGAATCCTATAGTAACTACTTCTTTTGGCTTATTTTGGACTTCATCCATCGTCTGGTATGTAAAAGACAAAAGACCACGACGTTTCGGAGACTGGATCTGTCTCCATCTTCAGGTGGGTAGGGAAGGATAAACCTACTCAATTGGGCACGTTAGAAAGAGCCAGTCTCAGTCATCCAGTGATTAAGACTAGCTCTTTCTAATGGACCCAACTGAGTAGGTTTATCCTACGTAAGAAACAGATCATAAATAAGAAACTGCAAGAGCAACTACAATCAAACAGACTACATGCAACAGGAAAGGAACTGAAGAGAAAAGAGGTCTGTGAGAAGGCCAAGAATATGCTGGAAGGACCAGGTGTTGGTAAACGAGGAAAGGAGGAACAAGATATGGACACAAGTTATGAAACTTAAACTTTGGAGGGATACACATGGATTGAAATATTCGTCTCGCTCTTGACAGTCACAGGTCAAAGATAAGGAGAACTAACCTGCCTACATGAACAAGCCCAACTCTCCCGTCTGCGGTGCCATATAATATCTCGTCCCCAGCTTCCCCTCCATCACTGCCATTGAGACGCAGGACGGCTGGTATGGCATCAACCTCTATATTGTGAAGCACAGAGGATCGATCCAGCACTCGTAGCATCCTGTCCTCACAAGCTAATATTGGAGTCAGCCTGTTAGCCTACATAAACACAAATACAAAACATTGTATTTAAGTATCCTGCTGCATTAATACTCTTCACAAACTATGCCTCTGTCCACAATGCAACTTATTTATTTTCTCCCTCTTCTTCTCACACTCACAACACATTTTGGCCATATATGGTCATCGTCAGATGTTCTTTTGCCAGAAACTGTTTCGCTATGCAGTACATCCCACTTCTTCCATCACACATGAATGTGATATGTGTAACTTAAAATAATGGCCTCTATTAAAATCAATAAAGTGTAGTTAAAATTTAATTAAAACCTGTCAATATTTTGCTTAGGGGCTGTCCTCTCTTTATCCAGACATCATTGTGTAGATTTTCTTTGTTTCGATGTCTGTGTGTATGTAGCTCTCAAAATATTGAAGTAGTTATCATGTATGCCCCCTGCCTGTGTGGTGGTGGTGTTCTGTGTATGTAGACCATCATCAGTACTAGCGGAAACATATATATAGTGTAAATAAATATATGTTACAATGCTCTGTGCTACACAGATGGGTTCAATGTGATCATGTTTTGTTAATACACCCATGTCTGGAAACACTTTGCTTATGTGCTAGGGCCTCTGAAATATGAAGGAGAAGGCCCTTACCTCTTACCTCTGTGGCTTACTGGTGACAATTATCTAACATTTCTCCAAGAGACCTTACCGGAGTCTGTTGTGAAATGTGGTTCCAGCATGATGGTGCCCCGGCACACTGCATTAATGTCATCCATGAGTATTTGGATGAAACTTTTGGCAACAGAGGGACTGGACGTGGAGGCCCAATAACCTGGCCCCCTCGCTCTCCTGACTTTACTCCATTGGATTTCTTTCTCTGGGGGTACATGCAAAGCCTGGTGTACGAGTCTCCAGTGGAGACACAACATGATCTTGTGGCAAGAATTGCAGTAGCAGCTGAAACCATCCAGGAAATGCCGGGAATCTTTCAAAGAGTTCAGCATAACATAGACAGGTGGTGCAGAATATACAATGAAGTTGGCGGCTGCCATTGTGAGCAACATTTATAATGTAAAACAATGATAACATCCCCTAAAACTTATGCATCCTATTGGAAAATTTTGTGACCCTTAGTGCCAAAAGGAAGCGTTTCTGGACACTGGTGTATTAACAAAATATGGTCAGATTGAACCAATCTCTCTACCACAGAGCATTGTAACATATACTTATTTACACCCTGTATATAACATAGGACATGAACAAATATATCCAATCCCAATAAAACAATAAATAATTGCTTACTTTAGATATGTTGATAACACATTTATGATATATGACCAAAGGAAAACAAACACAGAACACATTTGATGAATCTAATGAACTACAACCATCCATAACATTCACCATAGAAAAAGAACTATACAAATCCATTAATTTTCTAGATCTCACAATACAGCATAAAGACAGAAATTTGCAATCTGCAATATACAGGAAACCGACACAAACTGATATTATAATACCCAATATTTCATGTCACCCACACAAACAAAAAATATTACGTATTAACTACCTATTAAATTGACTACACATGTATCCAATAACTGAAAATGCAAAAGACACAAGAACATCAAGAACATATTACACAATGAGGAGTATAACACAGACCTAATCAGAAAACCACCTCCCCCACAAAAACAAAACACACACACTGACCCTCAGCACCAAAGAATAAAATGGATTACCTTCACATACAGTGGCAAAGGAGTAAGAAGGATTACAAAATCTTTTCAGAATACAAGAGATAAGTACAGAAGAAGTGGCATTTATCAAATTAAATGCCTAGATTGTCCACTGAAATACACTGGGCAAATGGGGCGAACGTTTAACATCAGATATAAAAAGCATATCCAGGATATTAGATATTCAAACCACATACCGAACACGGGTCATAATAAAAAAATATAAGGTCTACATACATGCAACACCACCACCACACAGGGAAGGCAAGCAGGGGGCATACATGATAACTACTTCAATATTTTGAGAGTTACATACACACAAACAACCATGCCGCTGCACAAGTAATCCAAACAAACTCTGTGCAATGGTTTTTTGGATAAAGAGAGGACAGCCCACAAGTAAAATACTGACAAATTTTAATTAAATTTTAAGTAGACTTTATTGATTTTAATAGAATCCATTATTTGAAATTATGACATATCACATTCATATATGATGGAAGAAGTGGGATATACTGCATAGTGAAATAGTTTTCGGCAAAATAACACCTGATGACAACCATGTATGGTCAAAACATGTTGTGAAAGTAAGAGAGGGAGAAAATAAATAAGCTGCATTGTGAATGGAGGTATAGTCTGTGAAGAACACATAGAAAAGTCACAGTTTTTATATTAAAACAACACAGTTGTTGTCATCATACCTTACCTTTTCAGCAGAGAGTGAAACAACATCATTAATTTGGTCTCCGCACAGATATGAATTTGTGTCTTTACAGTCATGATATTGGTTGTATGCATGTTTACCACAAACGAGAAGGTTACTACCACTAACATGCCTGTAACAAGGGATGACATAAAGATCAAAACATAAAATTACTGGCTACAGAAATCATAAGTAGTTACTATAGGATTCTGACGATGGTGTATAACACACAGAGATATTGGGTTTTCGGACTTTATCCATCGTCCTGGTTTTTAAGATAACTAATAAAAACACGACGTTTCAGAAACTGGATCTGTTTCCATCCTCAGGTGAGGGAAAAACACCTATTCTGTTGGGTCCCTTAGAAAGAGATAGCCTCAATCACTGGAAGATTGAGTGATTGTGCGTTGTAGACATTTTCTAGCAACAGCTGCTGTTTATACAGTCACCACTTAACAACAGGTCTACATGCCACAACATCTCTCATATACTTCATCCAGATCTATCAGGTTCTAATGAAGCTGAAAAAGCAGGACACGTGGGAAATGTAAGCATGCGTGCAGTAACGTCTAAAACTCTGTTTTACAGATGCTGACAATCCACAGTATCCATATGCTCCTCAGAATTTAAACAGAAACAGATGATACTCACAAATGACATGCTTCATGCCATCTGTACAGAAATTCATAACAGCATGCTGGCGACAGAAAAAAAAGTGCTTTTATACTATATTTTTGCATTGTCATTACTGGCACCTCCATCAGAACCAATGACTTTCAGATATGGAGTGATGTTGCCCGATTCTTAGGTGATTTAATGATGATTTTTCAGAATTTGATTTGTTTCATTCCGGTCCGTCACACTAAAAATTACAAAGACAAAAATAACACCGTCCAATTTGACTATCTAAGTTTTATCACTTGAAGACTCATCACCCTTACATGTTTTGATCCCTACGGATCATCCTCAGAGGGCATCAATACTTTTTCGGAAACTACTATTACAATAGATATTAATTATATACATACATATATAATGTTTGAAATGCACAATGTACACAGTGTTCACCCTTTCACATCCACAGCAGCCTTCCTGGTGTTAAAACCGTAGGGATCGAAACATGTAAGGGTGATGAGTCTTCAAGTGGTAAAACTTAGATAGTCACATTGGACAGTGTTATTTTTGTCTTTGTTGATGATTTTTCAGTGTTGCAGGTAGTACAGTACTGAATAGATGGGGAAATGATGTGTATTGTGAGCAGGTAAGAATTTGGAAAAAAGTTGCAAACCTATTTGCCAAGGTATTATCCTAGAATTTGACTGCATAAACTGATAAAAATCACAACAAATTTCAAATACAAGAGCCAGAACCCATGTCAAGATTTGAACCAAGCACCTTGTAAATACAAAACTAACATGTTATTGCTACACCAACCTGCTTAGTTATGGCTTGGTGAACCAGAAGTTAAAATAAATACATAAATGTTAAACAAAAAATGCAAGTTTTACTTACATCGATTTAATAGGTTCTGTAAGATTTGTGTCAAAATCCAGAAACAGCTTTCCCTTCTTTGTGTACCCACGAACTTCATTTTCAGAGGAAACAAATATTTTGTCCTTTACAGTCCCTGCAAAAATTTATCAAAATTACACAATCCTTCATAATTTAAGTTACAAATGTACACCATTAAGAGTAAAATTAAAAGAAAGTCTGCATTTAGCACTATGCCATAAAGGCATACAGGGGGTGTGGAAGTGCTTCAGGTTAGTCAATTTGGAATGCTACATAATGAGGAAACTGTGGCTGGACCTCAGCTGGGAAACATAAAAAAGAGATACAGAATTCTAGTAACACTTGGAAGACTGAAAAGCAGATGGAAGTATAATATTAAACTGTACCTACAGAGATGGGTTTTGATGTTGGAGGGTGAATGGAACTGATCCAGGATTGTGTTCTAAGGCAGGCTTTGGTATATGCAGTGTTGAAACTTTAGGTTCTGCTATCAGAGTTAATATTTTTAATTTTTATTTTTCTTCAGCATGTGGCAATTCCTGTGGCCCCCCCCCCCAAATCCTTACACAGACAGAGATCTGCACATTTGTGTAAACTGTGATGCAAATGCCCAGATATTGTGATAAAAAATAAATAATATCCTGATCATAACTACTCTGTGCTCAGGTTGGAAATGAGACCAAACTGTTGTTTTTGTTGAAAAAGTGCAACTGTCATACTGTATTGGAAAAAATATCTTGTAGTCTAATTAATCTCTCTATGAAGTTTAAACACTCTAAAGCACTTCAATCAGCTGCTTTGGCTGCAATTTTTAAAGGCTACACCATTTAACACTATTCTTGTTATAACTTTAAAGCAATTTTTCTCTCTTTGCTGCTTTCAGTAAATTTCTTATCCTGAAAAATTCATTTACTTTGTGAAAATATGTACCAAGACTATGACTATTTTTCTAGGTGTTCATTAAATCATATTAAATAAGGGTAGTTTCTCCCTCAGACATGAAACAACGATTCCAGAAATCCCTGCATATGTTATCGTACCATACCTCTGAGGATTTTCTTCTTTTTTTCCCAACATTACAAAATAAAGAAAATTCATGATTATGCAAAATCCATCCATCATTGTTTACTGCAGTTTTAGAGAAGGAACAAATGAATGCCTAAATATTAACTTTAGACAATATAATGCATTCTTGTAAAGAGTCATTTTTTTCCAAGAACCCATAATTTTTTATGAAAATATTGGTGCTATTGAACTGAAACTTGGCGTACTTATTTATAATAGCATGGTGCATTTCCAAGCCAAAAAAGTCATGGCTCTTGCATGCACTGTTTGGTAAATACTGTTTTCTTCCACCTTAAAAGGAAAGGCTACAAGGAGTGCCTTCAGTACATAAGCTCTTATCCAACACTGACTCAAGTGGGGAGCACAGGGAAGACATACCTACCCAGTGCACCACCAAGTTCCAACCGAGATATACCAGCACCTGGCAATGTTTTAAAACCTATTTGGATGTCTCCTTTCTTCACAGAAAATATTTGTAACACTCCATCTTGATCTGCAACAGCTACCTACAGTGATAGAAAAAATGTAAAGAAAATTATGCTTCATTAAAGTATTACTTTGTAAAAGTAAAATGGTAGTGGATACATCAGGTACAAATTTCCATAAAGATGCAGATAGTTTCTGCAGCAAATAACCTTTAATTTAACATTATAAAACCAAGCCAGATGGCTAAAGTGGTAATGCTTGACTTGTATTCAGGAGCCAAGAATAATTCTTCTGGGATCCTGACTAATCTGACTAAGGCTTTTTTGATTTTCCTGTATGCCCTAGCGAATTCCAGGGTAGTACCTTAAAATAGACCATAATTGCTTTCCTCACCTCATTTAAAGTTCACCAAATAAATCACATTCTCATATCATTATAAGCTAAATAATCATTGCACTTAACAAGGCATAACTCAATAACTCATGATCCATTCATTTATTCTAACTATATAAACTTGACAATTACCTTCTGCATCATTCTTGTTCCTATGTTAGGTAAAAGTTTCATTGTTTGTGGAGCTGTTATCCCCACCAATGTGTAATCAACTCTAGATAACTCTAATTCCATGATGTTAAAGGCACAAAAGAGATCTAAAAAGAAACCAATGCAAAATAACAAAGATAGCATTCAATAATGTATGTAGGACTGATCACTCTAAAACATAAATGAGCACATAATTATGTTCATCTGCACAGGTACGTACATGGTAATAATTAAGATTTATCTCCTTCTTTAGCAGCTGTATTTTGATACATGTTTAACCTGTAAATGAACACAGTAAAAAATAATCTGATCTTGAGAATAAAGCATAAGGCAACATTTAAGGGGGGTGGGGGAGCAGAAGGATTTAGATGGACATAAATACACAGATACAAACAAAATCACAATGAATCAAATTGAATTTCCTTCAGCTGTTAGAAATTACTTACAGAAACAAATGCAACACTCATACTGGCGTCTCAAACAATAAATTGATTTAAGATCGCGGATTTAAAAGGCAACCTACAGTTAATACATTAATTTAAATATGTATGCATTGAATTTTCACAGAGAAAGACCAGGAATATGTAGTGTAATACTGACGACATCTTTAAAACAGTAGCTGCATTTCCAAACTTATCCCTGTGCCTAAGCACAATACAGAAAGTACAAAGAAGAATTGATTGCATTCTTAATCTCAGATATATAGTGAAGCAAACAGCCAACTGTTCTGAACATACTGGTGATGAGAAAAATCCGTATGTAAGTCAGAAGCTTTGTGAGGGTTTCACAAAAGTGATCCATGAAAAAAGCCAATGCAAGTTACTCCTGCAGCTACCTTCAAAAAGCTTCATTGTCAATCCATGGCAGTAGTGTGGAACCCTGCTTTGCTTCCCATCACTTTAAAAAAGGACAGGACCAAGGCTGTTTGTTTCATTTAAGGAAAAGTTATGCCTTAAAAAGTTGACTTAATATTACATTTTTCTGTTCTTCTCTATGCAACACAATTTAATGATATTCTAAGATGTGATTTTATTTAATCATTTGTACTGACAGTATGCACTTGTTAGTTCTACGATGGTACCACATGGTTCGGTCAGCATGTGACTATCATCAGGTGTGTTTCTATAACATACAAGCTGTTACAATGCACTTGCTTGTCAAGTTAATTTTCTTTGTCTAGTTTATGGGTTAAAACTGGGTTAAAATTACAGTTAAAATCCAACTTAAAATTAACATTAACATTAAAATAAAACTGTTGCCCCTTTGATCTAATTCAGGTATTTAATGTTCATGATTTATTCTGACCGTCTTACAGTGCATACATTTATTCACCTTACTCTTCTCTCTTGCACTACATGTTTCGGCACTAAAGTGCCATCTTCAGGTGCTTTTCGATGTATGTCAGACTACTGCATTGCATGCCCTGTTGTCTTTATACTAAAATAACTAAAATATATATTCATCATATATATTGCTAAATTTTAAATATATAAAAATGTTAAAACTGTTCAGGATTTGTCATCCTTATGTCGTATTTCAGTATGCGAGTCACACCTATCTTCTTCTGTCGGAGTATTCTTCCTACTTTCATGTGTATCTGTAACGTGAAATTGTTATTCATTAATACCGCGTTCTGAATTTTATTTGTTACGTGTGGTATTATAATGTTTAATACTCACTATGCTTTGTGTTGTGTCTTACTCCTGTGACTGCGTGTGTTATACTGCTGGGCCTGCTGGGTATGTGTGTGTGTGTGCTGTCATCGTTTTGATTGAGTTATGATGTTGTGGGGGTAGATGTGGTAGGGGTAGGTGGTGGGGTATTGTTATGTTGTTCTGTGTAGATAGTGTGTAATTCGTCGTATATTGGGTTATATATTTCTTTATTTATATTGTTCATATGTGTGTTTTTCTTTGTCGTTCTGTATATATGATAGTTCTCCAATGTGTTCAAGTGCCGAAACATGTAGTGCAAGAGAGAAGAGTAAGGTGAATAAATGTATGCACTGTAAGACGGTCAGAATAAATCATGGACATAAATCAGTGCAACAGGACGCTAAAATATAACATTATTTAATTTTGAATTTTCACAGCTGATCACTGTCCTTAAATTTATAGGTAAATATTTTGATTTCATTATGCTTCTCTTGTTCATCATCATTGGAGAAACAGCACTTTTTGATCTATAGCCTTCCTTAGAAGATTCTGCCAGATATGATGCAGTCTTCATTTCTTTGGGTCTTGCAACAATAATTTTTTCACAGAGTAATGTCATCTGCCTTGTGTCCAACCCCCAACCTGGAGCACTGGGTCCCTGGCTTTATGTCCCTCAGCAACAGAGTGGCCAGTTTTACCCCCAGGCACCAGGTTCCATTTCTGTTGCCTTCTATGACTTCCAGGGCTATTAGAACCCACCTATACATGGGGAGATTCTGTTTATTGCTGGTTATGTTTTGTGATGGCTGGTGGTTGGGTAGGGTACTACAGACTTGAATTCAATTTCAATTTTAATTTGGAATTTAACTGTAACTTTAACCCAGTTTTAAAACATAAACTAAAAAAAGAAATCCTGATAAGCATGTATACTGGAACAAGTCATGTGTATAATATAAAGGTACCTGATGATAGCTGCATACCAAGCGAAACATGTTGTGTCAATTTATCCTAACAAGTGTATATTGAAAATGTGAATGATTAATTAATTCAAACAATCCTAGAAAACCATTAAATTAATGCAAATACAGGGTCACAAATATTTAACAATAAGTGAACTACAATGCAACAGGATACTTCAATACAGAATAGGAAAGAATGCATATGAACTAAACTTGGTTTCCAGTTTCATAAGAACTATCTTATTAAGTAGAAATGATAAAATTTCTCGGTTTGCACCTGGACAATCATCCGACTTGTAAGGGACATATCGATTTTTTGCTTCACAAGTTGAGCACAGTTGGTTTCCTAATGTGAAAATTATCTTATATATTAAATATTAATAGTCTTAAAGTTGTATATTATGCATATTATCATTCATTGGTGAAATATGGAATAATATACTGGGGAAATACATCAGACAGTCATAAAGTCTCTGTTAGGCAAAAGAAAATAACAATAAGAACAATGGTGGGAGTGGGCCCAACTCATACATGTAGAGATTTATTAAAAAGCTTGACAGACCACCAATCCCATGTGTATATTTGCTCTCATTGATGACCTTTGTTGTTAATAATTTGGATAAGATTCAAACCAATAACTCTGTATATGTGATTGGTACCAGAAGGAATGACCACCTTCACATACCTACAACACATTTATCATCCTATCAGAGAGGGGTGTATTATTCATGTGTCAAGCTTTTTAACAATCTGCCGTCAAATATCACAGTTTTAAAAAAATGATAAAAAGCAATTTAGGTTTGTTTTACAAAATTATTTGCTAAGTAACACATTTTACTCTACCGATGAATTTGTCGAGCATGAAAGTGGCTCAAAAGTTAAGAGTTAATAAATGGTCTGTGTGAGTGAATTATAACTGTTGAGACTTGCTTGTTGTAAGTGTAGTAGTACAGAATGTATGTCTGTTTCTGTTATGAATTTTAATATTTTATAAGGTATATGGCTTGCCAGTGTGTGTGGAATGGCAAGGTGTGAATTTGACAGTGGCTCTTCCCACGACCCATGTGTGTTGTCCTGACAACTTGAGCTATCTGTGTGAGGCCTGAATATATATTTTATTGGACAAAGGACAAATGATGTGTGGTCATCATGAATTTGTAATATGTGACATGTTTTATATCCAGCCCTATGGGGAGATGATTGGATCCATGAAGTGAAAAATAAATGAATGAAGATGAATTTCTCCTTATTAACAACACAGGTGTATGACCATTTGGCTGTCTTATTGCTCTTTTCTACAGCAAACTGACTCCAGACCAGGCATACGCCTGTTCCCCTTCTTGCTCATTTGCCTCCTGTGCACAGAAATAGCTTGAATTCCAGTTGATCATGATTTTAAGCAACTGTGACTAGGATCTTCTTTTACCAGATTAGTGGTCTAACAACCAAATGCAGCAATCTTACAGACAATGCTTATGCTAGTAATAATAATAGTTATTGTATTAAGAAAACTTAGAAGAATAACACTATACTTAGTCATTTATTTCTCACTTCACATTACACGTATTACATGGTTCATATTAATAGAGATTATTTATTATTTATTTTTTTTTTATTGCTAGTGTGGTGGGACTAAGTCCCTTGTACTGTGGCCACTTCTGGCCTATTGTACCACCCACAGATGATATGTGAGGGTGATTATGGAGCAATTGGTGGAATGAAGACTGGCAAGGGAAACCGAAGTACTCGGAGAAAACCTGTCCCAGCGCCACTGCTTGAGCTATGGCGTGGTCTTGAGAATCATTAAGGCACAAGCTTTAAGCGAGATGTTCCATGATGTAAATAGCACATGCAGATTTTTGGACTTCTAACCGCTGGCAAGCATTTAATAAGAGACTGAACTTAAGTAATTACTATTATTGTTGTCAAAATACAGTTTTCGTAATATATTTAATTTAAGTAATTACTATTATTGTTCTCAAAATACAGTTTTCGTAATATATTTAATTTATAATTCATGAATAAATTTATTGTTTTTTCTGCTTGCACACACTGCACCAACCTAAAAACAAAATTACATGGCACATCTACGACTTCGCTATATTTGGCATGCAAATATATTAAATAAACAATCTGAGTACCTCACAATCTCTAAATATGAATAAAAATGATTATTTTAAATTTTAAACAACAAACTGGTTGGTAGTTCTCCCATAGCAACACACTCAATCACGTCTATGACCAACTTCCAGTGTTTTCAGCTTCGATTCGTATGTCTTCGTTGCCATAGCAACCTAAGGCGGTCAATCCAAATTATCGAACAAAAGAAGATCAAAAAAGAGCAATTTCTAAAAGTGCGTGGTAAATGACCGCAGCTGAAGTAGTTGGTATAAGCAGCTATTCGTTTTGTGATAATAATTTGATTTTGTTATGCATATTGATGGCTCCAAATTATGGTTATGACTGTAGGTGCAAGTACACTGAAAATTTCAGAAAGATAATTTGGTAGTGGCACACATTATGTCTGTGTGAAGAAATTACTGACAGGGAAATACAGGCTACTGCAACTAAAAATTGTAACCAATCCACACACCCATTTATTCCCCACTCTGTTAAAAGACTCAGAAAAATCAACGGAAATTTGTTTCACACCAGTCATATTTTTAAAACTATAAGAATATTGATTATAAATATCTTTCAATATTTTTAAACAGAAACCAGAAATAATATTTTGGAATTCAGCCTTTCTGGGATACTTGTATAACTGAAACCAAAAATACTTATATGTTTCTCATTTGACATTCAATGTCAATTCAATTCAATTCAGTTGATTCTGAGAGAGCATCTTGGAGTAAGGTAATTTATTTCTTCCCACATCCCTCCTCATTCATTACAGACCATCATCTTACCTTCTGCTGCATTAAAAAATCCCATAAGTTGAAGCAGCATCAGAAAATAACGGGATAATCACAATAAAATTCTCACCAAATGTTTTTGTCCTTTAGGTCATGCTTTAGTTATGCAGCTTACATTTCAGAAGAACAGAAAGTAAGATCATGAGATCTGTGTATGTGTGTGCATGTCTCTGATCCCATCTTTTAATATTTGAACCGCCTGGCCAATTGTCTTGAAACTTTGTAAAACTTTATCATTGGAGGTCATGTCAACATCACAATTTAATTTTCCTATAATCATAAAAAAAAAGGCAGATGTATGAACTTGTGATGTGACAGTGATGGTAATTTAGGGCCCTGAAATGATGTATAGTAACAATGCTTTGACAAATATGCAAATTTTAAAAAGGTAACGTTTTGTAGACTCTAGAATAATACACATGGCAGCTGTTCAAAATGTTATTTAGTTCGTGGTTTAATGGCAATAAATAATGGACTACTGGACCATGTGAAATTTGGTATGGAGATAGATAATAAACATATCTACATATTAAGTATCAAATATTGACCGTCTTTTAGTGCATACAATTTCACTTGTCACTTCACACTACATGTTTCGGCATCATTCTGCCATCCTCAGGTGTATCAATCACATTAAACCATTGCACTGCCTGCCATTTATAAAATGATATAAAATGTGTGTTCGTCGTGTTTCGATAATAAAATTTAGATATTAAAACTTGTTAAGTATCATNTTGTTAGAAATCATAATATTTGTCAAACAAATAATGCTATTCATCATACATGCACAAGACAGTTTGAAAAGTTACATGTTTCCTCAGTAAGACTACCTTTGATTCAAAGAAGTGTGTTGTACTCTTCAATCATGTTTTATAATAATCTGCCCCAAAATATACAAATTTTGAAAGACAATGTGAATATTTTTAGGCATACATTGAAAAAATTTATTTCAAATGCCTCTTATTCAATAGATGAATACATTTCAAGCAAAAATTTATCTTGATAAATGAATGTACACGTATTGTTGTTGACTCGACTGTTTTTTTGCAATTAAGTCTTTTTATGAGGAGTGCTATATCAGGTCTGGATTAGAAAATGGATCAATGAAACTATGAACTGTGTATGTATGTATGTACAATGCTTTGGTAATGAAAATGTAAAACTTCATCACAGCTGGGTGGTTATCACTTATGTTTAATATTTGGGAGGTACTTGGTTTAATTCATAGCTCGAAGGCTGATATAAAACTTTCATTAAATTCCAACATGTCTGGTATAATCAATGCTATGTAAGTAGTATTCACAAACTTCAAGAAGGCCTATGATTCAGTTAGGAGGGAAGTATTGTGCAATATTTTCACTGAGTTTTGGATACCCAAGAAACTACTCAGGCTTATTAAAATGTGTTTAAATAAAACCTACAGTAAAGTCCATATAAGTAAACGTTTGTCCGATATATTTCCTATTCAAAATGGTCTAAAATATGGAGATGATTTATCGCCATTACTTTAAAATATGCCATTAGGAAGGTCCAGGAAAGCCAGTTGAGACTAAAATTAAAGGGGACATATCAGCTTTTGGTCTATGCTGATGATATGAATCTACTTGGAAAATGTGATTCATGAGGAAAATAAGAGCAGACTAAATTCAGGTAATGCTTGCTACCATTCAGTTTAGAACATTCTGTCCTCTCATTTGCTGTTAAAACATAAAAATCTGAATAAACAAAACTACAATTTTGCCTGTGGTTTTGTATGGGTGTGAAACTTGGTTTCTGATACTATGTGTAGAACATAGGCTGGGAGTATTTGAGAACACGATGCTGAGGAAAATATTTGGACTGAAGAGGAATGAAATGGTAGGAGGCTGGATAAATCTGCACAATGAGGAGCTTCATAACTTGTATTCTTCACCAAGTAAGTAAAATGATCAAGGTGAGGATGATAAGGAGGGCAGGGCATATAGCATGGATGGGAGAAGGGGAATGGTTATAGAATTTTGGTGGAAAAGTCAGAAGGAATAAGAACACTTGGAAGGCCTAGATGTAGGTGGGAGGATAAGATTAAAATGGATCTCAGAGAAATAGGATGGGGTGATATGGACTGGAGTAATCTGGCTCAGGACAGGGGCCAGTGGAGGCTTCTTGTGAACAAGGTAATGAACCTTCAGGTTCCAGAAAATGTGGGAAGTTCTTGAAAAGCTGAGAGGCTGTTGACTTCTCAAAGAAGACTGAGCTCTTGGGAGTTCAGCAGCTATGTTAGGCAAGTGGTAAATATAATAGGATGTAACAGTAATTAAATAAAAAGAGCAAGTTTATATTCAGAAGGTGGAAAATGTCTCAGGATACATAAAACTAACTTTTCTTTCAGTTTCTGCTTCCTTTTTCTCACACACTTAACAGATGACGCCCAAAGATATTACAAATTTTATTCCTTGCATTTGCCAATAAGTATACCTCTATTAAAGCAATGAACAGATGATGAATGGCAGAGGTTTTGGGTATGATTCAAACCCTCATTTTTAGCCTATTTTCCTGAAGTAGATTTTCTCTTCTCATCTGCTATCTAAAACTGAAAGATTAAAATATACAAAACTACAATTTCACCTATAGCTTTGCATGGGCATGAAACACTGAGCTTCATAATCTGTACTCCTTGCCAAATAGTTTGAATGATCAGGCATGTAGCATCCATGGGAAGAGAAGTGTGTACAAAGTTTTGGTGGAGGAATCTGCAAGAAAGAACCACTAGGAGACCTAGCCAAAGATGTGAGAATTATATTAAAATACAATACAATACAAAGGATCTTAAAGAAACAGAAAGGGAGGCGATGACAGGATTCATCTGGCTCATGTAAGGACCACCTCTTGTGAATGTGGTAATAAACCTGAGTTCCATAAGATGCAGGTAATTCTTTGGATAGCTTAATAACTCTGTATTAAATAATTCTTTCATGCAGATACACAATTTATTTTCTTTTATATTCGAACATACAGAATTTCTTAAAGATGTCACATTTATAATATGGTGATTAATCAACTGATGTAACTCCAACAATCCTTAAATGTAACAATATTCAACATATATAAAATGATGTGTCACAGATGTAAAAATACTTTAACCCACTGGCAGAGTCTTGCAAGATTATTCTGAAGCTTTGTGTATTGTCAGCATAAAATTTTGCTACATTTAAATTTGTTTTTGTACTCTTGACACAAAATCCTGTATGTCATTCCATGTTTCATTTCAATTTGATATGCTGACTACGAAAGAAATATGAAAAGTTACATACAATATAAATAATATGTACTGAAACATCTGTGAACAAAAACTGTTTCATTAATTACTATTTTGAAAATCTATATCATTTTTTTTAAACAGTGGAATGACTTATAAGAATGTATCTTTTTCCATAAATCAGTGGAATGGTTTATGCAGTTTCTAACACTTAGCAAGCTACATAATATTATAAATGTAAGAACTTCATACCAATACCACTGCTGCAGTTCAAAAGGATTATTGGTTGAAAAGACTGTATTTAAGTACATAACAAGTTTATCTCTTAGCATTGAGTGCGACAATAAAACTGTCACGCTGAAAATTATTTGACAAATGAGTGCAAAGGGATCATTGCATATTCATGTATGTATATATATATATATATAAAACACAACTATGTTAACAGTGCTGAATCTTCAGGTTCCACAAGAGAGAATTTCTCAGTTGACTGAGTAACTACTGATCACTTCACCAAGGAAGTCAGTAAGTTGGAAAGTTAGTTTGTTAATGATCACCATTTGTACTTTAGCAAGTCCTACATCTTCTGTGGCACACCTAAAATCCCACTGCAACTCACCAACTCACACATAAAACATGCAATTCTGAATATGAGGCTTAGGACATTTTAACCTTTGAATTACCACATTGTTTAATTACTACTACTCATAATACAGCAGGTATCCTCATAATAACTAATCTGATTTAAGCTGATTTTCATGAAACATGCCTTATGGGCATAAGTATACTCAGAGATGCCAGCAGAAGAGCTAATATGAAAGAATATAATGAATGAATTGCCAACATGTAGAAAGAGGGAAAATAAGAGGTTAGCAAAGAAACCTGCTTGTTAAAGAGATATCACAGTATATATGGCAAACAATTTCTTACATACATTAGCAATGTACAAAAATGTGAGAGTTTTAAAAATATATAAATCTCTGCTACATCTGTAAAACACTTACTCTCTTTATTGCACTTACACTAGAAGAACACTATACTGTCCAGAACATACTGAAGGATGGAACTGCATAATGTATTTGTTAAAATATGTTTTGGTTCTTGAAATTTACTCTTACAGCCAGTTAACCCAGGATGTAATCAAATGTGTAAGACTAAAGTGGTGACTATAATGCATAGTTTTGATTACGTTTTCAACTCACTGATGTTAGTAAATATAAGGCACAAAATGGCAGCTATGGTATTGCAAGATTATTTGTATAGATGTACCTGCAGCACTGAGACATAAAGGCAAACTGTGGCCATATAATAAAACAAAGTACACAGCAATAAAAAACTGTTCCTTTTTTTCCAGTTTCTATAAACCAATTTCCTTAATTATGTCATTTCTTCAACAACTGATATACAGGATATCACTTTTTGTTTTATGCTAATATCTGTGGACTGTTAATTTTTATACTGAAGAACTGATATTCATACATACAATTACATATGACTATTGATTGTTTCTATTTATTAAATTGAATTACCTGTTACTAACTGGATATACTAATTTCCCAGGTGTCAGCTCATAATACCCAATACATATCATGTTGATACACAACCATGTAAATCATAAAATAAAAATCAGAACTCTGCTGGTCCAACTCCAAATCTAATCACTAAATGACTGCTGCCTCCCTACATGTTTTGGCTGTTTGGCCATCCTCATGGGTGCCCACCAATTTGAAAAAATGTACTTACGTTTCTCAGTTCAATACTTAGTACATCACTAATTTTACACAGATAGACTTGAAAGGATTCTGATGACGGTGTATACTGTACTTCTTTTGGACTTCATCCATTGTCTTTTACATACCAGATGATGGATGAAGTCCAAAACAAGTCAAAATTCATATATCAAATACTAAAAGCATTTAATACTTCTTAAAATTACTGCTGTTATACACAATGGACTGTAAATATTTCAATACTCTTTCAAACTAGCACACACCAAGAGGATTGCTGAAGAGTCGAAATATATGAGGTGGAATCAACGATTTATTGCATCAGATGGTTTCTTACTGAACTGATGCAATGACAATTAAAAACCCAGAACCCTAAAAAACTGAATTTTATTTAATACAATACATAGCAGACAGAAGAAATGCACAAGGCACTATGGATGGTCAGTGTTTTGTGAAGCAGATCCATTTTCATTCTCCACTTCTACAGGACAGGAACATATTGTACTGAAAGCTGGCTCTTAATGATATGCATCCAACACTATATGTCTAACTCTACATCAGACAGCAATGATATATCACATTTATATGTGGTTAAAAAGGGAGCTTTTAAATGTCAATTGGAAAGTGTAAAAAATAGAATCAGTTCCAGTTTACTACTCCAGGTCTTACATCATCAGGACAAAATTTCTCTCCTGCTATTTCTAGATTGCACTTAGCACTTGTTTAGATAAAGTAGAATCACATCAGTATGACAAGATTTCACTACAACAGACTCTTGATAATTTATATGCAGATTAAAACTTTTAAATAAGTGTTGTCCATTATGTATGTGTCATATATACCAGTAATGCTTAAAAATGATTTGCAGTAGACTGCACATCTCATCCTGTCACATATTTCTAATTAATTATTTTACTGTGTTTTGTGTTGGCCTTCTGCCAATGAATGAGGACTGCTTTCTCTACTGAAAAGACATTTGTCTCCATGTACAGTTAACAGTAGCATGGCCAGTAAATAATAAGTGATTTTCATGACTGAATGCAGCATTGATGGTAGGTATTTACAGATTTTTTGCCTACTTTCATTATATTGAAAAGAAATAAAAATAAAAATAAAAGGAGACCTATGAGATCACCTTGTTGTGGCTCTTGGATGCATTGTTTTCATTGCGGTCCGTGTTGTATGAATCAATATGCAGTGCAAGGAAAGCAGGCAATTACTTCTTCACAGAACTTTTTGTTGGATAATCCATTCTTTTTAATTATCCATGCTACTTCTCCCCTTCATTACTGTGGATAATCAAGAGCTCAATGTACTTCTAATGCACAGCACAGATTCCAAATTCCAATGTGATTAAAATTAAATGTCACTGCGCCACTGTGGGCCATCTTCTGTGTTACTGCTCCCTAGAAGCAACAGAAACATGATTTCAATTAGCATACAGAAGTGGGTAAATTACATGTGACTACAGTGATGAAGACAATGGTAACCACACAATTCTAATGCTTATTACTATTCAGTTAACACAATCCTGGATTGTGTTAACTGAATAGTAATAAACATTATTTTACACACAATGACACTACAGTATAATATTTCTGAAAACAATTCTAGAATCTGATTTTCCTAGATATTGCCGAAACATGTTTGATTCTTTTCTATATTTTCCTTAATATGCAAATGTAAGATGATCCCATACTTTTGAATCAAATAATAATAATAAAAAAAAAAGAATAAATACAGTACATAAATAAAATTTAACTACTTAATTATCTTCATATTATCAGAGTTGTTGAAGATGGTTATTAATGGCTGGCTATATGTAACAGAGAGGGGGAAACCAATGCATGTAAGAATGTCTATGAGGAAAAAACATGGAAGACAAAGGCAAGACTGAGAAACAAATAAGTAATGAATCTCAGAGAAATAAAATGCATGATTTATTATACCCTGATGGCAGCCCAAATTTGTTTTCACCGACTGCAAACTCACAGAGAACTGCTCTGCCATCTCTTAGACGGGAATTAAATAAACTGAAACATTATAGTTCCAAAGATCGCAGTTTTCCCTATGATGGTTATTTCTCCTAGTGAACTCATTTTATAGGAGTTATAAGGAATGTTCTGTAACTTTCAAATCACAGTGTTGCCTGGAAATGAGTGATATATTTTGCTGCATGAACAGAACATCTGTAATGCCATTATGAAAATTTAACAAAACTCACTTCAGCAATTTCTGAAATATAAAATAGTGAAAGAATTCCTAGAGAAATGTCTGGTACAGGGTCATTTAAATATCACTGCAGCATACAACTAGTAGGGGTTTATATGCTGGCTTGAGGGGTTAACTCCTATACTGGAATCCCGGCCAGTGTCAGGCAAGATGTCAAGGCTTAACTGAGTGTGAGGTTCTCACACTGTGCTCAAACAGTGATACTCACAGATGCATATGGAGAATTAATGGATTGGTGGGAGTAAACAGCAGAACTTGGAGAAAAATATGCCCCATTTATGGTGCCACTCTGCTCATAACAAACCATGTGCAATGACGTGGGAGTGAATCTGGGCCCCCACAATGAGAAGACTAATTACCGTATTAATCTCATAATTTATGTCTCTGAGTAATTTACAAACCACTGCTTTTAGACAAGAAATTCTCTGGAAAAATTAAATACTGCACCACTGCTTCAATTTTGACAGACACGTAATTTTCGTGAAAAATCGGATTAAAGTTAAACCCATTGTAGTAAGAAGGTAGGGGGACCTATAATTGTAACTTTCAAGAAAATTATGTGCTGGCTGAAATTTTATTAAGGAACATTTCCATCTCAACAATATCCACCGAATCACATGGTGGAGTCCATATGCAGGAGTATCCATCCTGTGTTGACACATCACATAGAACTTTCATAGAATTTTGTGTGAAAATTATGTGTTAGTCAGGATTTTATCAAGGGGCACTTTTATGTCAAAGTTTATCAAGGAATTACATGGTACAATAGACAGATATGAATATCCATACTGTGTTGTCATATCACATTCAACTGTAATCACTTGAATGTAACATGTACTCTGAAAAGTAGTTTTCACATATTTTATGCACCACAACTTTCAAGTAAAAATTTTTCAGCAAAAAAAAAATGTAAATATGGAATATTGAGAGGAAGTGAACTGGATTGAAGTGGTTTTGCAGAAAGCCCACTAGCAGGGTTTGGTGCTAATGGTATTAATGATCTGGAGAGAAAAATATGAATATTTTACAGAACTCACATCACATTTCTGAGATCTCTGTTTGACATATGCCTATATGGGTATGTCCATTACACATAAACGGATATGGACTATGATATTTTAGCATCCTGTTCCATTGATGTATTATTCCTATTATTCAAGTACACTGTCAATAATGCACCAACGATTTTTAAATATCTTATACACTTACATATTTTAGGTGTCTTTTATATTTAAAAATCATTGTTGTATTACTGACAGTGTACTTGAATAGGAATAATGGATTATGATGTACACACATACAAGCTGACATGAAGTTTCTATGGGAACATTAAAATAAACGGGCAAAGGGAGATAATATCTGAAACTAGGATATTAAGGAAAATCTGCAGGAAGAACACAAGAACACTCTGTTAAACCATGGATAATGTGTTATGTATGGATGACAACAGAATTTCCTTCAGAATGTTAAAAATGAAGATGCAAAATATATACAGACAGTGGAGATGCCAGGTGAGGAAAGATACACAAAAAGAGTGAAGATATAGCAGGTGCAGATACAAGTGCTCTGGATGACAGTGAAGAACGGAAAAGACTCTGTCATGAAACAACCCACTATGCAGGAACTATCAGTAGATGGCGATGACAAAGATAAAGATGTTTGTTATAATTATATTCCAATGCAATAGGATCATGATGATCTCAATCACCTGCTGGGTTGATTTTGAGCGATGAGAGGTCAAAAGTCAACTCTTCCACTTGCTGAGGCAGAGACCTCAACTTGAGTGGCACACCTGTGTACCCTCCATTGTTCTTGCAGAAAAGGATGAATTCTCGCCAATGCACATCACACTGAAGAATATCTGGATCACCCACAGTAATCAACAGGGCCTTTGAGCGTGTCAAGGCTACGTTGAATCTCTGGAACAGAAGAGAAGATTGTGAATATTATGATATTCACAAATTATTTTAAAATTTAAAAGACAACAAAACCTTTACAGTTGAAATAGCATTCTGTTAAAGAGAAGAAAGTATCAGTGTCCATGAACAGAGGACTTTAAATCTCCTGGTAATAAAGTGTTAGCAACCGAATTTTAAGTCAGAGAGAACACTTTATCATCCAGGAATATGGGATTTTAAAATACCTGGAACTGTGGAGCTGGAAGGAGTATTTTTATCGGAAGGCCATTTAAATTCCGGTAGTGGCCGCGGGACGGATTTAATTTAAATGTCCGCCATTGTAGAGTAATGAAATTGTAATCATGTTACTCAAAATGCTGTTATTTCTACAATTTTTGTGATAAACGAACGAAATAAACGCCACTTTTTTCTAGAAAGTATATAGAATCAGATACTGTAATTTACCGATTTTAGAATCTGTAAAAATTGTTACATCGATTCCAACAAGAAAAAAAAAAACAACCAATTTTGAGCTTTTCCTGGACCTTCCTAATGACACATTATAAACCAAAGTTGAAAAGCAGTGGCAATAAAGCATCTCCTTGTTTTAGACCATTCTGCATAGGGAAATAATCAGACAAATGTTTACCTATATGGACTTTACTATATGTTTCATTTAAACATACTGTCGCGTATTGGGCATATAACGCGACAAATAACTTCACGCCATCTTTGATACAGCGAATTTTATTTCACATTCGCTCTTACAGTCACCCAATTACAATCTGACGATTACTGCTATCTGCAGTATCACAAATATTACACTCCAAATGCCAGAATACAACTGACTAGTTGCTGGCTAACTCAGAACTAACTCGGAGGTAGCTCGAGGACTCACTCGGCGGTAGCTCCCGGACTAACTGACTGACTGTGAATAGCCTTCGCTGCTCCTTATGTAGCCTTGATCGGACAATTCTCGTCTGGTGCCTTGTTGCTAGCCACGCTGTCCGGAGTTGTTGACTGCTGCCTAGCAACCGCAATATCCCTCGGTGACGTCACCGCTGTTGATTCGCTTTGCATAGCTTCATGGTCGCGGGGACTCGGCTAACGTCGGCTCCGCTCGTGACGTCACCGCGCGTTGCACGTTGCATAGCTACCAGGATGCGGGGTGATTACTCGCCTATTACGTGAGCACTACGTTACAGCTACGTGCAGCTGGGGAGGTAGGGGTCAATATGTCACAATATTTTAGTCAGCCTAACTAGTTTCATGGGTAACCCAAACTCTATCTGAATATTGTACAATACTTCCCGGCTAACTGAATCATAGGCTTCCTTGAAGTCTATGAATAGCTGATGTATTGTCTCATTGTATTCCCATTTTTCTCCAGTATCTGATGAATGCAAAAGATCTGATCTGTAGTTGATCTGTTATGTCAAAACACACACTGACGATTCACAATTATATCCAGAGGATCCATCCAGGACTTCAGAGCATACATTTACTATTATCTCAATTAAGTGAATGGCACAGGGTATTTTTAAACAATGTATTTCACTTTATGGATACTGAAGATTCATTATTAAAACCTTCTGTTCACAGAAACATGCAACTGGACCCTCTCAATCATCTCAATCAGATCACATCCTCACATTTATCTAGGATTGATTTTAATATTCTCCATCCATCTATGCCTAGATATCTCAAGTGATCACCTTTCTTGATGTTTACCTGCTGAAATTTTGTATGCATTTGCCATTCACCCATGAATCCAACATGTCACACACAGCCACACATCCAAATCTGTCTTGATTTAATCAATCTATTACCTATCATCATCACCACTACCACCACCATCACAAACAAACTTTGACATTAAAGCTATGGATACATAGTAAAGTGCTTAACCAGCAATACCTTTGGATTTTTCAGAAAACCAAGATGAAACTTGTAATCTTCTTGGAGAAGTGCCATAGTGGAACGAACTGTTGAGATTATGATTACAAGACGTTCCTGGCCCTGGAAATCTTCAACTGATCCCACAGTGATGTCATTCAATTTGCATTTATCCAACATTTTTCTGATCTTCTGGACCTTGAATTGTATACAAGTTTATGTACATCAGTGATAGGATAAAGGAGAGCCAAGGGCTTAAGAGTACCCACAAATTATATATTTATTTCTAATCCTCCTTATATTCTAAAAATGGAAAGCGTGGCCAAAATTAGTACCAATGTTTCCCAAACACATGTTACTACTTCTATCAGTTAAAGCACTCTGGGGAGGAAACGCTATGAAATCTTGTATGGGGAGAAGTAATTGCTTGCAGCCCTATTTAAGTAAAATGATTGGTTTTGCATATCTCAGCTTTCTGTATGATGCATGCCCAGTCAATCACATGAAATTAAGGTCAATATTACTCATATCCCAAGAGTCTTACTGAAATTTTGGGAAGTTGCTCGACATGCAATAATTAACTAACTCCATGGAGCCAAGTCCTTCAGCAGCCACCAGTCGCTCAGCTACTCAAGAATTTCTCAACACTTCATAGAACCCATGTTCACAAGGGCCTGCTATGGCTCCTTACTCTCAGTCTAATTATTCCAGTCTCCATTATCCCATTCTATTTCTCTAAGATCCAGTTTAATATTATCCTCCCACCTATGTCCAGGTCTTCCCAGTGCTCTATTTCCTTCTGATTTTAACACCAAATCCTATATGTATTCCTCTTATCCCCATTCATGCTATATGCCCTGCCAATCGTATCTTCCTTGTCTTGATCATTTTAATTACACTTGGCAAAGAGTAAAAGCCAGGAAGCTCCTCATTATGCAGCTGTCGACATCCTCCCATCACTTCATCTCTCTTCAGTCCAAATATTCTCCTCAGTACCCTGTTCTCAAACACCCTGAGTCTACGTTCATCCCTTAATGTCAGAGACAGAGTTTCACACCCACACAAAATTGTAGTTTTGTTTATTCTAATTTTCATGTTTTTAGGCAACAGGCAAGAAGATTAAAAGGTTCTGCACCAAATGGTAGAAACCATTACCCAAATTCAATCTCCTCTTAATTTTCTCCTGAATCAAATTTTGATTTGTCTTTGCCATTCCCAAATATTTTAACACTGACATATTTTCAAAGCATCTATTAGCTATCTTTATGTTATGATTTTGCCCCACATTCTGGTGACGAGACATCAATATACACTTAGTTTTCCCTGTGTTTACATCTAGACCAAACTCCTTACTGGCATCAATCAGAATTTCTGTTTTTCTTTATGGTATTTATATTATCTCCCAATAGATTTACATCATTAGCATAGACCAGAAGTTGATGAGTCTCATCCAATTTCAGTTCCACCTGGTTTTCCTGGACCTTCCTACAGGCATATTCTAAAGCAAAGATGAAAAGCAATGGTGATAAAGCATGCCCTTGTTCTAGATCATTCTGAATAGGAAATGTATCACACAAATTGGATCTGCAATGGGAACAAAATTATACCAAAATATGCAATTCCCAGACCTTTATTAAAAAATAATAAAAAGTCTTAGCATATATACAGATGGATTATTAACAATTAAGAACTCACCTGCTTCCTGTATGGTGTAATAATGCCAATATGTTCTGGCGAGAGTTTTCGACCACTGAAACGATCTGTCAGCAGACGTTCAATGTACTTCTTGATCACTTCAATCTCTTGAATGTTGAAATAACTGCAAGTAAAATATTGTAGTTCTTTAGTTCTACACTGTGTGGCAACTAACAAGGGTGCTGCAAAAGGTTAAAGTTATATCTCTGCCTATCAACTAACACAACATGAAAATGTACAGAAATGCTGTGATCAAGATCCAACACATTCTTACCCTCTAGGGGGAACTGGTAAGCATTCTACTCCATATGCTTTCACCTTCAAGAAGCAAGTACCAATATTCACAGGACAGGAAGGAATGTGAACTCCAGAACCATTCTGTATGTGGTGGTGCAGAGAAAAATACTAATGCCCCATAATGATAATGAAATTCCAGCCATCTTAATGACTGAGATACTGCAGCTCAGAAAGTACTACAAATACTGCGCTGTGGCTTCTGTCTCTGCGTATGGTCTATTTTGGCCTCTTCCTACCTGGCAGCAGGGGTGAAGGCACAAATTCACACAGCAGACAATCATGGCTAAACAAATACATTCCTCTGCCTATCTGTGATGGGTGAAAAATCAAGGCTTATGAATGGAAACATCTTTAAAATTACTCATTGATATTGTGGTGTGCTGCCTAAAAGACAGAATATGTGTATCTGAGGTGTCAATTGCTGAACAATGGCTTGTTACAACACGTTTTTGAGACAGCACATACAGAGACGTCCGTTGCCAGGCAACGGCTCACTAAGCGTTGTTACCTCTTCAACCAATAGCTAGATATATAATCAATGTGTTACCTAAAAAATGAAAACACCTTCCTGCAACAATGAATATGTGTAGGCCAGGTACTGATACACTAGCTAACACGGGAAATGACTACCCTTCAAGAATGTGTCTTCTAGTCCGTCCGGCTGAAGAAGATATGAGATCAGAGAAGATTAGACAGAACAACAGATCAGAGGTCAGGTGAGAGATGACAGGCTAGTCAGGTTGCAGTGTTTGGAAGACGTTATCTCGGAGTGACTGCAGTTGTAAATGTAAATGAGTTATTCAATAAACAGCTTTGTCTAATCCGGAACCCATTCATTTCTTGTCATGGAACCTCAGACATGTGACAATATTCTCTCCCACCCTCTTTTTATTTTTTTCTCCACACATCAAACAGTAAATATGAAAAGTAAATGATTTCTTGTACATACAATGCACAACATTAGAAGCTCCACACTGTAAGCTCACCGTCCAATACTGAAAAAAAATACAAAATATAGGTTTGAAGAAGTTCTTCTAAATAAGCATTTTCCACGAAAAATATAATAGCTGATGACAGAGAGAATACTGTTGACACATCACCTAACCAGTAGATGCTGTGTTCTGACAGTGTAGTGATATCATAATCTTGTGTGTTATGTGATGGGAAGTAGGCTAGTAAACTACAAAAGTGTGTGTAAGCAAAATATCCCTTGTGGGTAACAGTCTGGAAAGCTGAATTTTTAACTGATTGATGAATTCAGCCAATATCTGTTGATGCCAGCAGACAGGTACACCCAAAGTATAGGATGATGGTCACCATGTAAATTATGACCAGCAGAGGAGACATACAACTGTAAAGTGTAAAGTGGGATGTGAATCACAGTAAGGACACACTTGTAAAAGGTCTGGTAGTGTTGTCCTTTTAGTTTTGTATTGGGAATTGTTTATTTTCCCCCAGCACAAGCCATTGCATCAGGTGATATTCAACACTAAATCCTTTTCTTCTTAAATCATTAATAAAATATTTTAATTATTTAAGATTAACACTGCTTATGAAGATGACAACATAATAGGGAAAATTCTCCATTATGGATAGATACACGCACGCACGCANAAAAAAAAAAAAAAAAAAAGGATCATCAAGAAGGAAACAAGAAAAGAGATAAAATTGAAATTTTAAACACAAAAGCAGTTCCCATACTTTTATATTGAAATAAAACTTGGGAATGGCAGGGGGAAATAAAATTCAACCAATGGAAATTAAGCTTTAAAAGGCATCACACTGTAGTTCGGACTAGCTAAACTTGAAGCCACACAAAAGAAATTAATATCTGAAAACTAAACATAAGGAAACAAAATTGCAATGAAAATAATTAAATCACCTTAACAGAAAGCAGCCAGACCCCTGAAGCTGTACTTCTATGCAAAGCAAGAGGATATGAACACAGGAAGATACATCACAAGATCGTTATGCACCCAAAATAGGACTGAGCCTAATCTGCTGAGAGACAGAAGGCCATGCCATAGCTCAAGCAGTTAGTTGCTGGCTTCCCACCGCGGCGGCCCAGGTTTGATCCCGGGTCTGGTTGAGTTGGATCTGTGGTGGACAAAGTGGCACTGGTGCAGGTTTTCTCCGAGTATCCCCTGCCAATCTTCATTCCACCAATTGCTCCACAATCACCCTCACCTATCATCTGGGGCTGGTACAATAGGCCAGAAGTGGCCGCAGTACAAGGGACTTAGTCCCACCCCACTAGCAACAAAAAAAAATCTGTTTAGACGACAGAGCAACAAAAACATCCCCTTAATTCAATGTATAGGCAGCTCAGAGGGGTTTGTACCTTGGGGAATTTGCTTCTCGCTGATCTTTTCCCTTCACTCCATGAAAGATCAGTGGAAATCCCTTCTTGGGAAGACCTTCCCAGTTGCACACCAGGGATGTCAGTGAAGGATCACCACGTGCCTAAACAGTTAATATTTATTTTATTAACAGCAGCAGTCATTCAGGTGTATGGATATATTCATAAATGTATGTGCATGTATTCCCTTAAGCTGGAAGCTGGGATAGATTGGTTAGTACTGTAACATGCAACGGGCCAGGGTTTCAGGAAGGGGAAAGATTTTTTTTTTCGATTCCACAGTGTCCAGACCGACTCTGGAACCCAACCAGCCTCCTATCCAATTAGTACAGAGGGCTCTTTCCTCACTGCAAAAGTGGTTGCGGTGTGAAGCAGACAAACTGCCTCAATTTGGTGTCAAGGTCATGAATGGGGGAGCCATATTTCCACTCCCCCTATGTCTTCATGGCACAGTGTTTAATTAATTAAGCACAGGGACAGCTTTACCTTGATTCCCTTAAACTTTCTGCAGGGAGGCTCTTACGTTTGTTGACCAGTTCATGGTTCTGCGCTTCATGCCAACTGGTGCACCGCTGGTTGCGAGACATATATAAATTCTGCTGATGAATCAATATGCCTGTCAGTTGACAACATTCAGAATGAAGTAGTTACAATTCACAGATCATACAAAGTGTTGAAAATACTGTCCCTGTCACTCACTGATCAATCTCACCTTCGATGACGGACTGCAGAAACCAACTGCAGAAATGAACTCTGATAGCTGGACTGTGTGGCTGCAAGGGTTGAATTGCTATTGTTTTATAGGGTGTACACTTCAGAAATTGTGTGGCCCTTCTTTCAGTAGACTTCAACACTTCAGTCTCTTCAGCTAGATGTTTCAGTGATTTTCTAGGTGTATGTTCAAGTATGGTTCATATGCCATCTAACTTCTCCTCAGTAAGCATTTGTCACTTATGTTTTTGTTTCTTGTCTATTATCACTGATTTAAGTTTATTCAGAAAATTGTGAACTGTTTGCCTGCTGGGAACTCTTTCATCACAAAATTTATGTCAAAATTTTTGCTGACACTTTACAGCAGGTGTGTCGCACTAAAGTATACCGCACCATGATGGAACATGCTATTTACTAACTGTAACTGAGAAAAAACGGCTAATTGAGCTGATTAGTTTTGCTCACTGCCGACAAATCATAAACAAATTCCCACGCATGAACTGCAATGCTCACCATGAAACAGAGTGCTGTGAAGCACTCCACAGTTAATGATAATTTCCTTTAATTCCAAATGTTACTGGCCACCAGGCATACTGGCTCATCGGCAAAATTTGTATGAGCCTTGCAGCTGGTGGTGCACCAATCACAATGAAGAGCAGAGACATCAACCAGTCAACAAAGGCAAGAACCTCCATATACATGATGAACTTGAGTAATTTCATGGGAGAAAGAGAATTTCTTGACCTACCATTTCCTACTTTTGCATAAATCAGACAATTGTATTTACATTTTCCTAAATCTCCACAGATTCAAGCACTGGAGCTTCCAGAATTAGACTTTTCTTTTGTAAATATTTGGAGTTATAATATGGCTGTGGACCTTACGCTTCATTGTGTGTTCCAAATGCATCAAAAGCTATATCTGTTAGGCCCCAAAAACCAGAAACTTGGTAAGAAAATGCAGAATTCAGGAGGTTGCAACAATGGGTTAAAAACATACTCTCTACTATACACCTGCCCTACTGCTGATGAATATAACTCTGTGAGTTCATGAAGGATGAAACGCATAGTGCAACAATTCTGTCACATTCATTCATGTTTGTTCAATTATCTCAAGACCTGCAGAAAGGTATACTGGGTATGCAGTGTGAGATTCATTTCTCTCTCAAAATGTTGTTTGAAACATTTTTTTGCATCAGCTGTGCAAGCTGTGCTCAAAATGGGTACAGAAACACACGCACGTCTTAAGATGAAATGTCCATTCACAAAAACTGGTATGTGTCAACATACTTTTTGTAAAACTTACCAGAATAAAATTTCATGAACACTGTTCATCGGTTCTCATGCTATTATTATATGAGAACAGATGGCTGGAGAGACAGGCTGAAATAGTGAAGCTAATAGGCACAATTTTGCAACTTTTCACTGGGAGCACAATAAAGTAGAAGAGTAAAAACACACCTCTTTTTCAAGACCAGTAAAGCAAATTAGTAACAATGGAGTTTATTTAATGGCAGCAATAGATTTCTTTAAGGTATATATTGTAATTTCAAAACTGAAGCGACGGTTTTGGTTCTTAATGCAACTTAAAATTCACTTCTTCACAAAATTTTTTGTTTTAAAACAGACAAATACATAGACTATCAAACAAAGTGCTCAAAAATCTGTGTTATATTTTACACTGGAACAAAGTTCAAAACAACACAAATGCTGGACAAATACTGTTAAGAAAAATAACTGCACCTTAACAGAATTCTGTACAGAGTGCAGAAACTTTGTGTTTGTCATGCTAAATGGCAAGTGGAAGAGGGTGAATATTTAACCTTGATATTCAGTATCATTAAATCATAAATTACATGTCTGACAGACATATTTGTTCATTTACCTCTAGTTCATTTTCATAAAACATACTGTTAGGAACAGTAAGAATTTTCTTGTGAGATCGAAAATTCTGTACCAACTTGGTAAGCACAGCTGGGTTATAATGCTTATAATTTTCATCCTTCTTATACAAGTCACACTGGTTCATCAGTCGTTCAAGGAGTGATGTGCCTTAAAGAAACAAAGAAAGCCTGATTTGGATCCACATCAACACTTTACATATCAGCAGATTTAGGAAAAAGAAAAAGATACACCTTCTAGTCATGGAATGCTTGTGTTTCCTAGAGGCTAGAGGACAGGTTTTCCACCATACAAATCCCAATTCAAGTCCAAAATTGATAAAAATAATGCAAATGCACATAAATGAAAAAAAAAAAGTTTTGAGTAAACTAAAACTATACACCTCAGACTCAGAAAGTTTATCTCTTAACTCTGCCAATGCCAGCCTTAACCTTTATATGCCCCCCCCCCTCCAAAAGAAAACCCCCTATGGGCCTTCATGGCCTGTTACAGGGATAGCTTTACTTTTTTTACTTAGGAGGTGAAATATCATGTTTCCTGTTTTGTGGGTTACAACTTGTTCAGTCCATACAGCATAAAATGGTAGGATGACTGATGAACTGGAAAGGAATTGGATGGTAGTATTCATGGCCTAATACAGGTGCCATTCTGGTATTACCCAGAAGGGACTGAGGAAGACTGAAAATCCTGTCAGGATAGCCAGTATACTGGTTAAGATTCAAACAGAATATCTCTTGAACACAAGACCAGAACATTACTGCTAGACCTACTAGACACACCGCTCTGTCATTATGTTCTGAGACCCATAAACCAGTTATTCCTACACCAAACAAGGCATAGATGTTTCAGCAGTTGAAGGAATCTACCTATTATTGCACCAATTTAAAACATGGGTGATAAAACTGACTGCAGCATTTCTAAAGGCATATGATTATCAACTTCATACACAATTTTATAACAATAATCTCTCAAAGTTACGTCCATATGTAGATGGATTTATTGGAGATTATTACTGTGGATTTCAGCATAACACCAATATTATCACAAGAGAAAACCATGGAGGATGAGACAGCTAGGGCATGTAGCACACATGGTAGAGAAGAAATGTGCATACACAGTTTGGTAGGAAACCCTGAAGGAAACCACTAGGAGCATCTAGAAACAGATGGAAGAACAATATTACACTGGATTTTAAAAACTGGATGGCTGGTGTAGACTGGATTCAGCTCTCAGGACCGGGACAAACAGCAAGCTCTAGTGAACACAGTAATGAACTTTTGGGTTCCATAAAGCTGTGGGAATTTCTTGAAGAGCTAAGTAAATATCAGCTTCTCAGGAATGACCCAGTTCCATGGTGTTAATGTAGTCTAAATTTTGTGTCATACATTAGTTTTATGCACAATAAACTGTTCTCTTAAAAATGTGACAAAGTTCAATTTGACCTACATACAAAGCAGGGGGTGTAACTGACAGGTATGGAGAAAGAAAGAAAGAAAGGAGAAAAAAAGGTAAAGCTATCCCTGTACCAGGCCGTGAAGGCCCATAAAGTTGTGAGACACTGAGGGTTCCACATTATTTAGACAATCGGCTCAAAGATGGCGGTAAGGTTGTCAGCCTTATGCGCTGGCTGCGCTTTACTCCGCAGGAAAATTATTTCTTAATTAATTCCTGGTACTCATTTCTGTTAGAGGCTGAATGAACCCCAGGGCTGTAGTGCGGCTGGAAGGATTAGGTCAACTGAAAGAAATCTAATGACCTCATTGGGACTCGAACCCATCACCTTCTGGCTTGTACCATAGCCCCTCAACCAACTATGCTACCGCACGCCCCCAACTGACATGTATGTACCAATATTAAATTCACCCGAAAACTTTTAGAGTGGACCTATAACACAAAACTTCATCAAACTCTGCTGAGAACGTCTAGAGACAAACCAAGGAACCCCCACATTATACATTAATTTTGTGTTTCATGCAAATAATGCATAAAAATGCACAGAAACACAATACTCACCTAGGCCAAGTTTAATGGCTACTGTGGATCGCAGCAATGGACCTAATTGCTTTGGATCACCTACCAGCACCAACTGCCCAAACAATCTGAATTTCTCCTTGTTACTTGTGAAGAGACCAGCTACTGGGATCAGCGTTTCTGGTTCAGCTGCCTGGCCACACTCATCAATAAACAAGTGTGAGAAGTGACCAGCAGGAATACCTCCAGTGACAAGCCTAATTACAAACAAACTGAATTACAGGCAAGAAATTGGATAAATTCTGATAAGGTAAAATAGTGTCATGTGTATGAGTATGAGTAGGGACGGCGTTTGGATTGGTAACTCGATTTACTGAACACTTACAAATCGTAACTACAAGTAACTATATCGCTATCACTAATTCACATACCCCACAATTCACCACAGGACACACTAAGTCTTCTCAGTCTGCTGCGTCTTTGCCAGTCGTTATCTGGTTGCTGATCCAACAATGTCCTCTGCATTTGTACTCACAGACTCTTGATTCTGTGTCCCCAATATTACTATCATAAACTCTTTTAAGGTATCTAGTTCTGATTCTCACCCATTGGGTCTACAGTTTTGATGCATATAATAATGAAAATTATGGTGGACTGTATGGTATGGAAGATGAATCGCTCCAGATGTAAAGCATGAAGAATGTGTTCATTGAAAATGAAAGTGACACTTATGATGCACAGTCTGAGGTAAATCAGATGAAAAGTTGACACAATCAAATGAATCTTGATGATAACAGTTATGAAAAAAATGAGCCTACTACATGTGTAGTGGAACTGAAGGGCACTGACAGTACCTTATGAGATTAGAAACAGACAACATGTGGTTATCTTCAGCAAAACTGAAAATGACATTTACAGGGTAAATTACACTTACAAAAATAGGCAGCTAACTCTATGGCATAATGCTGCAGTAAAAAGAATACATACTGCCATGTGTATTTGTGATTATAGATGGGCTTTGGATGGCATATAGTTTTACTGACCACTTATAAGTACTAAATACAAATAACTATAACACTATTGCTAATTTCCACACTAAGTCTTCCCAGTCTACTTTCACTAGTCTTTAGTTGGTAACAGCTCACAACAATGGCTATTCCTCTGCAGTGTTTTCACTAGATTTTTCCTGGTAAAGAATCTTAACAATGGAGATTCTTCAGCTTCTGTTCCCTGCTAGTTTATGATCCACAACTGAACCCTTAACTTAACCGTAGCACCGTCTTCAAGATAACTCCTTGGCACAGACCAGGCATGTCCAACTTCAAACAGGTTGTGATCGACTTTTCAGTGTCAAAGCTGCCAGTGATCTACCACCCCCTCCTATTGTTGTACCTCCCGTTAAGCAAAAATATTGGTAAAAATAACATGACACATGATGTTTGCTGTAAAAGCAACTACTAACTGGGCTGTCTCTCTGACGTCTCTAGATTCATCCAGTTGGAGGGAGAAAGCAACACAATTGGAAACATCTTTCAACAACCGTTCAGTTATGTTTCCACACATCATTTCTATTCGCCGCACAATGGTGTTTCTTGATAATTGAAGATCTTGAATAGTAGCTATGATCGCTTTCTTATTTTTAAATCCTTCAAAAAGATTATCAGCTATTTCAAGAAAACACTCTTTTACAAATTCCCCTTCAGTGAAAGGTTTGCATTTTTTAATGATCAGATTGCTGACCTTGAAGGATATTTGGTTGCACTGTTAGAAAGTGACCTTGGTTTTGCCCTCAACTGTTGTTGAGCAGCTAATTTCGATTTAAGTTCTTTGAGCTTAAGTTTACGAATTTCACTTCTGGGTGGAAAATCAGCATCATACTTATTGCTATGGAGTCCATTATAATGATGTTCCAGATTATACCCTTTTTTGGCAAGGATACTGAGGCGTTGCATTTTCCACTATATTGAGGTAAGTGTTTTGTCTAACGCATGCACGCACACTTTTAAAATTAATAAAATAACATGGGCAGAGCACTGACCATCCCTTTGATTACACTGAGCTCATCCCCAAACTCTGTATTTGTTTAATGCACAGCAAAGCGACAAATCTCCACTAACAGCTAATATAATAACATGTCTCACTTGATGGTTCAATGTAAATCACATGTTCTGTCGATCACTCTTGCATCAGAACACATGCAGCTGATGACGAATGATGAAATAAGAGTTCACGTGATAAGGATGGAGTAGGGACTTCGCCACAGTTCACTTAACACAAGTGTAAAGCAATTTTCATGTAAGCTACACAAGAACAGAAAAATAGGAATGACTAATACATATTTTCCCTTCAAAATCTGAATATAATCACATTATATTAAAAGTGAATTTACATGCTTTTCATGTATTATTTCCTTATAGGCCTATGAGATTGACCAAAAATCGTTCCGCGATCGACACGCTGAACATGCCTGGCATAGACCATGCACAAACCGCCTCTCTACTGTTGATGCCGTTACGTAGAAAACAGTCACAGTGCAGACAACACAGAAAACATTGTTCTTCTTTTGTTGTGCACATTCATTTCTCCAAACATAACTGTTCACCGAGACATCACTTAGAAATGGGATGCATAAACCGGCTGTTCTACTGTTGAAGGTGTTACACAGCAACAGACACTGTTTACAGAGCCACCACTTAGCAATGGGTCTATATGCCACATTGTATGGTACATTTGTGTTGTTTTCTGTTTAAGCTGGAGATCATTTCAATGCATTTGTGAAAATTGAGGAACAGTCAATATATAAATAATTTTCTCAATAACAATGTGATTAAAATTATTAAATATACCATTCAGAATTTACTGAAGAAATTTTACTCTTAATTTATCTCATTATTAACAATGGCTGCACATTAATGAACACAGGATGTGGGTGCACATCAATAAATAGGCAATTCCTTCAACACTAGTGTCATTGAACTTATTAACACTTCAAAGTAAAGGAATACATTTTTAGAACACAGTTTACCATGCTGCATTAAATTAAAGCTCAATTTCAGTTTTCACTGAAGAGCAATGGATCAGAACACTAAACTGAGGAAAACTGTAAATGGAAGAAATTTAACACTGACACTATTGACTTGGGATCAATGCAAATGAACGTTAAATAATGGATGCTCTTAAATCAAAGGACATCTTGAGCTGTTAATAAACTTATATGCTTTCATTTTCCTAATGAACTTCAATTTTCTTTTAATTCACTCTGTGTTTGTCTTTTCAAAAATGTAAAAGAGGGCTTCAGTAAGATGAAAGAGAGCTTTAAAAATCGAAATAAATGACGAAAGAAACAAGAGCAATGCATACCTTGCAGCAGAGGCCACAGTTACCACTACAACAGCATACTGCATGATTTTCTCCTTTGATGGATAAAAGAATTCACCATCATAGTTGCAACACTTCTTCAGTTTCTGAGGAATTTCTTTACTAGAACACAATAACACACAATATTCACATAAGTAAGCCAGTTTCAGCTGTTCATTAAGTAAAAAGTAACGCTATCCTTGTACCAGGCCATGAAGGCCCATAGGGTTGTGAGACGTTCAGGGTCCCACATTATCTAGATAATCGGCTCAAAGATGGTAGTAAGGTTGTCAGCCTTACACACCAGCCATGCTTTACTCCCCAGGAAAATTATTTAATTAATTCCTGGTACTCATTTCTGTTAGAGGCTGAGTGAACTCCAGGGCCACAGTGCAGCTGGAAGGATCAGGCCAACTGAAAAAATCCAATGACCTCATCGGGACTTGAATCCGTGACCTTCCGGCTTGTAGCATAGTGCCTCAACCAACTACACTATATTTTTGAAAAATAAATATCTGTGAAAACAGGAAAAAATCCAACAGTTTTCAGTTCTCTGTCTCAGACAATTTGACCCTTAGCTCAAGTACTGAGCATACAGTTCAACATCTGTATTCTGAATTATCAATTACATTTCAAATCTACTCTCACACTGCCTAGTGTAGCGGTTCCCAGAATCGGGCAATAACCTAAATTCATTTTAATGGGTCCTCAGCAGTGCAGTAAAGATTTAATATTTATTTATGCTGAAGAGTGCGCAGAAGAATAAGCTTTAATACTGGGAAAACCTAACTTCATGCGGCTGAGCCCTTCTTGAGAAGATGCCACTTTCTTTTCTGAATATGACGATAATTTTTTGCTTTGAAATTCCAATTTTCTTTGCTTTTACAGCAAATTTATAAAAGTAGTACATGTCTGGTAAGAAAAGTTACATATCCTCCGTCCACCCAGTAAGGTTTACTTTAAATGCCGTTCGTCACCTAATGTTTAATCGAGTACATACTTCATGTTAAGTGTCTTTCTTTTGGAAGTTTTATGTAATCTGTGACAATGTGTTCTGTCACTGAAAATAAAGTGTGGGGGGAAGACCAATGTTCTGAGCATGCAATATAGTATAATTATGAAAATTCTGTTTTATTTAAGCGTTATATTCGTTTCAAAACAAAATTATAGTTTTATTGATGAACCCATTAATTTAAAAGAAATTCCTTTCTATGTAACACATTCAAATGCTGCACATTTTCCCTTTCAATCAATTCTTACATCATGGAAAAAGAGTACAATAAGAACAGAAATACAGATAAAACCAACATGCAACGTTTCCTCGTGTATGAGAACATTATACTCAGGGAAAATTGAATGGGGGAAATTTAACATTGAGGTACCATGCTTGGAATTGTTGAAACTGAAAGTTAAAGGAGGTAAAGAAAATCTTAAATCAAGGGGGTGCACATATTTACTTACAAATTGTATGTGGCAGCATAGAGACGAAAAATGTCTGAGTCTGGAATGTGGCCTTGACATGAGATCAGCAGCCTTTTGGTGACTTCATTTGCTGCTGAATTAGATGGTGCACAAACCAGAAGATGTACTTTTGGCTTGTTCAGATGGTAGAGCTATTCATGTTAAAAAGACAGAAATAACAGCTATTTTCTTTACCTGCATAAAAGTTGAAATCTCATTAGGAGTACCAATGTTTTCACTTACCAGGTACTTTTGCTTTCTGAATTGTTTCACTTATTTATGGAATTAAAACATCTGAATGTTTGATCACACAACAAATTACAATTTAATGTTTTAAGATATTATACATAATTAGTAAATACTGATTAACGATTAGGGGATGGGCCATTTAAATTCCGGTAGTGGCAGCGGGACAGAGTTAATTTAAATGCCCACCATTGTAGAGTAATAAAAATTGTAATCATGTTACTCAAAATGCTGTGATTTCTACAATTTTTGTGATAAACGAACGAAATAAACGCTACTTTTATCTAGAAAGTATATAGAATCAGATACTGTAATTTACAGATTTTAGAATCTGTAAAAATTGTTACACTGATTCCAAAAAAAAAATTTTCCCCAATTTTGAGTGTCTGTCCACAAAACTGCATACAGCTTCTGCACAATACGTTTCTGCGGTATAAATGCATGGTGCTGACTCACTGTCTGTGTTTTTATCTGGCAATAGGAGAGGATGTTTATGGTCTGCACATTCTCCAGTCACATAATCTTCCTGTATACCCGACTGGCGAGTTCTTATCCTACATTGCCTTATGAAACTGTTTGTTTATTCACATATGTCAGACTATCCACACAGAGGCAGTTCTTGGAATATCACCTCACACAACTTGCTTCCATCAGAATAAACTGTAACGCATTCTGAATGGTGTGATTTACGAGCGGCCTCTGAATTTTGACTCCTTCAATGCGAAAAGGGGCCATGGTGTATAGTTGAAATTGCAATGTTTTATAAGCGTTATGAATAGAGGACACCACTCGCCATCACTGGCTTACTTCCTGCTAATATGAGACTAACATTGCATGTGTGTGCTTTGCATGGAAAACAGAGTTAATTATGGACAAAGTGCATGAATTGCGACGTCTGACTCTGCATTCAGTGACATGCAACATTCAGTTAGATGATACAGGAGGGAAGACAGTCTACTTATAAAGCTGGTGTCCAAAAATAATGTAAGTAGAACAAGAATTTCTATCTTAAAATTAGATTTTAAAACGCTGTGTGCATGCGTGGACTGCGCATACCCATACGATGTCTTTCGGCCACTCAGCTTTACTTTAAAGGTCCCCATACGGTGTCCTTCGGCTCATAAAGGTTAATGATTACAAATACTTACTAAAGATTTTTCCTTCTCTTTTCGGTTTTGGAAACTACAGTACAGTGAGAGTTCAGTGCAAATGCATGAAATTTAAAGTTTCTTTCTGCAAAATAACACTGTCCCAATTGTGTCATACAAATGCAGGCTATCTGAGGGTGTCAAGATAACTACTTGAGCAATGCCCCATTCAGAAACCCACAGATTCATGAAGAGCACCATCTTTTGGGATGTGATGCGGTGTAGTCCAGTAGAAGTTCAGAAACATTTTGGATGCACATACTGTCTCCATTTTCAAGGTCGAAGAGAAAGCCACACAAGCAACCAGGAAGCAGCCAGCTATGCTTGGTGCTTGATGGTTACTAGCTTGGTTTCTCTCTGAGCTGTGCTTACTCTCTTATTCTTGCTTGTCTCATTCTTTGACTGCTAAGGAGGAGAAAGTACATTCTCGTAAATACTGGTGACTGTCTACAAGACTACAGAGCATCATATGCCAGGAGACAGTCCCCACTGTGAGAACCTAAAATCTTTCAAAGATTCATCACTAACACCACAAAATTCTAACACTGTTCTGTCATCACAAGTGATTTTTATCCTGACAGATTTTTCACGGTCTTTCCTTCAGCTGCTCCAGACAACATCTGGGTTAGTATTTAAAATTAGTCCATGGTCATTTCCACTGAAATCCATTCTAATTTATCATTCACAAATGATCCAATTATTTGACAACTGTTAATAAATAATAAAAAAATAAAAATAAATGATTTCTATAAGATTCATTTTAATATTATTTACCCCTTTCCACATGAATTTCTCAACCAAAATCTCAAGAGATGAAGTAAAAAAAAAAGGAAAGCAAAGCTATCCCTGTAAAAGGCCGTGGAGGCACATAGGGTTGTGAGACGTTGAGGCTCCCACATTATCTAGACAATCGGCTCAAAGATGGCGGTAACGTCAGCATTACACGCCAGCCGTGCTTTACTCCCCAGGAAAATTATTTAATTAATTCCTGGTACTCATTTCTGTTAGAGGCTGAGTAAACTCCAGGGCCTAATGTGGCTGGAAGGATTAGGTCAGCTGAAAAAAATCCAATGATCTCATTGGGACTTGAACCCGCGACCTTCCGGCTAAGTTCATTATATAATGTTTTCCTTTCCCATTTTCTAGCTACCTTGTCTCCCAGAACTCTCCTGCAGGTGCTTTAAATCAGTTCCTTTCTCAGACTGACCTGAGTGATTGCCTCCACAACAGTGACGGTTTTGCCAGTACCAGGAGGCCCATATATGAGATATGGAGCTGGGTACGAAGAACCTGACACAATGTTCCGAACAGCCTGTTGCTGCTGTGGGTTTGTTTTCAGATGCTTATTAAACCAGGATCTGAAACATAATTTCATAAACATCTTTCAAATTGTGGTCTTCTGGGTAGTAGGTCAGAGTGACCACCTTTCAATTAACTTGCCTATACAACCCAACCAATTCCTCACTCTAAATATTTCAGCCCCAGTACAGTTCATACTGCACGTGTGTGCAGCAAACCTACACATAAATGCATGTCAAATATCAGCTACAGTAGCTTATATTGCAGTTCTATCACAATAAAGCATACAGTACGTACGTTATATGCACGTTCTTCAGTGGAACTGCTGCATATTTACTAGGAAATAGATGATGAGCAATGCCATGGTTTTTTATCATTTCAAGTGCTCTATGCTGACATCGAAGATTCCAACGATTGAACTGAAATTCGACACGGAACTTCATATTGTCCACAAACTTGCCTCTCAAACTGAAACAGACAAACACTCTACTGACATATGAATGATAAAACTTTCATCAATACTGATACGTGCAAATCATTTGTTTTAAATCTTTTTTATAATTCATACTTTTTTTCTTGGCACTACAGCCCCAGTGGGCCTAGGCCTACCTCCATGAACTTCTCCGTTCACTTTGGTTTTTCTAGATCTTACACGTTCGGTAGGACTCCTTGGGCGGGTGATCAGCTCGTCACATGGCCTCTACCTGTACACAAACAGAGAAAAACGCACACAAACATCCATGCCGAGTGGGATTTGAACCCATGATCTCGGCTTCCGAGCGAGGGAAGACAGTGCATGCCCTAGACTGCTTGGCTACCGTGACCAGCAATTCATACATTTAGTAGCATAAAATTACACTTAAAGCAGAAAATTAAGAATACATTCTTAATATCCTAACATTCTGAGCTTTTATCTACAAATTATTTCCAGGCATCTTGGGTTTATATGGCCAGTCCCTAATCTGACAATGTTGGCTCCGGGAAACTGTAGAAATGCTATAACCATATCATATGTCAAAGACCCACTCCTGCTCCAGGTTTGTTCATCTCTATACATATTCAACTCCACCAACTTCCCTTGAATACTTTTAGCCACCTAAATTAAAGATACTTACGATGCGTGAAAGGACAACCAAACTTCTAACTGCCTTACATCATGAACCTTTCCTTCATATTTCACAGAGCTGTCTCCATCTATCATCACATAAATGCTGTCACCACGAAGGACAGATGGGCGTTTCTCTGCCAGACCAGGAACCTAGATTATAAATACAGCATAACTAGGCTAGAACAAGTTTGGATAATAGCAAGAACTTCATTACAATGTTAAATTTCTTAATCTCTGGGGTTTTCATCGCAACAAATGATTCCCAGCCATCACCACTTAATTTCCATAATTTCAGCAGGAACTGTAACTGCAGGTTTGCTTATCAAGCTACTTAAAGCTGGAAAGGTATCATTAAACCATGCAGAGTGCCTCTCCTATTTGGGAGAGGGAAGTCTGTATTCAACAATATTAGAACCATGCCTGAACAAAGAACATGACCGACCTTGAAACAGATGTGTTCCAGATGCATGCATAGAGATACTTTAATTTGTTAATTAAAAAATGAAGATGTACAGCTGTAAGAAAAGAGGTTATGTAAGCTTAACAAATTATCAATTTCTCAATTCAGATAATACTGAAGGTGTCAAATATGTTGACTTATTCATTAGTTTCATGTCTGCATAATAACCACTTCAAACAAAATATCTGCACAGCATAAGTATTCTTGTGTGCTCACATTGTCACTGCCTGGAGACAGCATAAAATCCATTTTGTTTAATTATCTCAGAAACTGTACGACTTATAGATCAAGTGTGCTAGGCATAAAATATAAGCTTTATTTTTACCTACATTTCTTCAAAAATTTTCATTCTGGTAAATAAAGAACTTTGTGACTCACAAGCAAGTTATGCATGATATGTGCAGAAATGCAACTTCATTTTCATTCAAACTGTCTGCTGAATTCTAATTAGGTTATAAATATATAGAGAATTTGCTTAAACAAATTCAGGATGTTCATTCAGATTTGTGTAGTTTGTTTCCTTTACATACTGCCTGTAAGATGAAGTTACAAAGTTAAATCTGTATCAAAGCACATTCCATGATGCCATATTGACGCCATAAACATTAATTTATTATTAATCTCAGCATTAAATGAAACCATGAAATAAGCTTCATATGCTCAAGCTGCTTTATTCCGAGGCAAGAGTCACTAGGATTTCGTTCCCTCCTAAGACATCTGTGTTTTTAGAAATGGGGTCTACTCTTCAATGAGAGGAAGGTTTGGCCTTTCAGTGTAGGTGCTCTGATTGAGCAGAGGAGTGGACATCCTCCTATTCCCCTTCTCAGACAGAGACTGAATATTACCTGCTTTGAACATTACCTAATACATCAGGGCAGACCAAAGAGAGAAAACTAACTGTAACATGCAAAAGTCTGAGGAGACAATCATCACTAGGGAACAGCAGTAAACATGTTACTACCATTGCCAGACAATGGTCTTTATATTATTGTGTATACATAGGCAAGTCCAAATATTTTTTTGCCTACTTTCCCTATTTTGAAGAAAAATAAAAGTAGACTTATGAGATCACTTGCTCTGTCTGTGCATGTACTCCCTAGTCAGTGCTAGGCAACAGCTTGGTAAACACATTCCTGTTGTACTGAATATATGAGGGCTATTCAGAAAGTAACTTCTATTTATTTTAGGCAACTAATGTAAGAGCAGGTGGGAGCTCGCACATGTGAGGTAGTGTCACATGACTTATTGCCTTGTAGACCATCGCATAACAGGTCACCTAATGTTTGTTCTTGTCTCCACAGAGTGAGTTATGTTGTGTCCTGCAATTGATAATCCCACCAGCTATAAAATTTGCAATGCAAATTTCTTCATGCTAAAAACACAAGTGCTGCAGAAACCCATCACAAATTATGTGTGGTATACAGTCAAACTGTAATGAGTGAAGGAATTGTAACATAATGGTGAAGAAGTCATCAGCCATCTGTAGTGAGGAATGAGCTTGTTCAAAGTGTTGCAAAAAAACTGTGAAATACGGTGCTTCATAATTTCAGAACTTTCATGTGAATTTCTACAAATTTCTACACTGTTCTCTTAAGAGATCATCACAGACTAGGCTATTATAAGTTTTCTGCATGATGTGTTCAGAAAATAACCACAGGTTCACACAACAGATAGAGAATGGCTTTGACTTTTGCATACTTGTTTAGAGCAATACCATAAACGTGACAATGAATTTCTCTATCACATTGCACAGTTAACAGGTGATGAAACCTGGGTTTCATTTGTGAATGTTGAAGCCAAAGAGCAGTCAAAGCAGTGGATGCACACACATCACCAAACAAGCTAAAAAAGTTTAAACAAACGTTTTCTGCTAGAAAGCTGATGGCAAATGTTTTCTAGGACAGGAAAGGAGTGCTAATGGTGAATTCATGCAACAAGGGATCACAACGATGTCAGAGGTGTATCGTGAAACACTAAAAGAACTGAAAAAGTTAATTAGTTCCGTTCAATGTCACTGGTTATGATTTTCTTATTTCAATTATTCATGCCCTTACATGTTTTGGTCTTCAGAGGGACACATTTTACATCAATACAGTTAGAAGCAACTATTACAGTACATGTTCTAAAAGTTACAAATATATACATACAATATAAACAATATACAATTGGCTGTATAATCTAACGTCTTTACAACTACAGCGGCTGTTCCAATACTTTAAACTACTTTTATATATAAAACATATAAAATATAAAAAAATATAAATATTTTAAAATATTGGAACAGCCGCTGCAGTTGTAAAGACTTTAGATTTTACAGCCAATTGTATATTATATATATGGTATGTATATATTTTTAACTTTTAGAACATGTACTGTAATAGTGGCCTCTAACTGTATTGATGTAAAGGTGTCCCTCTGAAGATGGTCTCTGAAGACCGAAACATATAACTGAAATAAGAAAATCATAATCAGTCACAATGAACGGAACTAATTAACTTTTTCATAATATTAGTGTGACGGACCAGAATGAAACAAATGAAACTAAAAGAAATATGTATGACCATTCAGAACAAAAGGCGTGGCATGCTGACATCTGGTGTAGTACTCCTCCATGACAATGTGTGTCCTCATACAACATCTTGCACTCAAGCACTGCTGGATCATTTCAACTGGGTGTTGTTTGGCCACTTTCCTTAGAGCCCTGATCTTGCTCTGAGCGACTTATCAGCTGTTTACTTACCTGAAGAACTGGTTGTGATCACAGCGCTTCAACAATAATGAGTTGATGGAAGGTGTCAAAACATGGCAAAGCTCACACTACTTTGACATAGACACACAAAAATGTATTCCCTGATATGACAAGTGCCTCAGTTCCTGTGGTGACTATGTTGATATGTAGTTTAAGTATGTACGTATCTTTTGTACAGAATAAAATTTGTTTTTCTTGTTTTGTTAACAACTCACCGGGGGTTATTCAACAAACAGCCCTCATACATGCAATTAGGAGAATTGTTTGACACATCATTTTCTACATGGTGAATGTGTTATCAAGGGAAAGTAGGTGATTAGTTCTTCCCAGAACTTCTTGTGTATTCTTTCATTCTTCCAGCTCTCTATATTTTCATGTAATTAAAAATAAAATTACTGTAGATTTTGCTCGTATAAGTATTCCACCCCCTCCCCCCACACACATACATTCAATTGTATATACAAAAGCATGTACTTTGTGGGGTGATTTGAGGGATTTTCAAGTGTAATTCTGACTATATGCAATTCTGAGTTTATGTGCCATCTTTAGAATGTAATCCACATAAGAAGCACTGCACTGTTTCAACTACCTTTTCCTCTATGAAATGCACTACTTATTACATTTTTGTTCTACTGAGAGGGGACACTATACAGAAGGAAGATATGGGACTAATGTTTTCAAAAGTCAGGTGTTCCTTACATTACTTTATGTACCCAAAGACATCGAACAGCGGTCAGTATAGTGACCAACTATGGGCTGGACGATGAAGGAGTCAGAGTTCGAGTCCTGAGAGGGTCAGGAATTTTCTCTTCTCTACATAATCCAGACCAGCTCTGGGGCCCACCCAGCATCTTATCTAACGGGTGCCAGGGGCTCTTTCCCCAGGGTTAAAGTGGCCAGGGTGTGACACTGACCATTCACCTCCAACTAGTGCCAAGGACAAGAAAACGTGGATCTACAGATCCACTCCCCCATAAATCTTCATGGCATGGTGCTTAATTAATTAAGCACAGGGACAACTTCATCTTTTTTTATACTATAATACCCATGTTGGAAAATAAGGGATGTAGGGCTCAGCAGCCTCATCTTCTGTACCTCTAAACTCAGGAGCTTCTTGTTTCCTTTAACAGCTTTCATTACTTGGTCATCACGGTCATACATACGAATATCAGTTCCCATCTGATGTTCTTCAATGTGCAGAAGCAATCGGAAGAATGATGTATAGCTCTCTTCCTGCAATTTTCCATCATCCACTAACAACCTAACACAACACAATTTCAACAAATATTAAGTATTCACATTTTTCAGTGGCGCAGATATAATATGCATAGACCAAATGAAGAAGCTGCATAACTCCTGCAGGTTGTGCAGCACTGTAAAGTAAGTGATCAGTATTACGTTTTCCTACTGTTTCATCATATGCAACCCAAATACTAGCGAAACTACATCAACTATCAACAACATAGATATAATCTACAAACAGAATTTATTAAATACTACCTAAAGAAGCCATTCCTTGCTAGCAGGTTCTCAAAACAAATTTTACTGAAATAATACAAGTGTTTATTTCTTATATCATACATCTATTTAATGCTTGTAACTACATGTAGATTAATTTTCTGTAAGGATCATTCCAGAATTTAAAAAACAATGTAAACACCAGCAGCACACTATAAGCTGTACACTACAATCTGTTGTAAACAACAATACTTATCCGGTTTTCGTGGATGAAATCAACAAGTATCAGGACATGAAACCAGAATGCAGTAACACAGATAAGTACAGAATTTTACTTAATGTGAAGGAAAGCTGTGCAGATAAAGCTCCTTGGATTCAGATCAGTTTTATGCTTCAGTTACCATTTCCTTAGGAAAAGACCTTCAAACTCCATAACTATGCCCACATGACATGAAGGCTGGGTAGGAGGGGAAAAGTCAATCACAATGTGATCATAAAGACAAAAATCTCTGTCCTCCTGGATATAGAATTCTAGCTGGTCAGTCCATGGCCCGTCAAAATATTGGATAAGCTATCCGTGTTCATAAATTTTACTTACCAACTTACTTTGAGAACAATGATTTCAGTTCAGGAATTGATGAATGTTTACCAGATTTTCTGATATGACAATGTACCTACCTCACTTCTTTCAGTTTCTGGGCATCAAGTGGACTCATATTTTCAAAGGGCTTGAAGCCATGATTAATAACACGGCGTAATGTTGAGGGTATTTCATACTGTGGTAACTTAATGACGGAAACAAGTTCACTTGGTATTCTGAAAATAATATATGCACATTACAGTAAGACCTTGAACTTTATGAACATCCATACAAGAAACAACACATAATGAAAGATAAAGCCTTCAAATACAGGAACTTGTGAAGTCAAATTTTCCCTCATAAGGAAACAGTTCCATACAAGGGAATTATTATTTTTCAGATTCTGTGGGGTTACACCTGCCATTTTATGTCATACACGAACAGAATTCGAACCATTCACAGCTCAAAAGAGTAAATGTCATTAATTACTGCATAAAAATTCACGTAACTTAACAGCACTGCCACGCACTAGTTTAGGTATAATTAGAATCATTAGTACAAAAGAATTATCAGTAGCATGTAATAGCCAAGCCAAGCTGAATTGAAATCGAAGCAGAATGTCTGACTAGTCTGGCTGAGGCTTTTTGCAGATTTCTTCAGTCCCTTGAAACAACAGCTGAAATAGTACCTCTAATCAAGAGAGTACCATTTCCTTCCTCATCCTTTCCAATTGATTATTCACTTATCATCATACAATTTGATACCATTCAGTCTAAAATGCTAACAGCACCATTAAACAAAGCACTTAATAACTTTATAAATGGAAATCTGACACAAAACATAGCAGAACTCACTTTAAAATAACACATATTAATTGAGGCACCTAATAAAAACACTAAATCTCACTGTTCATGGGTATTATGTGCCGAACGAACATGTGTGCTCATAAAAAAGAATAATTTCTAAAAGTTACTGTGCTTTCCCTGAGAATTAAGGCAGATTAAAATTCATTTCTGCTCAACATACAACCATAAGCGGAACTAGGGCAAGCAAGAGGGTCAGCTGTAAAAGGCAATAATGACTAGACAGTCAGCGCTGAGAAATATCCTCACCTAACTCTATGAAGGGAAAACATCGGAAAAGCTATGAGCTGTCCAGGTAGCTATGATATTCCCTCTGTTCATTAGTATTTTAACACGAGCCTGTCACTGGTCCGTACTCTGAGCTGATTAATCATGTCCACAACCTTTCAACCTATTTCTGCAAGGTCCATTTTAATATCATCCTGCCATCTATGCCTAGGTCCTAAGTGATCTCATTCCCTCAATTATCGTTTAACTTAAAAGAACACGTAGGATTTGAGGTTTTCACGGAAGTGGTTATGAAGAGTACCTACCATCTTCTGGGACATAATGCTGGGTAGTCCACTGAAAGTCAACCTACATTTTGGAGGAACATATTGCCTCCATCTGACTTCATGCTGGTATTGTGCTCAGCTTATTTGACCCTGAAGATGGAAGTGGTATGGTCCTCTGAAACTCTGGTTGGCTTTCAACAGACTGAACATATTTCAGTGAGTGCTATCCATGTGAAATAGACTGAGTTGCATACAAAGCAATAGCATTAATTTTCAGACAGAATGTTCTGAAAGAAAAAAAAAACTCAGCAGAAAACGGTCTAAAAGAATTCAGATGCATGCAACTACTTAGGTGAGATTAAATACAGAAACAATATACATAATACAAAACAATGTTCAAGGAATAGAAAATGAAATGCTGAAGTGCTACGAACATACAGAAAAAGAATGGAATGCACATGGTCCAACAACTAATTCACTGGACACTGACTGGAACATGTGAAAGGTTGACAAACACCACAATAATTACAAAAGCATGTATAAAGAAACAAACAGAAAGATTTTTAAAGAAGACATGCAAGGAATGATGGAAACCATAAAATCGCCTGCAATCAGCCACCATAAGGAATATAAAATGTTGGAGGGTAAACAAAAAACAAACAGCTTCAGAATAGGGTGAACTATGGTTTAATAAGAGAAGGCAGTATATGACTATGTAGAAGCAGGAAAGCAAATATGTAAACATGGAAGTAAAGCAGCAATAATACTTACGGAGGCAAAGGCTCTCCACATACAACAGAAGCTTCACTGTACTTCACTACATTTCTCGATGGCCATTTATATGGGGCTGATGCCTTCAGGTCATCCAGTAATTCAGATTGTACTCGAAATATCTGACAAAAATATTACAAAATGTAAGAGAGACTTTTCTTTTCTTGCTAATGCCTCCAGTCATAATGTTCTTGTATGGCATGGTTGAATAAGTAGTTGAGGTGGGAGCCCCAAAAGGGCCTTTTAATATGAGAAAATTTAGCTGGATAACAGAAGTAGCTTCTAATGAAATGGGAACTATGATGGGAGCATGGTATCCCTCACAATTAAGAGGCTTTCTAATTGTCAAGGGTCAGGGACATAATTCTTGCAGGAAAATCAATATGGATTAAACAAGTACAGTTCTTCAGCTTTATACTATGGAAATCTCTTACCAACAGCAGATCTAGAGCATCTGCTGTTTCCCCTCTGTATTCACTTCACCAACTATGATATTCTTTTATATGCATGGTAGTTTTGATTTGTGTACACAGAAGAAATTGGTGACTTCCACATCAGGAGATTCAAATCTGCTGGAAGCAGGGCTATACTGGCATCCAAAATCAGATTTCTCTCATCCAGATTATTAATGTGATGCACCTTTCTGTGATACTATTTTTGGCCTATTTTCCTTGCTTTGAAAATATAAAAGTAGGCTTATGAGTAAACCTTGCTGTCTGTGCGCATGTAGGTGCCTGCATGTCTGTACGTGTACCCACCCTCTGCAACTTTTGAACACCTGACTGATCACCATGAAACTCGGTATGTATATCATACCACCTGAGGCCATCCCAATGGCATACTTCATAACTCCCTCCTTTCAGTAGTACCAACACTAAAACCTCTCAGATTGATGAAGCAATAACTTTAATATTATTTGAATGCCCAAACTTATTACCATGATATTTGGTCAGATGGGACCAAGTCAGGTGAACAGGCCAGGTGCAGGGGCAATAACCACCTTCTCAGTATAAAAGAAAATTCACAGTAAAAACAACATGTCACTGAAGATAATTTGAAACTTACACTAGAAATAGTAAAACAAGAAGTGTCTATCAGAAATGTCAAGTTCTGGTCAGAAAATTTTCATATCAGCAAGCAAAACTTATTTTTGGAATGCACCTCATGCTACAAGAGAAAGAGATAATTATATTAAGATGTTTTTCCCTATCAAGACTAAAGTAAACAAACATATGACAGTGGGCTACTCTAATGTACAACAGCTTAACAGGAAAGACAGATAATTTCTGAATCCTCAGAATGGACGTTTTATCGCAAATTTTGTCATGAGAGGAGAAGACGGAAGTACAAAGTTTTCCTGGTACCTCCTGTAATGCACACAAACACCTCACGCTTCTGTCTTGACCAGTCTCCAGATGTGAGGTACAAAGAAATTAGCAACTTCAGTACAGACACAGATACAAAATCAGGTATAATGCTTCATCATATATATTTACCAGTTCCTTAAGGATGTAGGATGAAATGTCTCTGGCACCGAACACCTTCAGTACCAGAGGATATACATATGCTCCTGAACTATTAAACTTATAATCCAAAGTAATGGTAATACAGCCACCTGAAAGGACATTGAATTAGTGTTCTTTAGACAAGATATGTTACAAGAATGATGGGCAAGTACACCCACACTACTTAACATCAGTAGAAATTATCAAATTTCATACTGAGAAAAAAAAAAACAGAGCTTAGAATCATATTTTCAGATTATTCTGGACAATCAGGACAGCCACTTATCTAGTCTCTTAAATTAAAACAAAAGCATAATAGATCACTGTAGGTCGCGGTGCAAGGGCCGAGAAGGCCCAACCCTTATACATTCATTCATAAATTAAAATAATGTTCCATACAAAATTTACGGAATGTGGATCTGTCTCTGTCTTCAGGTGGGTGGGGAAGGATAAACCTACTCAGTTGGGCCAGTTAGAAAGAGCTAGTCTCAATCACTGGACCACATCGTGGTCTTTTGTCTTTTACATACCAGACAATGGATGAAGTCCAAAACAAGCCAAAAGAGGTACATCACCTTTCTACCTCGAACAAATTCAAACTTTTCATTTGTTTTCCTCTATTACACCTGAAAATTATACTACCTTCACTTGACAAATGAATATTATTCACATTACTGCCACTTTCAACTTTTTATCAGAGGCAATGGGTAAGGAAGGTTTGTGGAAAGATCTGCATCAATCCTGTTGAGTCCTGAACCTCGGGTCCTTGGTATAGCAGGACAACACCTTTACCCATGCACAACCACAGCTCTAATCACAAATTTGTATTTTACCTGATTTCAAGTGGAGTGGAAGTGCTGGCATCATTTCTTCAATTTCATTCAGCTTACACAGCACAAATATCTTCTGCAGCTGATAATGTACCATACCTGTATTAGACACAGTAATGGAAACACTTCCCACAGCACCCTCTCTGACAATTATGTCTTCAGTGACATCATTATTTAGATGTTTTACTGTAATGTCGTGTTTCCTACACAGGGATTTTCTGTAACATTGTAACAATAACATGGAAAAAGTACAGATAGAGACAACATGGTGACAGAATTGAAATGAACCTGGTATGGTAAATACTGCATAATGTGCTAAGACTGACACCAAAGCCTTGAATAGAACTATTATGTCACATAATGGAACACTTACTAACAAAGAATACAGAAAACAGCAATTATAGACTATCTCAACTGTCTGATTCCTATTCCTTTGCATCTGTCAGTCCCTGGGAACTGAGGGTTTCCTAGTTTTTACAATTTCAATCAGTGTAATAAAATTCAGTCCATGACATACCATCTTATTCACACAATCATTAAATTCATCATCAAATTAATAAAAACTTCACCTAAAGACCAAAAGCCACAGTACAAGATGGATGCTGTACAACCAAGAAAATATACCTGCAAGCTAGCCAACCTAGCTGGAGTAAGTACTTGTACACAACTTCATTTTCTTCATTTTTAATTATATGTAAACATATGTGAATAGTTATTAGTGGATGAAACAGATGCTTGTAAGGACTATGGAAAACCATATGAACCATCAGGAAAGCTGATCCATTAGCCTTCACAGTATTTAAAATGTCACATCAGATTACTACAGCATGCGCACTTCAGTTTACAGTTGAATTCGCTCACATATGTAGAAATTCTGCACAAAACACAACATTTCTCACCTTGTTTCATGCCAGGTAATTATTACAACTATTAGAGCACCATTAAATAACTGATACACCAACCATAAAAAAAACTCTGTGATTTCAGTATGCAAGCGAACCATACCGACTGAGCGACCACCGCTTGTCGACTAAGTTTAGTGCCAACTTTTGCAGACACAGGGTGTTGCGTGGCCAGCAAAACGAACCACCATGGTCGTTAATTTCGGTTTTCTAGACCGGAGCCACCATTTCCTTGAAACAGCTCCTCAATTATCAACACGAGGCTGAATGGACCTCGTTTCAGACCCACTACTTCTCCGAAAAAATCTGGTAGCGCCGGGAATCGAACCCAGACCTCTGGATCTGTAGCCAGGAACGCTGATCCCTGGACCACAACCATCCATTCACAACCCATAAATATAGGTGAAAATCAGACAGTTTTATTATACCTGTTAGTTCGAAAAGCTTCTTTCACTGTGTGAGTCTCAAGCGTAACATGAGCATCATATTGTGCCTGGTTTGCAAATTTTACAGAACAGAGTTTACATTCTGTACTTGTAGCTGCAGGAGCTTTCTTAGCTCTAATCTGGAAGGCATGCTGCTGGGCCACATACACTTTCACAACTGGACTAGTCACAGACTTGTCTGGTGGTGGAGGAACAGGATCTGAATGAAACAATGTAAGTAATTCATTATTATTACAGATGCAACAATGGTTGTCATTCTCTAACATCCTACCTCACAATATTGTCACATAATAGAGTGAATATACGAGGGGGGACCCAAAAATAACCGGAACCGACCTGTTGCGCGCGCATACTTTGTAGTTACGAGTTGTGCTGCTAGGTGGTGTTAGTTGGGGGTCTCCCACGACTGTTAGTGAGCTGGCGTCAGTCTGAGTTAAGTGGTTTGTCTGTGGTGCTCTGTTGTGTGCGTTCCTGTTTCAACCCTTTGGCGATTAGTGAGATGGCCGACCAGAAGGAACAAAGAGTGTGCGTGAAATTCTGGATCGTTCTGCACTTCACTCTTCAAGTCGCGGCAAACATTCACGCAGTTTTCTCTTTGGTCATCTCCGAGCAAGCGAGGAACAAATTTTGCAGACACCCATCTCATGTGCAAACCTTCGGTTAAAATTCGCTGGACCGTGCTCCATGAGATGTTCGTTTCCTCAGAAAGTTGGTCAATGGTCTTTCGACGATCTTCATCAAGCAAAATTTCACGCACACTCTTTGTTCCTTCTGGTCGGCCATCTCACTAATCGCCAAAGGGTTGAAACAGGAACGCACACAACGGAGCACCACAGACAAACCACTTAACTCAGACTGACGCCAGCTCACTAACAGTCTCGGGAGACCCCCAGCTAACACCACCTAGCAGCACAACTCGTAACTACAAAGCATGCACGTGCAACAGGTCGGTTCCGGTTATTTTTGGGTCCCCCTTCGTATATGGGGCTTGGATTGGTAATTGGATTTACTGAATACTTACAGATCATAACTACAAGTAAAAAGTAAGTAAAGCTATTCCTGTACCAGGCCATGAAGGCCCATAGTGTTGTGAGATGTTGAGGGCCCCACATTATCTAAACTGGCTCAAAGATGGCAGTAAGGTTGTCAGCCTTACGCGGCGGCCGCGCTTTACTCCCCAGGAAAATTATTTAATTAATTCCTGGTACTCATTTCTGTTAAGAGGCTGAGTAGACCCCAGGGCCATAGTGCAGCTGAAAGGATTAGATCAACTGAAAAAAAATCCAATGACCTCATCGGGACTTGAACCCGCAACCTTCCGCCTTGTAGCATAGTGCCTCAACCAACTATGCTGCCGCTTGCCCCCATAACTACAAGTAACTACAGCATTATTGTCAAGTCACACACTCAGCAGTTCACTACAGGTGTATGGGGGAATGGATGTATAGATCCACTTTTTCTTGACCTTGGCACTAGCTGGAGCAGAGTGGTCAGCTTCATGCAACTGGTACCCATTGGATAGGAGGTCGGGTGGACCCGAGAGCCAGTCTGGACGTGTAGAAGAGAAAATTCTTGACCCTACCAGGACTCAAACTCCGACCTGTCAGTTGTCCAGCCCATAGCCAGTCACTATACTGACTACACTATCCTGGCTCATGGGAAAGTGACCTAAATAAATAAAAGTTTTCTGCATATTTTGGTTGGTTTGGGGGGGGGGGAAGATATGCGGAAGTGTTGGCTATAGCTACAATTTGAGCATAAGCTTGGGGAAGGCCAAGAAAAATGTCACACAGACAATGACAGCTACTCACACTATAAAGAAAGGTCTCATAAGGGGAGTGGAAGGTGTAGCCTACACATTTTACATGGATAATTTCCTCTTCTCTCTAATTGGTAATATTTTATTGCTTGCATCGTGTTGCATGAATACAACAATATTAATTTTACCAATTCAGCCACCAACAAACTTTGAAGTACATCAACCTACAGTAATATAGACTACGCAGCAAAAGTATACCACGTAAATTTGGCTAAATATAGGAACATAATATTAACTGTAAATAATTAAAGAACATTTCTAATAATGGAAGTAATGTTTCATAAACCACTAAAAGTTTATAATTTCTCACTAAAATATGTAAAATTATTACAGATTGGCATGCAATCATACCAAAGAAGAAATAATGTCATTTGGCTCTCAAGAAAGCAGAACATAGTAGTAGCAACATAACAAATTAAAGCAACAAATAACAGAAGAATCTGGGAAATTGCTAACATCAATGTAAGTGTGGCCTACTACAGCACAATGACATGAAGCCAATTTCAGCTCACAACGTTTTTATATTGTGACATGTTGACCCCTACCTCCCCAGCGGTAACGTAACGCTCGCGTAATAGGCGAGTTCCCGCCCCGCCACTCCCCTCCGCGGTGACGTCACCGAGGGATATCGCGGTCGCTAGGCAACGCGAGTCAACAGCGGCGACGTTACGATAGTAACAGCAGTTACCTCCGCTAGCGTTACATAGCAACACAGCGCCAGGCAAAAAGGGTGCCTATTACGCGGCCGTTTTCCGTATGGTCCGATCGAGGTTACATAAGGAGCAGCGAAGGCTATTCACAGTCAGTTGTACTGAGTCAGCCAGTGAGTCCTGGAGCTACCGCCGAGTTAGCCAGCAACTAGTCAGTTGTATTGTGGCATTTGGAGTGTACTAATTGTGATACTGCAGATAGCAGTAATCGTAAATCTGTAATTTGGGTGATTGTAAGTGCGAATGTGAAATAAAATTCGCTACATCAAATACATCGAGAAGTTATTTGTCGCGATATACGCCCGATACGCAACAATTGGTGTCAAAAGTGGGATCAGTAACGCAAACACGTTACAATATTTTAAATACAATTTTAAATCAATTTTAACTGAATTAAAAATCTTATTTTACACAAGAAATTATACTTAACCCCAATTTAATTCAATATCCAATTAAGTAGTATACAAGTGAACAATAAGGAGTATACATAAAATATAGCCACTTTATGGCTTATGTAAGTAAACTAGGAATACAGTAATTAACACTCATACATTGATAAGAAATATTCAAAAAAGCTTGTGCATTACAATTCAGGAATTAATTGTGTAACTAAGAGTACCGGTGGGCCAGAATAGAGCAGTCAGTATAGCGACTGGCTGGATGGCTGAGGGGTCGGAGTTCAAGTCCCAGTAGGGTAAAGAATTTTCACTTCTCCATGTCGTCCAGACCGGCACTCGGCTCCACTCAACCGCCTATCCAATGGGTACTTGGGGCTCTTTCCCTGAGGTAAATGGCCAAGGCCTCCAACTAGTGCTGAAGTCAAGAAAATGTGGATCTATACATCCACTACCCAATACGCCTTTATGGTGTAATGCTTAATTAGTTAAGCACAGGGACAGGGACATAATTTGAAGATGACCCATTAAGGGGAAACATGTAGTGTGATTTAAATTAATAAACATTTGTTGCGTTGATGGCTGAACTGGTAAAACTGACATTGTTAGTTACCTGACAAAGCCTGAAGGTATATTATAATGTGCTATCACAAGGCCTGTTACATATTCCATTTCTTTTTCACTTTACAGACAACAGCCCCCCTCCCCCCGGATTTAAAAATTCAGATTTAGATTTTGTCCATAGCCAAATTTTCAAAAGGGTATTACAATGAGAATCAGCCATTATGAAGGTATTAAAAAACTCCTCTGTGCTTGTACAATCTTTCATATTCTGGACTCATTTTGTTGACTGTTTCTCAAGTAGAAAGACTTAAGTATATATGACAGCAGTCACGTTCTATAACGTGTGTGTAGAACAAAGTATATCCATTAGCTTGGAGCTAAATGATGGAACATTGTGATGGAGGGCTTGGCAAACAGAGGTCTCAAGTACGGCCTGCTGACCACCTTGACTGCCTTAGGCTTTTGTGGTTTTTCAAAGAACATCAAGCAAAATGCCAGAATAGATTAGGCTGAGCCATAACCAGTTCCTTCAACATTTTTCAAATTCCCTATTCACTAATATCCTTGTTCAGTGCTGTAATCTCAACATTTTAAAATATAAAGTATTACATAAATAGACAATCATTTCTATGTACTGAGATATAACACTGTGTTGTTTGGCAAATATCTTCCACCAGATTACATGGCATTACACCCCGGGCAACAGAACTCTTCAGAGCCACTGCTGTGAGAACCTCAAATCCAACAGTTTGATAGACACATAGGCCAGCATTCCTCTACATGTCTCGATCTTCATGACAGAACACATTACACACATATAAGTGGCAGTCAAATGAAAATGGGTCACCCTGCATAACTCACACAGTGCACAAGTTGGTAACACTGGAATTTGCTTACAGTATGAACATCTGGTGGTGACTCAGGAAAGCACAGTGACAATGTGCCCTTGAACATTAGTCGTTTGTTTATTGTGTTCGAAGTAAAGTTAGCGCTATGTGTGGTTGTCCAACATCAGTAATGGAGGGGGGTAAAGAAGAACAGTGAAGTGTAGTGCGCTTTTTGACTGCTGAAGGAGTAGGACGACGGGAAATTCATTCATCGTCACATCTTTGTTGTTTATGGCAAACACAGCATGTCATGTTCGTGTGTGCTGGCGTGCTATAAGAGATTCTGAGATGTGTTATTGATAGTAATGCTTTCATTGCAGCCAAATAATGTCTGCTGCAAGATACTTTATTAACTTTAATTTTTCAGTGCTGAAGGCTGGGTGATTTGGGCATGATGTGAGCCATATTTACTCATGGCTTGGTTTAGCGGCCTCTCTTCCTAGCCCCCCCCTTTCCACCCTTCCTCCAGCTGTTCTAGGTTCTACAATGTTCTCCGATTCTGGTTTATCATGTGATCCCCCCCCCTCAGCTATTCTAGCATGCTCTATGCAGCTTGGTCTAGAGACTTTTCCTAGTTGGTTGCCAGCAGTCAGTGAGGGAGGTGGTGAAATTATGTTTAAGTTGTGCGTGAATCAAAATTCTGTTTGGCTTTTTGTATTGGCTGTTGAGGGCTAGCATCCCCTTCGTTCGTGACGGCTGTCAAGAGTATCGCAATTGGAGTTTTCTCTGAGTTTGTATTATGTTATCTGGCTGGGGTTTTGGACTGCCACATTTTGGCAGATTTGATTTAGAAAACATTGTATGCTTGTATTTTTTGTGAGCAAGTAGCACACTGTCAATTTGGTAGGTGAGTGAAATTCCATCCTGTGAATGCATTTTCTAAATTCTGTTTGGTTTTTTGTCCTTTCTTCCTTACTGGCCGTTGACGGCGAGGGATTCCTAAACTGTGCGACTTTTTTTTTGTGTGGGGGGGGGGATCGCCGATAGGACATTTTCTATTCTGCTTGGGTTCAACTGCCCATGTTGATTGATTTAAGAGTTAACCTGTATGTCTTGCATCCAGCTGGTCAGAAATTCAAATTTCTAAATCATAATGCACTCTGAGGTTGAGATATTGTTATTGTTTGTACATCTCACGAGCTGTAACGTTACTGTATAATTATCATGTCTTGTAATTACTGAGTTACTTCTACTGATCTGTTTCAAGGTTATTATTACCTTGAGATTTCCTGGCTATCACTGCATAAAGATAAAAGCTTAGACACCCCAGTGTATTCTGGTGGGGATTAGGAACACTACATGTGAATCAGGGACGAATGCAGCATCCTACCCTTTTCCGAAGTGATAAAGAGGGGAGGAGCTGCTCAGATGTGCTGGAAACAATGGAGATACAAACGATCGTGGTGTATTTTAATATTATATCCCACCATTTAATTTGCAGAGACTGATATAAAAGCATGAGAAATCTCATCATGATAGCTGGTCTGTACTAGTCCTTGTTAAGCCAGGATCTCATGGGTACCAAGTAGGACTGCTAACTACTTCACTATAGCATTCAGTAAAATAAATTTTGTATGGTATAGCGCATCTACACATAAAGAGACTCAGGTAGTTACATGACCTGAATGTGCACTGATATTATGTGTAATAACACAATCCATGCACAGATCATAAACAGTGAACCAATGTACTGTAGCCCAATCTCAATTTCTTCTAACCTGCCACACTTGAATTGTTTGAATGTTATAATAATCTCCCGATAAATCATGTATACATTTAATATGAGAATCCCTGCTATTACAATATTCTTAAAAAATGGAATCAATTCTACTTGCGCTGATTTTGTGACAAAATTCTGTCATAACAACAGCAATAAAACCCCTGACTTTCAGATGCATCAATCCCAAGTCTACAAAGTCCAAAATGTCAGTTTTACATGACCAGTTCACAGTGTTAGGTCCACACACAACAAAGATCATACATAAACTGCCTGCCCCCTTTACAGTCTTATACCTTTTGTCGAGGCATAAAACAGCTAGTGTGGCATGAGTTAAACATAAAAAATTCATTACGTAGTTACACTGATTACTATTGTTACTATGGCTATTAAGGTTACCACTGATTACTGTATTTTGGTAATTATGCTAGTGTCATTTCTACCTCACAACTTCATGTGTCCATCATGCTGTAATGCCCAAATGAATGGAATGAAAAGTATGATTTCTGGATGGTCTCTGATATAACATTCATACCAAATCTCATCAAAATCTACCCAGTGGTTCCAGACTTGAAACACAGAGACAACACGGTATTTTTTTCATACACATTACTGTGCAAAGAATGCATGATGATTTCAACTAGAGCTCAAAGCTGTAGACTGGAAGCACTGCCTAGCAGAAAATAATGTAATACAGGACCATGTTATAGAATTATCATAGGATGCAAAAGTTGTTTCACATAACCAAGACTGATTACCGGGAGAAGGAGAACAGGGTTATAAAAGCAATGTTAGTGTACAAATCAGCTGCACTAACACAGTGCCACCTTGTGCTTTCCATATTACCTTGCCTCCCTCCTCCATAACTTGCAATCACTTTCTGGACCTTAGAAGCATTGAAAACAACTGTCTCACTGGTGCTCCTTCTTTGTCTTTTCACATAATTATATGCTGCAAGAAGCTGAAGAATTGAGTAGGGCTTCATACGAACGTGATAGAGTGGAATGTACTCATCCTTAAATATATCTTTCAACTTTTTCTTGTTTATACAGTACCCATCTTCTATATATGCTTTACTGACAAGAAAGTATGTAAAATGTTCTGCAACAGCTGAAACAGAAAACAAACATCAATGGCATTTCTTTCACAAAAATACATATTTCATGTTAAAAAATGTTATTTGTATTAATTTGCCTGTTAAAATAAAACAGTTTAAGGCTTTTGCCTTCGGTGGTTTAACCCCTGTCAGCTTATCATAATAGAATATAATATGTAATCTGAAAACTTACTAAAATAGGGCATCTTAATTACGAGGAATGTGGATAATATGAAGCAGTGGAATCAAATGGTGTGGTAAAGTTACTGGATTACTGAACTCATAAAAGCCCACTTTGCTCTGCTTAACAGTGAAAATAAATATGAGGGCTATTTGGAAAGTAACCTTTGTTTATTTTAGGCAAGAGAGAGCTCACATATGTGAGGTAGCGTCACATGACTCATTGCCTTGTAGATCGTCACATAACTGGTCACCTAATATTTGTTGTTGTCTCCACAGAGTCAGCTATGTTGTGTCCTGCAATTGATAATCCCACCAGCTGTGAAATTCACGCTGTTATCATCTTTCTTCACGCTAAAAATACAAGTGCTGCAGAAACCCATCATGAATTGTGTGTGTTTTATAGTCAAATTGTAATGAGTGAAGGAACTGTAAAACTACGGTGTGGAATGTTTAAAGATTGGAGGGCGAACAGGTGTTCACAATGAAGAGTGAAGTGGTCAGACATCTGCAGTGAGTGATGATCTTGTTAAAAGTGTTGCCCAAAAAATTTGTGAAAGATGGTGCTTCATAATTTCAGAAATTTCATGCACTGTTCTCTAAGAGATCATCACAGACTATGCTATTACAAGTTTTGTGCAAGATGGATTCAGAAAATGCCCACAGGTCCACACAACACACAGATAATGGCTTTGATTCTTCTATACTTGTTTAGAGCAATACCATAAACGTGACAATGAATTTCTCTATCACATTGCACAGTTAACAGGTGATGAAACCTGGGTTTCATTTGTGAATGTTGAAGCAACAGAGCAGTCAAAGTAGCGGATGCGGACACATTCACCAAACAAGCTAAAAAAGTTTAAACAAACGTTTTCTGCCAGAAAGCTGATGGCAAATGTTTTCTGGGACAGGAAAGGAGTGCTGATAGTAGAATTCCTGCAAAAAGGGACCATAATAATGTCAAAAAGGTATCGTGAAACACTAAATGAACTGTGTATGACAATTCAGAACAAAAGATGCGGCACGCTGACATCTGGTGTAGCGCGTCCTCATACAACTCCTTGCACTGAAGTACTGCTGGATCATTTCAACTGGTTATAGTTTGGCCATCCTTATAGCCCTGATTTCGCTCCAGGTGATCACAACCTGTTTACTCATACCTACCTGGAAAATTGGTTAAGATCACAGCGCTTCAACAATAATGAGGAACTGATGGAAGGTAAGCATGGCAAAGCTCACAGGCGGCAGACTTCTTTGACACAGGCATACAAAAATGTACTTCCCGATATGACAAGTGCTTCAATTCCCGCAGTGTCTACACTGAGAAGTGATTTTATGTATGTACATATTTTTTAGTTTATAACATTATTTTTCTCATTTCTCATGTCTTGTTTTGTTAACAGCTCAGCGGAGGTTACTATCTGAACAGCCCTTGTAAAATAAATACCGTATTTACGCATGTATAGGCCGTGTGCGTGTATAGGCCGCAGCACAATTTTCAGACAAATTATAGAAAAAATAATTTTCTTGGAATATTATTTCAGGAGTATTACACCCTGTATTACTAATTATGAATATATTTTTTTTTAAATGAAGTGTGATTTCGAATATTTCAAATATAAGCTGCACCCCAGTTTTCCTCTTGAATTTTTGGCAAAAAATGTGCGGCCTATACATGCGTAAATACGGTACATGTAGTAAATTAACTCTTGAGAAACAACAGCTGCTCAGCTACTCATGGAATTAACTGCTTTTAATGGAATCCAAATTATCATTATGATGTTAATGGGGGCATATCACTGAGTTTGATGAATCCTGTCAACACTTTCATACCATATTCCTGTACAATGGATCTATTTTAATGCAGATTAAAGCATTCTATGATGTAATGTAATGCAAATTGATACCTATCTACCAAATTAAATCAAAAAAGACTGCCATATTAATATTCACAACCATGATAAAATTTAATTTCATCTACTTTAATACTGTGGCATGTAGACCTGTTGCTGGCCAATGACTGTGAGATAAGCAAAACTACAACAGCTGTTACCAAGTAACAGCTTCAAGCAACTGGAAACAGCAACAGAGGAACAGCCTTTTCTGTGCACTCTGTGCCGAGATGTTATAAGTAGGACATCACCAGTGGACACTGTTGAGGTCCATCACCAGGCAACAACTGGTGATGACACAAAAGTGAGAGCACTTTATGTGTGCTGTGGTCACAGTGATCTTTGGCATGTGTAATTCAGTGAGACTGTCATAGTTATTTGGTGTTATGTTCTGTAAATGTTTAATAAATCCAATTACCAATCCCAACTCCTTCTATAGTCATATGCATACATATAACAATATTATCCACCCATCTATGGCTACGTCTCCCCTTAAGCTCCTTTCCTCACTAAAATAGAATGCAACAAAATTAAATATTTCCTGCCACATTTAATAAAATAAAATTAATGTAAGAAAATGCATTTAAATTACCTTGTCCCACTGCATATATTTATATACAGCGAATTTATACAGTGTGGCAAAGGGTATGTAATGCAGTTAGGATTTTGAGCTCCTTGTGAATCTGGTGTGTGACTACTACTGTTGCTGAACTTTCTCCAGCTTTGTACTCGGGATCCTTTTATACTAACTGTGTTCAGGATTCAGTATTAAAGAAAGTGATCTCACAATGTTAATCTGATATCATGGTCTAAGTACTTGGAGTTAAGGTTCAAAGCTGCATGTGTGGGTTCTCTTAGAGTATCAGCTGTGCATTATTTGGAAGAACTGAGTGAGGTCTAAGGTAATCAGTGAAGTTAGTTAGAGGAGTGGCTTATTTTTTCACCATCAACAGTACGACAACAAATTCAATATTTGTAGGATACAATGTTGGTGTAGCTCATTTAGTACAGTGATGGACTATGGGCTGGATGGCTGGGGTTTGGTTCCCAGAAGGTGCAAGATATTTTTCTTTTCCATAAAATCCAGACTGGCTCTGAAGCCCACCCAGCCTGTTATCCAATGGGGACTGGGGGGCTACTTCCCTGGGAGTAAGGTCATGGACGTGAAACCGACCACTCACCTCCATCTAGTGTCGAGGTCAAGAAAGGCAGAGCTATACCTCCACTCCCCCATACACCTTCATGATGTGCTTAATTAAATAAGCACAGGGATGTCTGTACCTTACAATGCTACTTTACATAACTTTATTTACCCTTGACATGAGGGTTCCAAACAGGCTGATCTAGTGGTAACACCCTAAACTTGTACTCATATTTGAGATATGTTCAATTCAAATCTTGGCTGGGACACAAGCTTTCCTGACTGAGGTTTTTCATGGTTTTCCTTGGTCCCTCAAGGCAAATGCCAGGATAGTACCTAGATCCTTCCTTCCAAATCCTTTCAAATTCATCAGTCAATACTGACAGCAATGTTAAATAACCATTTAAGAATGAAAGTTGCATAACATTTATGACGATAATACTCGCATATGTCTACACACGTGAGCAACTAAATTAATCATCCCAACATTCTCAAGGTTCTGGTATTATCACTGTCTGGCTTATAATTAATTACTATCTGTGATCAGTCTAGGAGATAAAATTGTCTAATATGACATTACCAGGATAATGAATAAAAAATATCTGTGATAAGACTACTACCTAAGGAGTAAAATGTACTGTGGTGTATAGACCCCTTGCAAAGCAGTGACTCTGTAAACAGCGGCCTCTGCTAGGTAACGCCTGCAACATACACGTACGTGACCACAGATGGTGTTTTCTATGTGGTCAATGTCATAACTGTTGCTAAGCAATGGTGCAGTAAACAAACCTCTACTACATCATCATCATTCCATCAAATTCTCCACAAATAAGAATATCTAACCAATTCTAAATTGTAATCAGCAGTAAAATTGTAACTATTGTAATTTTAATCTACTTATATATCAAATTGTTAATATTCAGAATTAACTTGACTTGTCATATATCATGTACAATGATCTACAGTGACGAAATAAATAAATCAATCAATCAATCAATCAATAAAGGGGCTGTGTTTTTGTGTGGTCCATGCTGAGGAGTTATCATGAAGACAACGGATGCTACAGTTCAGTTGTGGAATATTCACCAGACAGTAACAATGTGAGCACAGAAGTTGGAGAACCTTCACTGTTAAGACTGGTTACCAAGCAACAGCTAGTGAAAGCAGACTGAGAAGACTTAGTGTGGAAGTCAACAGTAGTATTGTGGGAACTGTCCACATTCTAAGCAATGATGCTTGCGTTTTCACACTTGATTGAATGTGGGCAGTTCCCACAATACTACTGTTGACTTCCACACTAAGTCTTCTCAGTCTGCCCACAGTATTATAGTTCTTTGTAGTTAGAACTGTAAGTAGTCAATAAATCTATTCACCAATCCAAACACTGGCTACAGTCACTAATACATGTGACAGTAGTTATGATAAGCTTACTCTCTAAGTTGACTAAGAAAAATGTATCTACAATAAAACTACTGTTGAGGTAAGAGAGATACTATATGAGATAATATGATGATAAGGGCAATACCCAATATAAGTGTACCACAACTCAAGAAGAATTGGCAGATATAGCAACTATTTATGTTATGGTCCTATAATGTAACAGAGAAGTTAAAAGGAAACAGATATCTTCAGATCTATTTTCAACACTAATGCCAATTCCTGTTCCAACTTGCATGCAAAGTCACACCGAATACCATGCTATTTTATTTAACACTTCTGCTGTATTTGCTAGGGTTCTGCTTGTCAGGATACCGACTGACTGGTAGGCTTTTGTGGGTGTGACAGCTCCATTTCACATCCAACTTCATTCATAACTAAAATAATTATAGTATATTTCAAACAATACTTCATGGCTTTAGTGGCTGATTAGCACAGTAAATTACTTAAATAACAAACAAACCGCCAATGGCAGTTGAAATATTCAAGCCCTAACCATTTCTAGAAACTCATGAAAATATTTTCTTAATAAGATGAAAAACTAGACCTTATTAAACTACTTTCATCCAACGGACCGATTCTGATAATGTGAAATCTGCTGTAACTCAGAGAAGGTTTTACAGACCAAACATTTTCATTTGTAATGTATTTTCTATGCAATTTAGATATAATACCTATTCAGTACACCTCTGTTGTAACTGAACTAATTTCACTCTTGGTTATTAAATCTATAATAGCAATTGACATGCAGGTCGTGTTGACTTGACAAGATTCGTATGGGTGGAAAATCATAAAATTCTGTTATAGGTGTAACCATAACACAACATAAAAGCCACTTAAACATTCACGAAAACACCAAACGTAGTATTACATGAGAATGCACCTTCTTACTATTTAGTTGGGAGGAAATTTAAGTTACTTATAAGTAAACAATTATCATTTCCATAAGTATTAAACACTCATACTTCTATACAAAAATACTTTATTGTGCACATACCCTCTACGTGTAAATCAAATTTCTTACTCTTTTCCTGCTTGGATCTCGACAACGCTGTCATGTTAACAAAACCTTTCCAATTTACGCCAACAACATAAGACTTCTACTCCTTGTCCTGCAATTCCTACCAAATAACAAATTCTCAATGCATTGACGCACATCAACATAACATTATTTGTCTCTGGGAAGTACCACCGACTGATAAAACACAACCTATACACGTCACCATATTCTCGAGCATTCTCGAGGTCGAGTATTCTCGGAATCTCGCTGACAGATACAGAATTCACGTGAATGTCAAAGTCGTCAAAACATTCTGAACCGCCGTCTGTCAACCTGTTGACCACGAATGAACACCAACACCCTTAGCCGATACAAGGGGATTGAAGTATACCATGCCACGGATCGCTCAGGAAGTATCTCTGTAGTAATGCTTGAAGAAATCTTTGGTAAGATTGCGCGATCCGTGGTGTTTCGGGCTCAACTAGGAACTACTCAGTGGTTAAACGGTGTTAGGTGACCTATGATAGTTACTGACAGTTTGGTAAAATGTTGGTTACTAAATCTACACAAGGTAGTAATCCGTGATGTTGACAATTTGTAGCATTTGTAGTGTTCCGTGTCGTTCCATGTGTAATGCAAGCAGCCAATATATCAAAGAAGGGACGTCCAAAGTATTTTGAAACGAACAGTGTAATTGGCTGAAACTGTTGATGGCATTATATATGAAGCAGTTAGAATATTCGTCTTATAAATTTTATGTTTACAATTCTTTGCCGTGAGTGTGTATCCCTGTGTGTATAGTAGTTGATGGTTTTGTGTGTGTGTGTGTGTGTTTGTGTAGAACGTAAAACGTAGGAATGAGTTTGATCTCAATTGTGATTCTCAGCCTATACTGGTAAGTGACAATTTCTGTGTAAGATAAAAAAAAAAAAGATATATATTTCTAGAATTTTCCCAAATTTGCACTAATTTGTGATAGTTGCCATGTGGTACCTAATTTGCGAAGAGCATGGCGTAATAGGCACTAGACCAGCAAATATATGAATCATCAGGGGTTTTCGTAGAGAGTAGATTTCAATCTGTAAATTACAGACTGATGTAATGGAATGTTTGTTACATTTTGTGTAGTAGCTCAGGTCTGCAAAAATTCAAATCACTTCGTATTTTATAAGCACAAGGACAACTTAACTTACCATTACCTTGTATTCTTTATTGCTTAAATCACTCTGTATAGTTCCACAAGTTCCAGAAGGAGACAATATTGAATGCATTAAAACGGATCTGAGGGCAGTAAAGTGGGAGAGTGCACGAAATTCATTTGGCTCAGGGTAGGAACCAGTGATTCACTGTCATGAACATTGTAACAAACCATGTTGTTCCATAAAAGATGGAGAATTGTATGACTAGGAGCATTATTGTTAGATTCTCAAGAAGGATTCTGCTCAAAGGATTTACTTATTTGAACGTATTTGTAAAGTTTTATAAAATGCATGAGCCATTCATGTCATATTTGTGTGTAAGGTAGTACAGATGAGATGTTTAAAATACAGTGGCGCAATTGACTATATCAATATTAAAGACATGTGAACAAACTTGATTGAGAATTGGGGTTCTCGCAGTGGTGAATTTTTATATTGTGGTTATGACACAGTTGGTGATCATCTATGAGACTAATTCTGTTATGATTGGGACTTATAAATAAATAAACCCCGAGTTCAGAATTAGTTAAGGAATGTTTCCTATTGTCTTATAGATTTAATAGATAACATGCTGATAAATAGGCTGTGGCTCAGTACATTAAATTCTCAGAATGCCTATGGGTACCAAGTAATAAAAGAACATGTCCTAAGACTAAAAACTGTATGGTAGACCTAATCCCATACATAATGACAATTAAGGTTTTGTGCATGATTATATAAAATATTTTGAAGTAGCTATAATTACACCAGTGAAAGTATGATACATCTGAGTGCTTGCAGATGGGGCTTCTGTTTCTATTCAAAGTTCTACCCCCAAAAGTTTTTGCTACAAAAAATATAGATGATTCAAGAGACATTTATTAGTTGGTCTGAAAGACAGAGAAACCTGTTTTTCCATCTTACTAGCGATTCCTTACTTGTTTTTTAAATTTCAGATAATATGTTGCTGTTCTTCATATTTTCATAAACATCATCCTGTATTTGAGCAGCAATTATCATTGTTTTTTTATTTAAATAGCCCTGTTCTTTGAGAAATTATGTCTTTAAATGTTGATCTCTGCATCTCTGTTATGAAAATGCTTCATAGTTTTTAATATATTCAGGAAGATGAAAACATAGTTTCAGAGTTCTTAAGAACTTTTGGATATAGAGTTTAAGATATATAGCCTTCTGAACTTTGATAGTTCCTGTACAGCTCCCAGTATGTTGAAGCTGTAATAAAGCAGTGCCATGAATTTAATATGACTGTATCAGGGTTAAAGGCATGTAAACAAATTTGTATGAGATTTGAAAGTTTCCAGTCCAGAATCCTACACAGGATGAAATAAAACTCTTGCAGGTATGACTAGGGTGTGAACCAAAAACAGTGGGCCCTTTTTGTGGAAAGAAACATTTTGGTGTGTACGAAGAAAGCAGCAGTGTTCTAATTGCAATTTGTATAGAAATTCAAATTGTCTAGTGAAGAAGTAATTGTGTGTGTGTGTGTGTGAGCGCACGCGCACGCGTGTGTGTATTTTTTTCCTTGTTATAGTCATGCTCTAAATACACAGTGCAACATTTATGGCCTATTGTACTAGCCCCAGATGATAGGTGAGGGTGATTGTGGACAGTCGGTGGAATGAAGATTGGAAGGGGAAACCAAAGTACTTGGTAAAAACCTGCCCCACCACAAATCCCACTTGACTAGACCCGGGATCGAACCCGGGCCGCGGCGGTGGGAGGCCAGCGTCTAACCGCTTGAGCTGTGACGTGGCCCTTGCTCAGAGTTACATCAAGGTCAGAAAAGAAATTAAAGTCAAAGAATTTGGAACCTGAAGAATACATTCCAGAGGTTGTATGACCATGTAATTTCAGCTGTTGCAAGTTCAGTGTTAGTGCAAATGAACTGAGCTTTTTGAAATGTTCTGAAGCTATTATTGATTATTGCTAATGTAGAACTTGTGAAACTAGTTTTGGAATGTGACCATTAATGGTGTAGATTTCAAGGCACATCTGTAACAGAAGCAGTTATGTGCCACAACGGAGGCAGAGACTGCTGAATTTGTGCAGAGAAGAAATAGAACTATTCTGTACACTTGGATATGGAAAAGACAGCATGGGCAAAAATGGACAAGTTCACACTATTTGACAGATAGTAGTGAGTTCAACAGCGTAAATAGAGCTGTATGAAATGAAACCAAAGGTATCCAGGAAGTACTTGATACAGTGCTCAGTCATGCCATCAGAGTCTTGAAATCACTGATTTGAGCTGAAGTACCAGATATTTCATATAGAGATGTGCTGGCAAAACTTGTGTGCTCTGTAGATGTAAATCATGTTCTGATTAAGATGTTCTTCATTATTTTTTATAACTCCCGAAGAAATTTCAGGAGAACATAGTGATTATTGTACATGGTGGATTCATCAGAGCTAAAGAAATGTCTGCATGTTCATTCCTTCTACTCTGTAGGCGAATACCTCAATGTAAATAGAGAATAATGTAGAATTAAGCTTTATCAGTTTAAGATAAAATTACTTGTACCAGTAGGTATTATTTTGACTTGTTCTATATCCAGAGGTATTAACCTACTTAGGATCTATGGAATGCAAATAAATTCAATTCAATTCAAGTTGATCATTCTTTCCTGTAAACTAACACAGTCCATTGATGAATTCATTGAGATAGTGATCAGGAAACTCAAGAGCTTAACAAATGTAATTTTGTGGAAAAGAAAATGATTTTATTGAAGTTGTGAAGCTGAACTTATGAGAAACAACTTGTGCTGCAGATGCGTACTGAGAAATATACATGCTTTGGCTCGGCCCAAGGTTGTTACAGGCATAATAGCGAGATTACTTCACATATTTTTGTTTTGTACTTTATGGTAGGAAGGTGACAGGGAACTGCAGTCTCATCACGTGTTCCATAAATTAGACCATGACGCCAACACATCTATTACATTCCAAGAAACTGCTATGAAATATTTTCATAAAAAACAGTGCCACACATGAAGAAAACAATGTGATGGGCCTGCTTCCCAGTATAAAATTTATTCTTGGCTTTCAGATTCATGCCACCGAGACAGTAAGAATCGCATTTTTTTTGTCATAAGGGATGAAAGAAATGTTTATGGTGGTGTTGCTGCCACATTAAAGTGTTAGCTACTAGGCCCAGCCTTCAAACATCACAGGAAACTGACTATCTGGCATGTATGGGGAATGGGATATGCTGGTTATATGAATTGGCCAGTAGCATGAGAGCAGTGCTTACAGAAACCAAAGCCTAAGCACATCAAAATTCTAACACTTTTCCAGCCTTGTGTGTATTTCTATTTTAAAGTGTGACATAGCTGATTGATGAAAGATATTGGATGTAGAATAATGAGATCGCATATTCATCTAGCCTCTGCTGTAATGGCATATGAGTTGGGGAGGATGGAAAGCAACACTGTCAGTGGCAGCTGGTAGAAGTACCATGTGGTGCATTACAACTTTGTGTTTGAAGTAAAAGTGATACTTTTTTTTTAATTTTTGCTGGTTGTGTGTGAATTCCAGATGCTTGGATACTGGATAACCTGGGAGTTTATTGTTTATAATGTGCTTTATACACATTCTTATGTACTAGAGCAGGGGTCTCCAAACTTTTCGAAACGCGGGCCACATTAGGTAATTCAGCACTTTCAACAGGCCGGATAAAATGAGAAATTAATAATTCTAGGTATATGAGTTTTATTGAAAGCACAGAATTTCATAAACTAAATACAAAGTACGTGAGAATAAATTATCGTATATTAATGACAACAGACAGTAGCAGCAAATGCTCATATTTTCATCACAAATTATAATAAAACAATTAATGTGAATGATGGAACTCTTTTTGCATTCTTAAAATCTGATTAAATTGAGGTGATGATGATCTGTTACAATTACACTGCACCACTGCAAGAAGTCTTGTGCACAAGACGGCTAGTAATGAACTGCTCGTGCTACCTACATTGCCACGAAGTGACACTGCCAATCGAGGACGAACAAGTACGAAGAAATACCGCGCAGTATACCGTCCAGAATTAGTAAAATTGTGAATAATATTAACATAATATGGAATATCAATATATTTTAAACACGTTGAATTTGAAATCTATGAACAAGTATTTTTTTACCAGTACTCATTGGAAAATTAGTACAATTGGCGCATTTCTGCATAATTCTTTCGCGGGCCGTAGTTTTGAGACCCTTGTACTAGAGGGATGCTATGAGGTATATTATGTTTGAAGAATTTCATCTTTAGTTAATTTTCAGAGGAAATTATTAGAATCCTCTTCAGTCCCAGGTAGTCTGCTCAGTTGTTCAGTAACCAGATCTTTCGAACATTTACAGAAGGTATTTCCGCTTCAGTTTGTTATGATTACTATACCTGTTTTATGTTCTATTATTTAAAGTGAAATTGGTAGATGTAATGGTACTTCTTGTTAATGATCATCCAGATTTATCACAATGAATTCTTTTGAATGTGTCTCTTAGTGCATCTAAAAGAGTTTGTCATGGTAAGTGTAGATGGTCAATTGCAAGAAGTAACCTTGATGATACCATGGCCATGAATTCTTTCAAGAAAGGTATCTGTTGTTTTGAGGAGAATCTTAACAATAACAGCACTTTCAGAGCCACATGTTTCACACAAATGCAGCTTGCTATGCGATGAGATCAATTAAGCCTTTTATGTCACAGGAAACATTGAAGATGGTTTACCATGCCTACTTTCATTCTATTATGAACTATGGATTAATATTTTGGGGGAACTCTTCACATAGTGTAATAATTTTTAAAATACAAAAGAATATAATTAGAATCATTACAGGATGTAGAAGTAGAGATTCATGTAGAGAATTATTTAAGAAATTAAAAATTCTACCTCTTCAATCGCAATACATATTATCGCTTCTCTTATTTGTTGTTTACAACAAAGATAAATTCAAATTAAATTCTGATGTCTATAACATGAATACTAGACAAAAATATAACTTCCACCTACCCTCATCAACTTTATCAGTATATCAAAAAGGAGTCTACTTTACTGGCATAAAAGTGTTCAACAATCTGCCACAAAGTATTAAAAACTTGGGCAATGATACTAAAAAGTTTAAATCAGAGTTAAAGAATTATCTACATGCTCATTCCTTCTACTCTTTAGATGAATACTTCAATGTAAATAGAGAATGATGTAAAATTAAGTTATATTAATTTTTAAGCTAAAATTGCCTGTACTTATGTATGTAACCTTTTGACTTGTTCTGTATCCAAAGGTACTAACCTACTTAGGATTTATAGAATGTAAATAAATTCAATTCAATTCACAAGTCATAATTCATGATTGCACAGAAAGATGCTGCTTCATCAGTTGAACGCCCTGTATTATATTTAATTTATTTCTTTATGTTCTTCCATTTAGCATACTTTATATATATGCTTTTCTTCATCCTCTGACATAATCCACTTCTGTGTGGATTGAATATTTCAAATATTATCCCAGCATCTTCTTTGAGAAAGAACATAGACACTCAAGTAAGAACTGTTCATATGCAGCTCAGAGGGCGATGTGTTGTAATAGTTCTGATTATGAAAGAGTTGATGGTGATCATTGAAACAGAAAGTTAATGTGTGGCTCTTGATTAATGGTATCATGAGACAGAGATGGTTATATTCTTTTAGGGGGCCAATACACGTACGAGTCTGGCTCGCAAGTCTGATGTTGCTTGGGTTCCAATGAGCCAGACTCGTACGTGTGTGGGTTGCCACACTCTTATATGTGTGGTGAAATTAATCTGAGCCTGGCTCCTCACCGAGCCGGACTCGTGAGCCAGACTCATACATGTTTGAGCCGCCTTACTGTTTGTGATAGGAGTAGCATTGCACTGTACTGCCGTAGAGTTGAATGAAGTGGGAACTGAACAGGTTTTACTACTTGCTGTTTCTCTATTAATCTGTATTGGCCATGCATTGTGCTGTTGTAATAGTACAAGCCTATGGACGAGCCGAATGAGTATTGCATTTTTTAATACTTCTGCCATTATCCCCAAGGTATTTTATGGCTACTAGCGCTGTAGTAGAAGGGTTTCAAGCTCCATGTTGCCAGTTGGTCAGTGTGTTTTTGTAAGTCATGTCATCGGTTTCATATGCAGATTCAGGGTATTGTGTGTTGTTTTTAAATAGATTTACTTGTAAATTATGTCCTTTGCTGAAGTACAAGTTGTACTATATAAAAAAACAACCCTTACTGTAACGGCATAAGCAAGCTTACAAATGATGTCAGTGTTAATTTTTCATTCAGTACTTCTCTGTTAAGGAACACATTACCAAATGCTTCACAAACAGTAGCAAGCAATTCTGACATAAAATAATATTTAAGATTGAACAGATGTTGTAATCCTGAATACGCCATTGAAGAAAATTTGGAGCTTCCACAAAACTGGTGACAGTAGCAGCCTAGTGGCCAGGATGACATTGGTTCGAATGTCATGAGGAAAGTTGGGAGAGTTCGTAACACTGGAGGAACAGCTTCTAATTTTGTTTCTGTGCGGTTGTACTTAATGTTTTTGGATTTTATTCTCAGCGGTGCTTGTGCATGTTGCATGAGTTAATAAAAATGTTGTTTAATATTGACAGGTAGTAATGTTTGCAGTATCAGGCACAAAGATGGTACCAGTGTTGGTAGCGACTTGCCCAGATGATGGGTGCAATGCTGTGCTCATCTTCCCATCAAAAGATAAGATTGTTGACTGTCATGGCTGTGGGCAGCGCCATAGGGCATCAGAAGTTAAAGATGTTAGACAGATGCAGGAACAGGCACTTGGTGTTAAAAATGTTCTGAGAAGCCTCCTCCTAGCAACAAATGCAAACATGAAGAAGAGTGCAGACTTGGTAAGTGTTACTTCTTTCTGTTATGAAGGGGCAATATTCATGGCTTCAGAATTTGAGACAGTTTATACAAATTCACTATTCTGCTCTATAATTGTAGTGTTTTCCTGATAAGAAGCTTTTCAGCATACCAGTGGAAAAAAAACTTCTTGTGTAAAAAATGTAAAATTAGTTTCATTTTTTTGATCCACTTTTGTATTTTGATCCCAAGAAATTGTTTCATAATGCTTTGCTTGTACAAAGCACAGATACACGTTGTCAAGGCAACTTGGAGATATAGTGGCAACACCAGAGCTGTGTTGTATTTTAATGCTAAAGAAAAATTAATAGAACACAGGTTGTGGTGGACCACCAAAGAATTGTATAAAATTACATAAGCATCTGAACAACCACTGCATTTTGATTTGCTTCCACTTGCTGTATAATATAAAGTTTCTCCTGCAAAGTTATTTTCTGTATAGTTGGAACTGCCAGTATGTTTCATTTAAATGACTTTACACCACAATGGAAGTAACATAATCAGTTTCTTGTTCTTATTAAACTTATAAAAAACATGTATGCACATTAGATCGCTATGTATGATTTACAGTGAAACAAGAATGTTGTAAATTGAATGAGCATAAAGTGATATACATTGATACTCTTCACTTAGTAAAAGGGGAGCAACTAAATCTCTGGAACTAAAAATGAACTGTCATTAGGTCTGGTCCAAGGTATTAAGTAGTCCACAATCATATATCAACTGTGGTACAGTTTGACTATCAAGAAATGAATAACAGTTTTAAAGCCTTTTAATTTTAAATCTGTTATGGTCAAATTTGTTTGTAAGTATTATTTTAAACATATAAAGTGGGGAATTTTTGAAAAAGAAAAGTGTTTCAAAATTAACTTCTAAAGCAGGAAAACATTATGTATTAGAACTCTATACGTGGGAAGTTTTAGCATACTTCTGAGCATTTTTGTGAGACTTTGAAATGTAAATTTCTTAGATAGGAGAATATAATATCTGGGAAGCACTTTATTTTTATCAAGCAGGATGAAAATCACAGTAGATATTTAGAGACAATACAGAAATTTCTCTCTTCCCCATATCCTCCCAAAAATGGTTTAGCTTCTGGGGTGGTCGTGAACTACTGTTACACTGAATTGTATTTAAACCTTGTCTGTGGTTCATGTAGTCGGCAACCCTTAGTGTATAAGACATTTAATCAATGAATCAATGAATGATTAAATGTCTTATTGAATGATATTGCTGGTGCCATCTCTGAAATGTAATCCTTAGAAGGTGTCTATTTTTGCTTACCATGTATGTTTGTCCGTCTGTCTACCTGTATGCAACAAATTGAGAACCACTTAACTGATTTAAAATAAAAACTGAAGTTGGCAAGTTTTACTTAAATGTGTCAACTTATTTCAGTTCCATTTGAAGTACGACAGTGATAAAGGACACATGAAAACATGTTTTTGCATGTGTATTATGCAAAATTCATGCAAACTCACTAAATATCAGAACATAAAATATTTGAACAGAAGCTGTTTATAGTAATGATATTCATGTTTTATACGTACTACACTTTTTCATGAGTTGTACAGTTTTAGAGGTAATGAAACAGACTGGATTTTATGTTGATCACTTGCGGTGATAGAGCGAATGTACCAGAATTATGTTGTTCGAATGTTTTCTAAGTTGCTTGAAATAGTCATCATGTAGACATGAGAGTAACGTAGTATAATTCATCATTCCTTACGTCTTTGTTATCATGTGATCTAAGAAATTTGGAGCTTATGAAAGGGTTGAGTAGATAAAGAAAGGCTTTATCAAGCATAATGAGATTTTCTGTCTAATTTTGATGTTTAATGGACAGCAAAGTAAAAACGGTTGCTTGTAGAAAACTATAAATATTCCAAGAATTGTAATACTGTTAGAGGAATGTCAGTAAACACAGTACCACATCTTAAAAGTGCATGATTCACTCACAGCCTTAATGTCTGATGTTCTCTGATGCCTTGAGAAACATTTTGAACATATCTGCTGAAAAAAACACTTCCATTATTTTGGGAATTTTTTAAATAATTTGACATAATGTGATAGCATATTCCAATTTGGTGGGCCACCACTACATACTGCAGGGAAGGGGTTACCATTTCAGCTGATAAAAATTAATTGAATAGATTTTTCCTGTATTGTTCCCAGATATTATTTCCAGATAAAATTGTTAGGAACTTTGTTTCAATTTTTTTTTTACTGTATTGATGTGTGTGTGTGTGCGTGTACGCATGCAAGCAGGGATTGGTTACAAATGTCATGAGTTGCTTAAATGTAAATTTTTATTATTGTTTGCACTTTGCAGATAAATATTCAGTTTTGCTTAACAGAATATGTGTTAACAGAATGATTTTATGTCAGCCAGAAGGGAAGTAAGGTGACACCTTGCTTCAGGTACTGCTGATGTTTTAAAAGTATTGATATTAACAACTTATTAACTTAGTATTTTTATGAAATTATAACAGTGTTGATACTTTTGACCATGATGGTTAACTTTCTTCTGTCATGGGAAACATTGCTCTGAGTTAATTTGTTTTTTGACAGGTGAAAGTGAATGGTTTATCAAATTACCATTGCAAATTGTTGTCACCCTTGCTTACCTATCATGGAATGGACAAGAATACCCAAAAAGCAAAACCATTGTCTGAGCTGACAAACAAGTAAGTAAAGCATTGCCTTTCTGATAGGCTTATGTGATTTTGAAAATACTGTAGTGCATCATCATATTGTGAGTGAGATGGTTTTTCTATTTTTTGGTCACTTCTGCAAGCCTATTGCATCGGTCTGCCAAATGACACCACGCTGTGAACAGGCATTGTTTTTACGTGAGTGTTTTTTTTTTTAACTTTGTGTTTCGTTTTGTCTGCGATGGATGGCAAAATCAAGCAATGTGTGTTTCGTTTTGTCTGCGATGGATGGCAAAATCAAGCAATGTGTCTGCATTAAGTTTTGTGTGACAATTGGTAAATCCACTGCCGAAACCCTTGAAATGCTTCATGAGACTTTTGGGGAACATTCTTTAAGCGAGACATCCATGTTTCAAGGCTGGTCGATTGTCAGTTGAAGATGACAAACATTCGGGTGAGCAAACACCAACAAAATGACAGAAAATGTTGAAAACATTTGAGAACTCATCCACATATTTAAGCAGCCATGGTAGAATGGTTTCCAGAAAATCATGATATCACTAAGCAGTCAGTCTCATGTATGAGATATGGCCCCACGACAGTGTCCTTGACAATTCCAGCCCAAATGCTGACACTGAAGTGGACTTGATACCTTTGTTTGCAGATAGCATAAGGATTATCCTGTGCCCAGAGGTGACTGTTGTTGATGTTGAACACACTGTCGTGCATAGACTGTACTTCATATGCTTATAGAATGTTCTGTATAAAGAGCTCACCCACAGTATGTACCTGTCATAGCCGTTTGCACAGTTGTATCCATAGAGGATTATCATCTGGAAACAGGTGTGTGTTCTGTGAGTAGTGGTGTGGATGCAGTTAATAGTCATGAAGTACTCTGAGGACCCTTTGGTTGGGATAGTCTCAGTTCTCATGCAATATCACCTGAGCTCCACGGCCCTTGTACCACAGTTGCGGTTATGGCATCTTCATTGGCTGGTGTGTGTACAGACTGTGCTACTTTCATTTGCATATGCTGTAGGTGTTACACTTCTTGTCTCATGCAAACGCTGCTATAGTTTTTGAAACACAGTAGCATCTGGATGACATTGACTAGGATAGCATAGTGCGTATTCACGTGCAGCAATACCGGTTCGACTGTTACAGGTACCAAAGCTTAAGAACATGTTGCAGTATTTATTGTTTGTTTATTCCATGATCATTTGATGACAACAGCAGAGAGATGTCTTGCCTAATGTGCTGTGTGTCATCATGACAGCAGTGCTGAAAAGTAGGTTACCCCACTTGATGGTTGCACATATCTTGAAAACAAAACGTCTTAGGACGTATGTTGTGTAACATTTTCAGCTTTTTTTTTTTTACAAGGAATCTCACTATGAAGGGTTTGTGGACAAATTTCATTCCACCCTGCCCACCAAACACTTTCCTATATAATTACTTTCAGATAATATTCTCTTGATTAATGATCTTATGTAACTCTGTTGTTGGATGGGAAAGGAGAGTTCTTAGCTGTGTTTAGGCGCATTATGTCTAAGTCTAAGAAAGAACTAATGTATATTATTTGCAGAGCAACATTTGATTGTAGTGTTCTGAGTGACCGCAGTTTCCTAATTAGTGCTGAGCATCTTGATATTCTTGGTTATGGACGAGATCAATCAGGAAGTCTCAGCTACTTAGCAGAAACGCTTAGGCGTATTGAAGAGGCCAATGGAGATAGGTAGGTACTGGGATGATGAGTCTTATCCTTCATCTCATCATAGCACTTGCGATGTGTATCTATTTTTCAAATTGGCACAGAATCCAGAAATGTAAACGTTTTTTAGAAACTGTTCAGTAATGTGTCTATAGTAATATTCCATGTCCTAGCTGCATGTTCATAAAAATATGTAAAAAAATTTGAGAACTTCTTAATGAAATCCTGTTGGTACCTCTAGCCTTCATTAGCTAAAAGATTTCTTAAATATTTTCCCCTGTCATTGTAGAGAGTAGGAGTAGAGTTATAATTATGGAATTAGTAATTTTATGCTTGTGAATCGCTTACTGATGGGGGAAAGTAAAGTGGAATTGTAAGATTTTGTATATGGAGAGTGGAAATACATATTATCATTGCTTGCCTAAAAGTTTTAGTTACTTTTTTGTAATATAACTGCAGCATGTTAACATTTCTTTGCATAGTTAAGGAGATACTGCCAGTTTTTCCTTTTACAAATATGTGTAATTAATTTTGTATTGATTGTTGATCTGTTATCAATGTGACAACTCTTCTTTTATAAATAATCTCATTCTATCTCTCTTGGCTATGAAAGGAAAGTACTGGTTCCAATACATGCTGATGCTGATGGACACTGCTTGGTACATGCTGTGTCTCGAGCTCTTGTTGGTCGGCAACTCTTCTGGCATCCACTGCGCACCCACTTGAAGAGGCATATTCGTGAGAAGAAAGATACGTATAAGGTATATTGAGTTACGCTACATATAAGTTAATTTTACAGTTCACTTAATTTGGTATGGATTGGCTCTTTTGTATGTTTTAAAAACATCAGCTATAAGGCAGTCTGATATACAACTGTTGTATTCAGGCCGTAACTATTTGAGGCTTGATTTTTAACTTTCCCCCTTTCCTTACTTCATTGTGATGCAGATTTTGAGTGTTGTGTACATTTTAAGAGAACTGATAAACGAATTATAATTAATAGACGATAAATAGAAGTTATAAGTTGAATAACATTAGTTCTTGTATTTTAACTTTTAATATTAGCACTGCTATCATATATCAGTTCTCAACAACTACTGCAAAGGATCACGGTACGTCCACAGACTGAGTGACATCCAGCAGCTATGACACTCCTCAGAAACTTGTGTGTCTTTAAATACTGTGGAGTTCAGCGATATTTGGAGCAATTAGTGTCCCACTCTTTGTAAGCACTTATGCACTTAAGAACAGTTCTCTGTTCAGTTGCGACTTCAAAGCAGGCCATTCCATACCAAATCAAACAGAACGGAATTATATTTCAACGACACCATGTGGCCCGTTGAAAGTGAACTGACATTTCGGAGGAACAAATCACCTGTGTCGTCAAAGTCAAGTTGAGCAAGATACCAGTGAGAAACAGGTGGCAAGTGTAAAATTAAAGAATTGAACCTTGTTTTGTAGCTGATTAAGTGACTTGTTTCTTTCAGTGTTAACATGAGTAAGAAATGCAGTTCGTCACAGTTTTGAACCATTGTTTTACAAAATTCTGTAATTTTTTGTATGAAAGGAACTGTTGCAAGACTTCATTAATGCATCAGAATGGGACCTGATAATTGAAGAGTGTGATCCAGATTACGTGCCAGAAGAGGCTAAGGGAGAAATTCTAGGCCTCCGTAACATTCATGTTTTTGGGCTGGCTAATATTGTGAAGCGCCCCATAATCTTACTTGACTCCGCAGCTGGCATGAATTGTTCAGGAGATTATTCAGGTAAAGACTGTGTGAAGTTACATGAAGATATTCTAAGAATGGTAGTATACTAAAATTTGAAACTGTTTGCATATGATAGAGGAATTGTTACATTTTTAGTTACAACAGCAACTGATGTGTCTGCTATGACAGCAGCCATACAATAATGCAGTGATAGACTTGCTGAACTCTTCATTTCAGAGAAATATAAAAGCTCTTTCTTGTAATTCGGATTAGTAAGCTTGTGTTTTGACTCATTTTATTAACCTGTGAATAACTCTTGTTAATCTCACCAGGTATATAAAGTGTATGGAGAATAAAAGCTTCCATCCTTGTGTATTTTCCCACAATTTCAAATCTGTCACTTTTGTCATCACTCATCTCTTTCTGAATTTATTTTCTTTTGACCCATCCAACATGTGCCCAGCCTTAGAACAGGTTTATTTTCCAATCAGTTGCCATTTTGAGTATGTGCTGTTTTTCACAAGCTACAAATGGCCAAACATCATAAGTGCATTACTTGTAAATCTTTTGTAATTTATTAGTTATACTCCATCACTTTTGTTTCAAAGCCTGTCTCTTTCTGGTTTTCTTAATTAACTCAAGAAATGTTGGTCCTTCAGAAGCTGACAGTCATCTGAAACTGGTTTTTCATTCATACTGTACTCATACATATTTGTAGCTTCATTCTCAGCAGGAGGCATATGGAAAAAGCTAAAAGTGAAATAGCAAAACCAAGCTTCATTATAAATACATGGCTTCCATACTCTGAGGGTTATAGTTTATGGAATTTTGAGTAAAATGGAAGTTTATTATTGAAAATGTGCCACCCACATCTGCAGAAGTTAAAATTTCCAAATTATATGCATTANTGCTTTCTTCATAGTCACTGCCGTGAAAGCCTCAAATCTTATATATGCATTGAAATAGGATTGTGGCCTCTGTATTGGCAAATATGATACTGTTCCATGCTCACTGTGATTAGTTAATAGGTTGTTTAATGAATCTCTGATTATCTGCATTGTTGTGAAGTGTAGAATGAAATTAGAGAATGATGGTTTGTGGGGAAAGATGGAAGCAGTTGTGGTCTTATCCCAGCATGCACCTGGAATGAGTGAATTAAACAGCGAAACCTTGGGATAGCCACAACATTACTGCTGCTCAGTACAGTTCAGCATCTTACAGCCAACTCACGTACACATATTAGGGCACTATTTCTCATAGATATGTGCTAATGTTCCATTGTGTGTTTGAAATTACGTGAAAAGTGTGTAGAGCAGAGCCCCGATTATTGTGTGTTTGAAATTACGTGAAAAGTGTGTAGAGCAGAGCCCCGATTATTGTGTGTTTGAAATTACGTGAAAAGTGTGTAGAGCAGAGCCCCGATTATTCAGCCTTCAGCTGTGTGACATTCAGTGTTACCTGACTTGACTTGGGCTCTTGAAACAATGAACATTGAGATTTTACCGTGTATGTATATTAGTGTTGCATTTCTTTTGCATCTTCATTACCAACTAAATATTATTTATGTAGTATCATGATACAGTTATGGAATCAGTTGGGTAGATATTTACTCTGTGTTTGTAATGTTTTTGTATCATTCGTCTTTTGGTTGTCTGACCACCCTGTGGTTCGGTTTAGGTTAGATAATTTTGTTTCACTGTATTTTGTATCATCAGATGGGTGGCCTCTTGATATGCATATGTTCTGTTACAGCTGTGTTTTTACCAGCTCTTGTTAACCCTGAGGAATGCAAGGGTAAGACGAAAGAGCTCAACTTGCCGCTATGTCTTGCATGGAGCAGCTCTGCGAGGAACCACTTCATCCCTTTGGTGGGAATTGAAGGAGGTGACATTTCTTTTGTAGTCACATTTCCTAACAGCACTGTTGGAACTGTACAGTGAAATGACTATCTTGGAAGCCGTATGGAATAGGACATGTACATATACACTTTTTTGTTTAGAATGACCAATACTGTGACATCCCAGAATACTGACCTTTCTTCCTGGGACACTCTGTATATCTTTTATTTCAAAGGATCTTTTTCACTGTCACGCTTGACAAGTAGACCAAGTCTGCTTGCAGGCCTTTTTAGAAACAGGCATCTCAGAATGAAATACGGAAATGAAAAACATTACATAAAGAGATTGCTGTTAAAAATGTAAAATAAAGTGCCAGAAAATGTAAACAGGTTTAAAAATTATGTTCAAGTATTTCAGACTCAGCTGGTATGAAACCTCTTTTCCAATTTTATTCTCAGCATTGTTATTTTGAGTCCACTTTTGTTAGGCAATTTACAGGCACTTTGATGATCTGTGTCTGTTATATGTTAAAAGTTCTTCAGGTTTATCTTTTGACAGTTATATATAATGCAAAGTCTGGGTGAATCTTTCCACAAACATGTTTCTACTGCAAGATATTTTGTTGTGTTTAGTTATAATTTGAGCTTTTTTCTACAGGTTAATTAGATCAGGAAATTGCTGGAACCTTTTTTTATCTTCACAGTAGTTGTAAGAAACATTTTCTGTTGCATACTTTAAGTTGAATAAGTCTTACACTGAACTTAATCACCCTCAGTTATGTTACAATTGAATTCACCTTAAAGGAATTAACAATCATTCTTATATTACACTGACCTCGAGAAATTGATGATAGGGGCCTGATCAGGTCTTTGGGCCAAGGTTTGTGCATGTCTACTTTAGTTTTACCATGCAACTGTTATGTGGATATTAGTTGAAAAGCTGATTTTTGCTGTTGTAACCTGTCTCTGTGGAACTTGTATATTCATTACTGTGTACACACACAACTTTATATAGTTTTGCTCTGAAACTTTCAAATAGTTAATTGTAGAAGTAAAGTAATTTCAGTCCAAGCATGCACTTTTTGTGAATTAGTCTGATTTTACTCCTTTGGTACTGATTTAACTTGTATAAATCACTTTTTCATTATGCTGGAAATACTGGCTGTTTTTTATTACTACTGTTGGTTTAACATAATTTAAGAGCACAGAACAACATGTACAAAGAATGTAATTTTTTTACTAAGCTGGGTATCCTGATCACAAAAGTGATAATCAGTGTGGGATTTGTGGTGGACATAGTGGCACTGAAGCAGATTTTCTCAAATTTAGTTTCCCTTTCTAATTATTATTCAATCAACTGCTCTATATTCATTAATCAGCCTGTCGTTGATGCTGTATTGTCACAATACTGACAGTGTTATTACATGACAAATTTAAAAAAAGAAACGGTGATTGAAAAGGTGTAATACACAATTCTTTTTTTGTTATCTGTTGTTTTGGATGCATGACATGAACCATACATACCACTTATTATGTAGTTTGAAATAATGGCATTATTTGAATAAGAATAAACTTTTATTCACTAATAGAACACCGTTTTTGTTTTCAAATATGGTTGATACGAATTATAAGATTACTTTTAAAAAAAGGATGCTGTTCTGGTTCAAAATAAAATAAACAAGATGATGTGGTGCAGATTTTTTATGTCCAGGTTTGGAATCAACACGTCAGAGTTCATGTAAAAAGTTGCTGTTCTTTTATGTTACTGTACCCTTGTTGAATAGTGTTATTATGGAATCAGTATAAGTAGTAGTGAATTATTTTTATCCTTTATTTTGAATTAATTGTTCCAGAGAAATTGCCTGTGATTCCACGCAGACTGTTACCAGAAGTGTGGGGTGTACCTCAGAACCTGTTGTCTGTATATATGAACTTCGATGATCAAGATTGTATTGCTATTGGTAGGAAAGAGAATTCATTTTTGTATGACTAAAGTCATAGTGTAAGAACTTCTGTTGTGCCATAAAACTTTATGCAGTCAGATGTCAATAAAATAATCATATACAATTTACAGTTTTGCAGAATATACCAGTTCTTGAAAAAAAAAAACATTGGATTCACTGTCCTACAAATTCCAGATGAATGAAAACTTATGTTTAACAAACAAACAAATTTCTCTTTAAGTGTATTTATTAGCAGTTTAAGTTAAGCAGAGATTTAAAAATATATTGAAATGCAATTTTTAATACTTCAGTTATGTCTTTATTTTTAATTTTTGATCTGTGTAAGAGAAAGAATGTATGTACATAGCTGTTGCCGGCACAATGTATAGACTCTTTGACAATGCTTATTTTCCACACATAGCCATTTGGTATCTAGCAAGAAGAATTACAGCTTCATGAAGTAGCAGTGCAGCTGCTACTGACATGACATAAAGAATAACTTAAACGAAGACGTGTAATGTTGCATGGTAAAGCATAAATTACACAAGATTTTAGGTTTTAATGGCAGAGTAGTTTCATATTGTGTGCATGATATATGGTAGATGGGTACCAAATCTCTTCATTTGCATGGTTCATTCAGGGTTTGGGACCAGCTCTGATAGAGGGCTCAGTGGAGTAGTGTTCCTTAATTTATCGTAACACTTTGCGGACCGGCGATTTAAATATTTAAATCACCCTGGGGACCGGCATTTTTAAACTTACTACCCTAACTTGTGCACTGTTCACTTTAAAAATTAATATAAAATTTCCCAATTAATTTTATGAACTAAAATTTTTGGAGAACACTTTTCAATGCTCCTAGACATGCTTGAGAGTGTGATATTTCTGGAAACGTTCACCTTTGTGAAGTGGCATTACAGAGAACTTGCAACTGTAGACATGCTCCTTTTTTGTGAACTGTGGAAACATGGCATTGCCTAGAAAGATGCTTCCCCTTGGAATGTTCATGCTTCACAATTTTCACGAGGGTATGTTTCCGCATATCACCCGAGAGTCGCCCTGTGGGATCCACATGAGGCTTGCGTGGGGTGGGATTGAATGTGCATGGTCGCACTAAGTTTGTGTCTGACTCTGGTTCTGCCGCCACCATCTGGTCTGTAGCCCAGGGCTTTGCCACTTTTATTAGAAATGCTTTGTATTTCAATTTTGAATCAGGGTTTAGATTTTTGTGATTTTTTAAATTTTTTACTGTCACTGCAATGCTATTACCCCCATTATCGTCGGAGCTACGGTCACTTTTCCTGTCTGTGGCCACAATTCTTTGCTCTCCCCTGTCACTGCTGCTCTCTCAAACACTATAACTACGCATATCACAAGGCAGGTCAGCTGGCTCATCGGAAAAGAATTTGTCCTTGTCCATACCCCAACACTAACTGCTGGCTGATGCATGCAGCTTGAAGAGCAACAAAGCATTATCGCTTATAGTGGCTTAAGAAAACAGTGAGATCAACTTACTGACAAGCGAATATTCCAGAGTTTTATTATGCCATTGTGTGCAACTTGGGTGGTGCCAGAGAGATGTGTAGTGTGTTGCAACTTATCGTGTTTTAAAAGCCTGTTAACAGGCGAACGGTCCGCCATGTTTAAAAGCGAAACACCTTTTAAAGGGTGTGCGGTCCGCAAAGTGCTAACATACTATGAAGGATATAACCATTTTCTGAAATATGGTTTCAAAATTTGGGATAATGAATGGCCAGTAACCCATTAAAAGGAAAGTTAGTAACATTTAATTTAACAGTGATACCTAATTTATGACGGGGGCACGCGGTAGCGTAGTTGGTTGAGGTACTATGCTACAATCTGGAAGGTCTCAGGCTCGAATCCTGATGAGATAGATTTTTTCAATTTACCTAATCCTTCCAGCTGCACTATGGCCTTGGAGTCGACTCAGCCTCTAACGGAAATGAGTACCAGAAATATTCCTGCGAGTAAAGGGTGGATGGCGCGTAAGGCTGACAAACTTACCGCCATCTATGAGCTGACTGTCCAGAAAATGTGGGAGCCTCAACGTCTCACAACCCTATGGGCGTCCACGGCCTGTTACAGGAATATCTTTTCCTTTTTTTTTTTACCTAATTTATGACTTAATCTTGTGAATTTTAAACTGATTCTCTTTACATGAAGGCTGAAAAGAAGTATTATTAGTATATTTTTAAACATTACTTCTTGTATGCAGGTGGTAACAAGGTTCTGCAACAGAGCTACATCAGAAAGTTGGTAAAGGCAATGGACGAATTGATGCTGCAGAAGTTTGGTGTCCGTCCCTCATTAGTTTGTGATATGTACCAGTACAACTACAAGAAACCAAGTACGTAAAAGTTTGTTTTATACTATGTTTATTATTAGATAAGCTGTCCCATTGTAGGTCTCCCCTGTTAAGTGTTTTTATGAACCTTAAATTTATTTCTCAGGTGCTACTCCTATCACACCACAGCTTGTAACATCAAATACCCAGAAGGCCATACAGGAACGCCGTGTTTTCAAGTGCTTAAGTTGCTATTCACTTTGTGTAGCACCTCTATCTTCTGAATGGCTGCGTCCTGGAAACAATGGATTGTTTTATAACCTTGCCATCAAACAGTACGGAACATTGGAGGACAAGAAAGTATATACCTTCGCAAATTATGTAAGTATAACATGGTGTTAGGAGACTGTGTTCATAGTAGGTGTACTGTTACTGCAGTACATTTAATTCTATTCAGGTATTTGAATTTTGCTATATGTCTTGACCAACAACTGACATGACAGAAACACATCAAAACAAAGTGTCAGAATTTAAATTTAAAACTAAGAGAAATATCCTGGCTTTTGGGCAGTAAATCCAAGCTATCCATAGAAAACAAACTTCTACTATATAAGTGCATAATAAAACCCATATGGACATATGGTATACAGGTATGGGGCTGTACAAAACCATCAAACACAAAAATAATTCAAAGAGTTAAATCCAAATTCTTGTGCTCAGTAACTGAAGCACCTTGGTATGTCTCCAACTTTACTATTCACAATGATCTGCAAATACCATTTCTCACAGAAGAAATACATAGATTGTCAGCACTCTACCATCGAAGCATACTCGGACATATCAACAGACTAGTTGTAGAAATTAGCAACCCACCAGATGTAAGAAGAAAATTGAGGAGACAGTGGCCGTCTGACCTGCCACAATCCGCAGATGACGAAGATTAAAACCATCATCATTCCTCTACAGGACCCGTCAGTATCATCAGTGGATGGCGTCTCTACTCAAGACACTTACTTAGAACAAATTTACGTATTACTACATATTATCAAGAGTAGATTGTAAATATGCTATTAATTAAATAAAAAAATGTGTACCTGTTCTGTTACTCCATATTATCAAGAGCAGATTGTAAAGACGCTATTAATTAAATAAAAAAATGTATACCTGTTCTGCTCAATCATAGGATTATATTCTGGTATTATTTCCTCTTCTGATTATTTAGTTCAGGCTCTCTGTAAAGTGAAGTTAAGCTGAAGTTTATATGAAGATTTACCTTGTTTGAACTGTTGAAATTCGTTGGCATACATACATCTGTGGAAAACAAAATTCTGTTCTAAAGAATTCTGATAAATTTGTTTAACTTTGGGATTAATGAGTAATACTTTGTTTAATATTCTAAAAAAACGAGTTTTGGAAACTGGATCTGTTTCCATCCTCAGGTGAAAGGGTGGGAGGCATCTAATCCATTACAAAGAATTAACCTCATTCACTGGTTAAGTGATTAGAGAAATGTGGATGAACATCTTCAGGGTTAATCTGAAGCACTGATACCTGTCTGCTAGACTACAAGGCCTTATAACCCAGAAGACCACAACTTAAATATATAATCTAATGAATTTCCAGTTCACAGTTTGCTAATAAGGTGATGCTTATACCCATTTCTTTAACTTATGACCAATTTGCATTGATGAAATTTTCAATGTGGAAACTCCCTATAAAGTTTTTAATTAATCTAAATTTTACTGTTGCCACTACAATTACTGCCTCTACTACAACCACCACTATCACCTTGAACTTGCATTCAGTACTTTAATGTTTGCATCCATTCATGTATTCGTTATATAGGTCATCAAATTTGCAGCCAAATTATTTGTAGCTTAGACTGTGAACTTGGATTTGATACTTAAAAAACTCCTCTCTGTATGCTACAATAATAAATCTTGTACACTATTTATGCAGAAATCATACACGATAACAAACTGAACAGAGTTGTAGCTTCAGGAGTTATTAGAAGTACAGCCTTTGACTAATCTCTCTTCTTTTTTTAGGGTGTATCCTGTTCATATGATGCAAAGAAGGATGTTCTGGTTCTGAATAAACTCCCAGGTGTTGAAAAGTGCTCCTTCTGCCTGGAGTAAGTAGATTATTATTAATTGTATGGTCTTTTCCATGAATGTACATAGACTATAGCACACATTCTTGGAAATTAATACACCCAAATTCACTCTTCCGTGACACTGCTTCAGCTGTGGTGTATCCTCCCTGGTCAGCTGAGGTCATAGTGAAGTTGTAGCAACTTCAAAAAACAAAGTTTACATATTGCATCATGTAGAGCTGTGGCAACACATTCCCATGGCAACAGGTATGCGTGCAGCAATATAGGTACTGTTGGAAACGGTGCTTTCTGTTCCTTCCATGCAAAGGGGTTATAAGGAGGACACGTGAAGCAACAGTAGTTCATTCGGAAGGGAGCTGCCGTTGAGAGAGGACTTGAGCCCGGAAGCAGAGGACTGACAGTTGCTAGGAACCGTTACCAGGAAACTACTGGTAGAGAGACTGCAGGCTGGAAAAGACTTAGTATGATTTAGTAAAATGTGGAAATTAGTGTTGGTGCTATAATCAAGTGTAATTACGAATAGTGTGTTAAAGTGGTCAATAAATGCTATATCCAGTCCAAAATCTTGTTGAAGGTCACTTTAATCCATGACAGAATTTACAATATAGGAGATGCTGACAGTATTTCTTTTGGCTGTGGTGTGTTCTCCACACCTATACAGATCCTGGCTTGTACACTGTAGTTGTTCTCTGGGGTAGGACAGGATATTTCGAGTTGTTTGTTTTCTCTAAATGAATTATTATTCTTTGTATGGATTGATTTAATAAATTTTACCTTTTAAATATTCCCACAAGAAGAAATCATGTGGAATAATACAGGGAGAATGATGTAGTCCTAAACCATGACTTATAATTCATTTTCCAAATGCTTTATGCAGAGTTGTTCAGCATGCGTGGTATGTTTGGTAGTATGTGCACTTATGAATATTACTGGATATGTATATAGTAGCTTTTCTTTGTCAGTTGCCTTAAAAGGGCTGTATTATTTGGCTAACGCATCTATCAGAATTAATGGTTGCTGCATAAAACACAGGGCCATTTATCTGTCTTACATTCTGGGCACACCAAACACCAACTTTTACATCATGGAGTGGAATTTCATAAAATGTGGATTTTCAAAGATTCAGCATCTTTTATTTTGTTTGTTCACATGTCCAATTAAAGTAAAATAATGCATTCTCTGATAAATTGGCTGAAAGTACCAATTACAGAAATGAAATCTGGCTGCTGGCTCAGTTGGCTGCAAAGAATGCACTCAAAAACTGTGGGCGTTAAAAAAATAGTTTTTGTTTTCGTAATCATTGTAGGATATATATAGATCACCTGTGGGCACCATGCTACAAGCTGGAAGGTTGCGTGTTTGATTCCTGATGAGGTAATAGGATTTTTCAATTGACCTAGTCCTTCCACTCGCGTAATGGCCATGAGGTCTACTCAGGCACTAATAGAAATGAGTACCAGGAATCTTCCTGGGAGGTAAAGGGCAGCTGGTGTGTAAGTTTGAGAACCTCACTGCCATCTGTGAGCTGATTGTCTAGAAAATGTGGGAGCCTCAATCTCACACAACCCTATGGGCCTCCACGGCCTGTTACAAGGATAGCTTTGCCTTTTTTTTTTAATAGATCACATAAAAACATCTGTGTGACAGAGACATCATTGAAATTTTTAAACAAAAGTTGTAATTGCCTTAATATCTGCTCTTTTCATGTCTTAAGCTGTTCTTATTGTTTTCATCTAGCATGAAGCTGCGATTAGTTTATGCTGATGGCACCATCGCATACGAAAATGGTGACCTGACCCCAACACGTGCCATTTCATCTCACTGTCAGTGTGGCTACAAGCACTGGTGGAATGGAAAGGAGTATGACAACCCTCCAGATCTGGTAAGTGTCAAAGTCCATTGGTCTCTTGAAGCCAGCCAGTGCACTGTAATGTAGACTGGTCTGTATATGATACTGAAACCCTCATTTTGAGGCATCTTTTGAGGCCTTGGGTCTGAGCACTAAACTGAGGAATATCATAAATTGAGGCAATTTAACACTCAGATTACTGGCTTGGGATCATTGAAGTTGAACACTGAATGCCAGAAAATCTTGAGTCAAAGAACATTATATGGGGGTCATGTAGATAGAACACTTCACAATGCTGTTATTATCGAGGAAATCAGCAAGCTGCAGTGCAATTCAGTTTAACTAGGACACAACTGTTTATTTGGATCCTTCTCTGAAATTATTTATTTTCTTAAATTTCTCATGTGGTATTGCTTTACCTGGTGTATTTGGTGGACTGTGAAATGTTATGAATTTTTTTTAAGTATTCATGATTTGTCACATTTTTTAATTTAATTTCTATGAACTGTGGTTCGTCTAGCATAGATTTCTTTTCAATTCTACAGTTTGTCTTTTTGAAACTTCTGATAATTTGTGGTTGTTTCCTGGTTTGTCTTTTGTTTTAATTAGTGTACATCATGGTTTCCTTGTCTGATGTTTGATGCAGAAGAGGTTATACATTTGTTCCCCCCCAGCTTTTTGGGACCAGCTTTTCCAAAATTCATTATGGATTAGGATTCCTTGTTTTACCCTGTCACCTGAAAAGAGAAAAACAAGTTTCCTAAAATTGTGGTTTAAAGAATGGACAGTGTCCAGAATATCTGTCTAGAAGATTGTAACACTGTCATATCAGAAAAGGGGAGTGGGTCCAATATAGTGACTTCTCAGGCAACTGGTTGGAGACGTTATTCCTTGTGGTCTATTCAGAATAAAAGAACTCATGAGTACTGCTGTGAAATTGATATCTTTGTCTTGTCATTCCTTTGTACAATCTTTGTGCATAAAGTTCTGAGACTGATTTAATATCTCAGCTTAGGTAGATGATGGCAGTTCCAGGAAAAGGTGTTCTAAATACGGGACATTTTACGGCTCGCCTGTGTTATTGACGTTAGTTCACTTGACCTCCACTAGGCGGAAGGGTGCCGCTAAACACAACGTTACTGTGCTTCAACATCCCCCGTACTCCCCTGACCTTTTTCCATGTGATTTTTCTTCTGTTTCCACGACTGAAAAAAAGCTAAAAGGATGGGGATATGAGAATATAGAGGCTATTCAAGCAGCTGCAACAACGGAGCTCAGAGCCATTCCGAAAGAGACATTCACTAGCTGCTTCCAGGACTTGCTGAAACACTGACAATGGTGTATTGACTGCGGAGGGGACTACTTTGAAGGGCAAAGGAACCATTAGTTAATAAGTTGAATTTTGTATTTTTTACAGACTCAGTCTCGGAACTTTATGGACAAAGGTTATATAAACTGTAATCACATTGTTTCGTTTGAGGTTATCACAGAGTCTTCTGGGTTGTAATGCCATGTACTTCAGTGAGCGCTTGACATTTAAGAGGAATATATGTTCCCCTAGAACATTGGGTTTTCTCTGGACTACATGGTGTTATGTGCACATTGTGTCACAGAACTTGTTAATAAAGCTGTGGTCTGGTAGACCACCCAAATTAACAGACATCAGCATCTGCTCGTGACCTGTAGATTGCCTATGTAAGATTCGCACCCTGCACTGTCATATTTAGATTGATTTCTGTTTCTGTTCAGCAAAGTTTCGATCAGTCATTTGTACTACACAGATATAAATGTTTCCAATTCTGCATTGTTATTGTTATAACAATTTCGTTATTTGAGTCTACAGGTTTTCTGGTCAGATTCAATATTTCTTTGCTTCGTGTTGGCTCTTTGTATGACATAATGTTGTCGTCAGACAGTGTCTGTTTATACTCAGTTTTAATTTACTTCTTGTTTGTCTTCATGTTACGTTATGTTGTAAGACAGCAAAGGTGGCTGTGTTTGTATATGTTGTGTGTGCAGATCCCTGTAGTGATGACATGGAAGGGGCGTGAGGCTACTGAAATCATTGCATGGTTCCAGTATGAGTGTGACCCAAGCCTAAACAGCAATGTGTTCCAGGTTGCATCCTATGTTGTACAAAAGCACTTTCCAGGTAAAACTGTTTCCTTTGTAACACTGAGGTATTGTTCAGGGAATGTGAATAGAACAGTCTTGTTACATAGAAAGATGTCCAGTTGAAATAATACAAGTAAACCTCATTGCATATCAACGGAGGTAGGACAACCAAACCTCCGTAGTTACTTTAATTTTGATTGAAAATTTACCCATCAGATGGTGTATTAAGTTCTGCATCATATATGGCTTTCCTGTCATATTTTGTTGTGTTCATATTTCTTCCATCTTATTTACATATCCGATCTATCATAATCTAGACTTCACTTCTACACAAATACAAGTAGAACTGGATGTAAGTTCTGTTTTCCAGTTACTTCATCTCCCTGAGGCCCAGAAATTCTTTTTTTTACATAAGTGTAATTTTTACTCTTTTCTTAGACCACATTTAATAATCATACAAGAAACTTTTAAAATTATAAGACTTATTTTACAATATGATTCATAATGAAATCTGCTTTATTCCCTAGGTGAGTTTGGCAGTGAGAGGCTTGTTCAGAAAGTGGTCACACAGATCCTAGAATTGTCAAAGTGCTTGGATGCAATGCGAAAAAAGTCAGGATCCAGTGCATCCCACCTGCCTGCTTTAAAGGTAAGTGAAAGGAAAAATAGGGCAATTAAAAAAATCTGTGGTAAATTAATACATATTGCAATTTCAAGAACTTTGCAGGTGTTTCTTAGCAGGTGAAAAAAAAATCTGTTTCTGCTGTCTTTTGACCATTTTTAAGAGTTCTGGCAAAATATTAGTAATGCCTAGAACAAGGCTGTGCTATGCCTCAGGTTGCTTTACACTGTGGAACCCCAGATTCAATCCCAGGTCAGGTCAGGTGAGATTTATGGTGGACAAAGTGACACTGGCAGTACTTCCATTTCCCCTGCCAATTACAATTCCACTGACTACTTCATACTTGTCTCTTGTCCAGGGCTGGTGGAATACTCCCATCACTAGCCAGCATCCCATGCGGACTCTTGTTCGCCCATTCCGTGTGTTAAAAAGGAAAAGAACCAGAACAGACCTAGCAGTACATTTGATATCATATTCTGAAAACTGAATGCAGAGTTGTGTTTGTACAGTGTCTATTCTGAAGTGGGTAAACTATAAGACCCTTTATTATTATTATTTTGTTGGAACATTCATTACCTTTTTGTTGTTGTATAGTGAAGTCTGCAGGGTTCACCTGTTAGCTGATATTATATCAGGTAAGGGTGATCCACACTGGACTTTAGCCATGACTGTTATGCAGGCTGTTTTATGTCCTTTTTTGATTAGCCTTCTAGGAGTGCCACACTTTGGAAGAATTGCACTTTTCTTAATAGAGCATTTTAGTAGCCACGTAGTTTCTTGAATTGAAGTTGCAAGTGTTGAAACCGTAAGTTAGCTGGTCATCATAGTCACATAGGGCAAGTGAGGCTGTTTTGTCCTTGTTCAGGCACCTTTCACACATGGGCCTATTTGCTAGTCTCTGAAGATGTGTCCCTTTAACATCTTAACATGTCATGTGGTGCTTTGTGTCATAGTGGGTATGACATCTCTACATGTCATGCATGTTTCCAGCTGTAATGTTATAGATACAATGACAGTCAGCAATGCAGATTTGCACGTTGTGCTTGCTCGAGCTCCTAGATACTGCAGAGAGTGACAGGATGATGATGACTGCTTCATAGCTGTCCTCAGTTTGAATTTTTGTGAGTAAACATTATGGCAGACCCTAGCAAGAAGATGCGTATGAGTGATAATGTGTTATATGAACTGTTGCAAGAGAATGAATACAGTGGTATTTCAGAGAGTGAGTATAGTAGTGACAGTGAAATAAATTTGAAAATTTCATCATGCAGTGAACAGAGTGTCAGCTCTGATGAAGAAGAAAATATCGCTGACAACAGTAGTGTGCAGCATGGCATATTGGTGAAGTCAGGTGCTGAGTCACCATGTTTTGCATTTACTGGCAAGTGTGGCATAAATGTTGATTTAGAAGACCCCAGTAAAGCCTTGGAATATTTTGACTTGTTTTGTACACCAGAAATTGTGGAAGTAATAGCCAGAGAAACTAATAGGTATGCCAGATTTTTTTTAGAAAACATGCCTAATCTAAAACTAAGATCTAGCACCCATCACTAGACGGAGATGAACAGAAATGAAATGATGAAGTTGCTGGCATTCTTNAAACCGCTCGCCAGAACCACAGGAACTTTGCTGCAAGACAGGCATATGTAACGATGACTTGGCACAGATAAAGTCGTGTCTTATTTATACTCTGTTCTACTGACAACAGGCCAGCGAAAAATCTAACAATCTACAGCAAAACCATCAATTATTATGGGCGTTATAACATAGGTGTGCAGCTGAACGAAACATACACGTCGAACCCCCCCAGACGATTTAAATCCCTGACGAAACATACACGACGAACCACGGCAACGGGTTAAGGTACAACAAGTGGCTAAGAGATGTCTGAATGTAAGATTTTAGTGGCTAGAAAGTGTACTAATCGACTGGTATTGAAAACTACGCCACTACTGTATGTGCCACTGGAGTTGCAACAATGTTTCTGGTGGTGGCACTCATTCAGGAAGCTGAGCCCTTCTTGGGAAGCCACCAATTGTGCAGCTACTCAAGAACTTCCCAGCATTTTATGGAACTTAAAGGTTCATTACTGTGTTCACAAGAGCCCTCCACTGGTCCCTATTCTGAACCAGATCAATCCAATACATCCCATCCTGTCTCTCTCAAATTGATTTTAATATTGTTCACCCACCTACGCCTTGGTCTTCCCAGTGGTCTCTTTACTTTCTGGCTTTCCCACCAATTTCCTATATATATTCTGTTTCTCCCCCCATTTGTGCTACATGCCCTTCTGATCTCATACTCCTTGACTTGGATCACTCTCATTACACTTGGAGAAGAGTACAAGTTACGAAGCTCTTCATTACGTAGATTTCTCAAACCTCTTTGTCACTTCATCTCTCTCCAGTTCAAATATTCTCCTCAAGTTTCTTGTGGTATAATCATTTTAGTGATGATTTCATAGACTGTACAAGATAATGATTTGCAGTTGATGTTTGAAAGAACAGATAGCTTTTGCTGCATATTTCATTTGTCCACACTAGCCTTGAGCTTGCAAAGGAACTACAAGTTCAGCCTGCATGTCAGGAAGAATCGTCTCTTATTGGTGAGGCATTTAGAGATGCAGGAGGTCATAGTGCAGTGTCACAGTAATCAAACATGTGAGTGTGTGTTTAGGCTGGAGGTAGTTTTGTCAGTCAGCTTCTGTGATTGTGTATCATCTCTAAACACCAGACAGGACTGCATGTGCTGAATCTGCATCAGACAGACATGCCTTTGTGGTCACATATTGGGAACTGAAATGCATGTCAGTGGCGACAGTGGTGTACTTCTTGAGAATAATCCAGAAGTATGGAATTTTACTAATAAATATATACAGGATGTCCCAGGAGGAATGTGCCAGAATTCAGGAGGGTGTTCCTTATGTTAAAGTATGCCGATATAACCCAAAACACCTATGTCCAAAGTTGAACGGTTACAGAGATAATGGCCCGAGAAAAGCGTGGTCTTATGGCGGGTCCACGCACTCTACCTGTCAGCTGACAAGTCTTATCGATGTTTGTCCTTGAGTGTGGTGATGACGGTTCACACTAGCTGCATACACTCGCATACCAGAATGTGCAGTCAGCCATGTTATGGCAGTGCTTGCCATTCATGTGTCATGTATAGTGCTTGGTACCCTAAGGACAACTATGACATGGCGTGCGAGTTTTTTTGTAGTTCAATTTAATGGCTTCATGTCACTCACAAGTTAGTTTGATGTTATGTACATTATTAACATTACAGAAACCACATATTCCTGCCAGTTTTAATATGTATTTGGTAATCAAGAAGTGTGTAACACCTGTCAAAGTTTCACACTTCTCTGGCCATTATCTCCGTAACCGTTCAGCTTTGGACATAGGTATTTTGGGTTATATTGGCATACTTTAACATAAGGAACACCTTCCCAAAGTCTGGCACATTCCTCCTGGGGCACCCTGTATAAATGAAAATATAGATACATGAACTCTGATAATTGATCTTTCAGAGACTTTTTGTTTCATAATTTTATGACACATGGTTGAGATATTTAATTTTAAAAAGGGAGCAGCAATTATAAAATGAAATGCTTCAGTAACAAATATAAGTGTTCGAAGAATTTTAATGTCCCACTGCAGGAGAGATAATAGCACAGAAAATATACCATATCACTTCTCAGCTGATTCCTGTTTAGTCCTAATACTTTCTATTTAATCCTCCTGCAGAAGGTTCTTGAAGGAAGTCTTTTGTGTGATTGTGCAGTGGACTGGCACTATTTTTATGGTCTGTATTGATCCAGTTTTTGATGATGGGCATCTGGACAACTCCTTTCGAGATGTCACATGCCAGTTGAGATCTTATAAAAGGATGTTCAGATGTGTGCAGTGGTGAACTGAAAGTTTGTAGAATAGCAATAATGTTATAATTGAATGTGCGTACCCCCCTACGTGTGACAATAATAGTAAAGGTGCTATAGTTTACTCACTTGAAAATGGAGAGTGTACAAACACAACTTTGCATTCAGTTTTCAGAATGTAATTTACAGGTGTACAAAATGTACAACCAGATCTGTTGTAGCGCCCCCTTTTTTTTTTAATTCATGTGAATGGGTGAGATGGAGTGGACTTGGTATGTTGGCCACTGATCGGCATATCATACCGGCCCTGAATGATAGACAGTATGCAACAGTCAGTGGAATGACAGTTGGCAGGGAAAATTGAAGTACCGTGCCATTGTCCCTTTGTCTACCACAGATCTCACATGACAGGTTGCTCAGCAACTGATTGCCTGAGCTATGTGCTGTAACTTGTGCTTTTCAGTTAAATATAATGGCCGATTCGAAACCACTGCTTATGTATGTAATGTCACAAACTTCTAGCACGTATTCCAGTTGTGGCATTTATAACAACCTTGATATAGTGTGCACCCATAAGTATAAATGCAACTTAAACTGCTTCATCTCTTACTTGAGTTCAATACAAATTTGTGAATTTATATTCACATGTGTGCACATGCAATGAATTATGGATGGAGTGTGGCTGGGGTTTGTGGGCAGGGTATGAATGATCTGTTCTTGTATGCATGCAGAAAATAATTTTTCTTATAAAGGACAGCTCCTAATTAGAAGCTGGGAGTAGAAGGGGTTATGTAAGTTCAAGAAAATCTTTAATTTCTTGCTTCATATAATGCTAATGATGTGAACATTGAATTATTATTTGTTATTTTCAGATCCTTATAATTTATTTAAAGAATATATATTTCTGTACACACTTATTTAAACCTTAGTGGTATTTGTATTATATGTAATTGGGAGTTTTTTCCCTCTTTCTCCCACTTTGGAGCGTAGGGCTGATTTCTGAGTTTAATTGATCACTTTTACAGATGGTAGGGCTCCTTGAATGGTGATCAGCTTGTCGCAAGCCCTCTACCTAAACACAGGAAAAAACAAACACAGAATAAATGCGTACACACACCAAACATCCATGTCTTGTGTGGGATTTGAACCCACGATCCTGGCTTCTGAGCGAGCGAAGATAGTACATGCCTTAGATTGCTCAGCTACCGTGACCGGCAGTTGGAAGTTGGGGGGTACATATTTTGACAGTTTTCATATGTGATGAGTATCTGGTAAAATATGCATTTTTAAAAATTTTATAAATTCATGTAATATCAAGGTTCCACTTTATTGAAAATACAGGGAAATATACAATGTAAATTACTGTTATAGGAATTTGTAAATCTCAAGCCAATGAAATAAATGAAAACCAATATCGACAGGAATTGTGGACGCTCAATATATCACTGGTGAATGAGGCTAAAATGCAGATGCTGTTGTAATGCATCAGTGCTGTCTAGAGTGCACAGTAGGATATTAGAGTTTTATTATGTCTTTTGTAAAGAAAATCTCTTCCCTTCCCTTCACAGGCAAGAGGGTTTTTTTTTTTTGCATGGGGTTGAGTATGGTCTGTGGCTGTCACTTGAATAGCCCTCTTTCAGAGGAACTGTACTTTGCCTCTGCAGCGGTGATGCTTAAAATTGTTTCATATGACAATGCACAGTTTAGAGGCTGAGTGTAATATGAGCAGTGGAAAAGACAGATACATGTAGATACTTCCTGAGTGGAATACAGGAATATATGAGTTCTAAGAGTGTTAAATCAGAATTATTTGTTAAGATTTCTCATCTTCCATCAACCAATACTTGTGCAAGAACAGTACAGAAAAATTATGTGTCACCACGAGATGTATTTTGAAGGTATGGGTATATTGAAATAAGAATAAAACACTGTTGGGGTATACAGAGGAAGAGTGTAAAACATGATGGCTCATGTATTTTTTTTTATTCTCCATTTTGTGGCCTTTGGAATTTTATGTAACACCTAACGAAACTATCTGCAGTACATGCATTAATTTGATTTTCATATTTCAGATCTATCATGAAGATGAGTCAAACATCCATGTTCCCACTAGAACTGATTCAAAGCAACAGGAGACTGGTATTAAGCCAAAACTGACCATTACTTCACAAGAGGAAAATGAATCTAAGATTATATCTTGTTCTGAAGGTCCAATAGCAGTTCAGCTCCAAGGGAACAAGGACCAGAGCAAGAAGATGGCTGCTATGACTCCTGTGGAAACTCAGCCCCCTATGGATACATCTGCTGATGAGACAAAACAGGGACTCCCTGTAGCAGAGAAAGATAAAACCAAAGTTATAAATGATGCCAGGATGCAGAAAGCTCAGATTGGCTTGAAAGAACAACAGTTGGAGTACAAACTGCGAAAAGAGCGAGAATATCAGAATCAGCTGCACAGGCAGGCACGTCAGTTGGCAAAACAGACACGCCCCATTCAGGACCCTGACAGCTTTCATTCTACCAATCCTGAGTTGGCTGGAATGTGGAATTGTGGGACATATTCTGTTCATGCTAAATCTAGAGGTCGTGGTATATTATTTGAAGAGTACAATGCGGTTGAAGAAGATATTGATGATTTCCAGTCTGATGATAGTTGTGGAGCCAGTTTTCATTGTAGTGGAGCTTCTGCTTCACGAACAGGCGATTACACATACCCAGTTGATCAGGCTGAGAAGTCCTCCACAAAGACTGTACGAGTTGGACCTGGTTACTCAGTGTTAGCATCACCTAAGCCATCATGGTCAACTACTGCCACTTCTGAGTCACAAGTTACCTGGGCTGAAGTAAGTAAAAGTGTAAGTATGTGGGATGGATGATAGGTTTGATTTCTGACATGGGCAGGGGTTTCTCTCATACTGCCTTCAGACCTGCTCTGGGACCCAACTGGTCTCATCTCCAATGGGTACTGGGCACTCTCTGACCAGGTTAAGAATGCATCAAGCTATGTCTTCACTCTCCTGTGCATCTTAATGATGTAGTCCTTAATGCTTTACAATTCCTGTGTGAATATACCCTGTCTGAGCAGGGGGTATACTTTTTCTTGAGGTTACTAGTGTGGCCAAGGTGACACTTCAGAAGCCTGTTGCATCAGTTTGCCACTTGACGCCTCACTGTGAACACACATTGTTTTTACACTAACTGTCCTCCTTATAACATCTTGGCATAGACTGCACAGAAAACACCTTTCCTCTGTTGCTGTTTACAGGCCATTGCCTAGTAACTGCCATTGTCTAGTTTGTTTTGCGGCTGTTGCTTAGCAGTGGGTCTGCTTGCAGCATATAGAATCCTCTACATACGAACACTGGAAAGGGAAAACATCACTGATTCAACATTTCACAACTAGAAATTTAACCATTATAAGTGATGTTTATGTATTAATTTAGCAATAACATGATTAGTTAAAATATTAATTTTTAATGATTTGTATAACATATGTGTATTTCTGGGTAGTGTGGAGACCCTTCTGGCTGAAACATGTAAAGCTGTATCTGTATAATTTTATCTTGAACTGGTTGAACTTCATGGCATTCGCTTAAATGATAATTACAACTTCTGACAGTTGATGAAAGAGTCCATTCTTCCTAATTGATGAGTGTGTTTCACTGTCAGACAAAATTCCTGTAAATTGAGGGAGATACAACTTAACTGAGACAGTTGAAAAGAAAATTAGGTTTGGTATTTCATCTGCCAAAAGATGAACTCTATAACATGATCCATCGGCCTGTCTATTGTCTAAAAAACTGTCCTGTTTCTTGTTTAAAACAACGTTTTGGAGACTGGATTCTGTCCCTGTCCTCAGGTAAAACCTACTCAGTTAGCCCCTATCTCCAGAGATAGGGGCTAGCTCTATTGGACCCAACTGAGTAGGATGGGGACAGAATCCAGTCTCCAAAACATTTTGTTTTAAACAAGAAACAGGACAGTTTTTTAGACAATAGACAGGACAGTGGATAATGTCTAAAACATAATATTTGTAGCAATATACCATCGTCACAAACCTTTAGATCTTATTTCTGTAACATGAGTCACAAAACTGGTGACAGAGCATGTTAACAATATAGTATTGCAAGCTACCACAAAAGAGAAATTAACTGTTATTGACTCTTTGTACAGAATCAGCAAGGATTGCCAACCTAAGCTGAAGCAGCTTTCTTCAGCATGAAAGTGGTGTTCTTTTATGCCACACTTGGTTTTTAGGTATTTTTATAGTTTTCTTTTGTAATTACAGGTGACTTGTTGGCGTTTGGGTTTATGTTCCTGAAAATTGCATAAAACTGGAAATATGTAATATAATATAGTCTGGACATTGATAACATTGTTAAATTACCTACTTAAAAATAAAACTTAAGGATGACTGGAGCTAGATCTCACTTCAGGCAATTTGCTGGTGATGCTATTGGGCACCTGGATCATCAGAATTAGATGAGTCAGATGATGCAGGTGAAGGTGAGGTTGACTGGCTGCCCACCTGAAGTTGCAGGCACAAGCTGAAGGGGAGGGTGAAGGTTGCTTTGCTTAGTGGGGGCTGGAGTCCAGCTGGGTCCACTCAGCACGGCGGCCACTGATTGGCCTATTGTACCTGCCCCAGGTGATTATGTTGATGTAGAATTTGGTGGAATGAAAATTGGCAAGGGAATCCGAAGTACTTGGAGGAAACCCGCCCCAGCGCCACTTTGCCCATCACAAATCCCACTTGACGAGACCTGGGATCGAACCGAGGCCGCTGCGGTGGGAAGCCAACGACTACCTGCTTGAGCTATGGTGCAAGAAAAGCAGCATGTAGAACAACAAGAATTTGAAAGGGGATCTTCCACTTCTCCAGTAGGCCACCAGTTCCTCTAACTCCCTGAAAAAAAGTAATTGAAATATCTGATATTATCTAGCCATTTTTATTCACCCTCTGTACAACAGGCAGTGTTGTTTTTACATATCCCTTCAGTGCCTGTCTATTCTGTGAATGATGCACCATGAAACATCATAGTTTGTAGTCCATCAAAGTGTTTCCATCCAGAATCACTGTACATAGATCTAATTTTAAACTCAGGTGTTTTCTTCTTTTTACTGGAAATGAAAGTGCAGCTCGCTGTATGCTTCCAGAACAGATTTGTGTCATTGAGGTTAAATGCTTGTTTTGTTATGTAATCTCCTTCCTTAGTTACAGTGAAGAGATTACACAAAGCTTAACAGCAGTGTGATATTCCAGTCCTGTTGAGATTGTGGAATGCATGGTGGCACTAGAAGAGCTGAAACCACTTCCAGTTTGTTGCGACAGGCTTATGTTCCTTTGCATCTTTCATCTGATATTTGTACAGACTTCTTGCTTTCTCTTGAAAGACCCATTCCAGTTAATGGGATGTTTTGCTAGCGTGTGGCCTGCTTCCTCTTCTTTTTTCTCAGTTGTTTCAAACAAAAATGTTTGTAGTGACACTGAAGTTCGTGGTTGATTAAATGCTCTTGCAAATTGGATTAGCACTATTGCAGATGGTAATGTAGAACATCTCAGTTCCATCATCATCTGAGTATCAGTACTACACTGGCTTCTGAAATTAATTTAGAACTTTCAACTTCACCTCTGAAATTAAATTTTGTAGCCCTTTTCTTCACTTTATCTTTATGCACATTCTTGTTTTCATGCTTAATTTTTTCTTTCCAGTCATATTTTCAGTAGATGCAAAATTTATTTATGTCTAAATGTCTAAAAGAGCTGGAAGAGAGAAGGCGATGTGAACACTGAACAAATGCTGAGTTTTGTGGAGGAGTAGGAAACAGCATGATGTGAGTCAAAATGGTGGGATGAGTCAGGTAAATTTCTCACACAACTCAGTGAGCATGCCAGCTTTTGCTGTCATAGCAGATAGGAGATTGGTGATTTTCATGACACTGAAATTAAACTGTGGATATGGGAAAATGCAGATAATGAAAATGTGTGTAACAGGAGTCACCTTTACAGTAGTATGACAAAGACAAATTTTCTTCTGAATAATACCCGTTTCTCATACTTGTTTATGGCTGTGTAGCTATGTCCTATGTAGCCACCAACACAGTCTCTCTGTAGCATCCTGTAACAAAATGTTCATCTTCAGCAGTATTTGTTATTCTTTATTTTAGAGTGCCAAGAAAATAGGTCCTTGGTTTCAAAGGAATGAAGAAACCTCCAATGTTCCTGAGAATCATAAAATGCTAAGTAGGACGTCTCTCATTGGATTACCTGGTCATACAGACAGTAGAATGCATACACCAGGTTCAGAACTGAATATAGCGTTGGAAGTGCCCTCCACTCCAGCTGAAAGAGGAAACAGTAATTCAGCTGAAGGTGGTGGCAGTGGTGATGGTGGTGGTGATGGTAGAACAAAACTGGATGTGATCTACAACCCAGAAGAAGAGAATTATGAAACAGACCATTCAAAAATGAGTTGAAGAAGGGGGTGTTCGAGAGGTTTATATGCTATTGTTCCTGTGTGAATTTAAGATTTTGTTGAAAATACAGTTTTATTTTGTATGGTAACTGTTGCCACCTTACCTTTCATTCCAAAATATCTTGAGGGTTATATGTCATGGAGAAATACAGGTCATTTAAAACTTTGTAATTCTGAGTTTCTCATTGTGTAACCTGATACATGTCCTAAAGATCCACGTGCATGAAATATGATGCTGCAAGAGAGTTACAATGAATTGTAAATTCAGACAAAACCAGCCATCAGGTATCTGTAGTACAGGCACTTTTCAGATTAATATCATGGATAGAGGACAATACATGAAGTAGAATGACTGGCTGTGTGAAATCTGATATTGGTGAAGATTGTCCATGGTTTATGCTAACCGTCTTACAGTGTATACACTTTTTCACCTTATTCTTTACTTCCACACTACATGTTTCGGCATTAATGTGCCATCCTCAGGTGTCTTAATGCACGTTAAACTATTGTACTGCATGCCATGATGTCTTCATTCTAAAATTGCTAAAATCTGTATTCGTCATATATGTCGATGAATTCTAAATAATAAAACTTCAGGATTCATCCTACGTCACACTCAAACACGTGAATTACGCCAGTCCTCTTTTATGTGAGCATTCTTCCTACGTACATTTGTGTATCGTGTTCTGTGTTGTGTTTTGCTCCTGTTACTGCATGTGTTGTACTGCTGGATATCACCTGAGGATGGCACATTAGTGCTGAAACATGTAGTGTGGAAGTGAAGAATAAGGTGAAAAAGTGTATACACTGTAAGACGGTTAGCATAAACTATGGACGTGAATCAGTGTAACAGGACGCTAAAATATAACATTGGTGAAGACTGTCTTTTGATTTTGATATGATCTTTTTCCTTATATTTTGTATATTTTTTAAGATTTGTTGATCATTGTTTCATTATTAATTGCAAATTAAATTATTGAATGTAGGAATAATAATCTTAAATTTGCCTTGATTAGGCAGTTATATAACATGACATTAATCAGACTTTGTGTTCTTCTATTTTGGTATCTGTACAATTCTCTTGTTTCCTCTTTACTGTCACATGTTTCGGCCTAACCGGACATCATCAGGTGTACAGGTTGTGATGAAGGAATCTGCTGTTCACTGTAATGCTGTTCTCGTTTTCTTATGTAGTTGCCTAGGATTCTAGGTTATGCAGGCTAGCCAACTGTTTTATTTAGATGTCCTTGAACCTAGAATCCAAGGAAACTACACAAGGAAAAAAGAACAGCATTACAGTGAGCCGCAGATTCCTTCATCATAACCTGTACACCTGATGATGGCCAGTTAGGCCGAAACATGTAGTGACAACAAAGAGAAAATGACGAGAGAATGTTAACTAATGTTGCACATAGATGGCAAAAAGGCAGAATACAGAGTCGGATCTAGGCAGTGCAGCAGGATGCTGCAATTTAATATAATGTGACATTAAACATAGCTCCGAATTTTGATATACTGATGCTTGTGTTTGCAAAATCTGTATTGAATGAATACTTTTAGTTTAGAGTATCTGTAGGATTGGTGAAATGTTCTTAGCATGTTGTGCGAAGGTCAGCTTTTTGTGCATTTCAGAAAATTTGTTACTTTACATTTCTTCATATTTTCGTCTGGCTGTACCACGCGAACCAACTTTAAATAATTTAAAATAAGAGTAAGTAGACAAGTAGACTACTGTTATTTGTTTACCTTGTTATTAATAATATCAGCAAAGACTGTGATCTGGGTTGTGACGCTCTACATTACTGCTCATTGCACAGTCTAAACTCCCACTGCTATGAAAGGCCTCAAGTCTAATTGTTGGTACAATTTGTGACAAATATTTTTCTAGTGTAAATTAGAATTAGAATGTACTGATTTTCTGGCCTGAGTGTTTAATGTCAGAGATTACTTTTCGTCTGTATGCACTTCTAATTAATGGTTTGTGTTCTTAAATTTTGGCATGTTTTTATGGATGGTATGTTATTGTTTCTTATTTTGTCTTTAATTTTCAGTTTCTTTATTGCTTGCTAGATTTAAATTTATTATTTTTTTTTTCTAAATAGTATCCTCTAACTTTTCCTTGATGCTTGAATTATTTGGAACATGAAGATCTCGCTTTTCCTAATTTAATTTTGCTTATTTGCAGAACAGTTATTCTACATATGAAATAGGATCTGAGTAGGAGCTTGCTGCTATATAAAGCCAAGGACCTGTACATATAGAAGGTTATACACAATTGGACATGGAATAATGTGTGTAGAATATTTCTGTGATAGTGGTAGTTGTAGGTTTTTTAATGTACATTTATTTGAATACAGATCCCAGTTTAATAAGGTTTTCGACATTAATCCTGGTAACCAAGTTTCCTCAGTAATTTTTTTAAGAATGTATCTTGTCAACTAAGAATGAGTGTTTCCACCAAAGACATTTTGGCTAAGGGAGAAGGAGCGTTAATGATAAAGTGGCCACTCATACCTAGTTTGAATACATGTATTGCATGGAGCTTTACCTCCATTTTATTGTTGAAGAACAGACAATTTTACTTCATATCCAAATGAATGAACATTTCAGATTATTTTTCGATCATTGAAGTTGCACTAGAATTCTATTATAGTAAATTTTCTATTGTCAGTATTGTTTTCATTTTGACTTTTCAAATAAAAAAGCTGAAATGTCCAGAGGCTTCCAACTTTTTCTCATGAAAGCTACAAATGCAAAGGCAACACAGTGCAAATATTCCATATATATGTAACTTCTTTTACTTGTCTCCTTCCATACAAACTGTATCCAACAAATAGGATATTGTACAATCTGTCTGCAGATAAATTTTAAGTTATATTTATTAATATGTGAATAAAGTGCCATGGAGCACCGCATTATTTTGTTTGTTGGTTCATGTGTAAAATTTACTGACAGCTCTTGACAGTAGCCATAACTAGAGCCGAGATAAAAAGGTAAAGGTATCCCTGTGACAGGCCTTGATGGTCCATAGGGTTTAAGACATTGAGGCTCTCACATCTTTTAGACAATCTGCATGCAGATAGTGGGAAGGTTTGCCTTATACACCGGCCGCCGTTTAATCCGGGAAGATTGCTGGTACTCATTTCTGTTAGAGGCTGACTTGACCCCAGGCCCAAAATGCGGCAAAAAAAATTAGATAAATTAAATTAAAAGAATCCAATGACCTCGTCAGGAATCGAACCCGCGATCTTCCCGCTAAGCAGAGCCGAGATACCGGGCATTTCTTCCGAGTGAGCATGAATACACCGCTTCACACGCAGGTGCAAAATATGTCTATTCCACTAATTATACTTTAGAGATAACGCGAGTCTCATCTCTTGAGACTGTATACTATAGATGTAACTCGACCAAATATGTTTCTGGACATTATACATCGTCCTATTTACATTTCAAAATACATTGTTTCGGAGACTGGATTCTGTCTCCGTCTTCAGGTAAAGCCTGTTCAGCTGATATTCATGTATCATCGTCACGAACTTTTTACAACTTGATCATTTAAATCCAGTACTAAAATTGAACGTCATTTATCTCCAGGATCGCCAGCATTGCAAATATAGAACTGAGCTATCGAATCCGGATCATGAAGTTAACTATGTAGAATGCTAATAGATGGCTCCATATGCAGCTTGTCCACCGTTGTACACCGCCAAAACTACCGGTATTAAGTGGTGATTAAGTTTGTGATATATCTTTTAAGGTTGATGTAATGGGTGCGATGAAGGTATACCAGACATTCCGTTTTCATTTTTTGTTGTAGTTAGTATTTTATTACGGCAATTTGAAGTAGCAGTGGACTGTACAATGTATTGTCTTTGTAGTGTTTAAGTAAGTGCTTAAGGAAGGTTAGGTTAAGTTACATGCGTTGTTTGCCGGGTGAAATTCCTTTTGATGGAAAGATGTTACGAATACAGACGTACTGCTTAGTTGTTGCCTTTTATGTTTTGTATACATGTCGGAATACTGTTATGGCAAGATTGAGCGATAGGGCATGTTATGATTGATTTGTAGAACTCAAATCATACACGTCAATGTTTATTGCAGCCATGGTATACAGTTATTATTTTTGCTTTTAATACTAACAGTAAGAGCGATTCAGTGCTGATTATGGCAGTCTAGTTCGTCAAGTTGGACGGTGACTGGGAAAATTCGCTTTGCTGTTTTTATTTTATGAAGCGCAACTGATTAATTAGTAAGTATTCTGCAGGGTCAGCCAGTAGTCACCGTGCACCTACATTACAAATCTTCATTCTTAGTATTGGTATTCATTAATTGGCACAGCAGAAGGGTTGCTCATGGCAACGCATGTAGAGCGCTGAAGAAGCATTTGCACTTACATATGTACAAGGTAACGTCAGTGCATGAATTGAAAGAAGGGGACAGTGTCAGGCTTCTTGAATAATGCTGATGGTTTAGAGACGTAATTACTGCCAATGAAGAGGATATTCTGATGTCACATTTTTTTACCAATGAGGCATGGTTTGATTGGTTATGTCAACAGCCAGAAAATCTGGATGGTTAGTGACTAATCTGCACAAGATCAAGGATACACCATTGCATGATCAGAAAAGTGATGTATGGTACACCATGACATGAAATTGGATAATTGGCCCAATATCGTCAATGACACTGTAAGCTTGGAATGTTGTTATGTGTTTGTTTACCCCTTCATTGAACTTTTAAATTGAGGATGAAATAGGCTGTGACTACTTCCAACAGGATGGTGTTCTGGCACATACAGCTAGTGTTTCCATGTTGCTGCTGCACTGTGTGTTAGGTGACAATGATTTGAAAGGATATTTGGCCACCACGGTTGCTTGAGCTTACACCCCCCTGATATGTGTGTAGCAATGAAAGATGCCGTATATGAAAGACAACCCTCACACTCTCCATTAACTGAAAGCCATCAGCAAATTTTGTCAGGAACATCCCTCCGAATGAACTGTCACATGTCTGCAAATGAGGTGAGACATGTTGGCAGCTTAATCATGCTTGCAACAAGGAACAAAGAATACAGACTTTGAGATATGCATTTGTCTACTTTCAGTAATTGATTTGTATAGTACTGGTTAAAATGAGCTTTTTATATATTTACATTTCTCTCTGATGCATCTCACAGGAGAAAGAGGCATTGGCCATTCTGTGCAGATTACTGCTATATTTTGCTGCCCATTGTCATACTTATTGATCAGTGAAAGTGAACGTTAAAACAGTTAGTGATATTCGGGATATTTGCAGTGTCTTGCATTAATATTTCCAGTTTTTAAGAGTAAAAGTTGGAAGCTCTGTTTGAAAAATCAGAGTGAAGGCTGTAATGGTAATGGAAATTCAATATAAGAGAGTTCCAGTGCAACTTTCATGGCCGAAACACTGATCTGAAATGTTCATTTATGTGTACATAAAGTAAATTTTCCTCTTTGCTAAACCAATAAAGTGTACACATGTTGTGGAGGTAATGCTCTGTGAAATGTAGGCCTTGGTACTAGATGTGAGTGGTCAGTGTAACATTTTGGCTCCTTCACCCTTGGTGGAAGATCCATAGTATGCATTGGATAGGAGAATGGATGATAACCAAAGTTGATTGGGGCTGTTGACTGACCTTTTTCTGACTGGAAATGAAATTCCAGTTGTCAGCCCGTATTCTCTCACTGCGTATTACCACAGTTCATTACATAGTAACAGTTCTTATGGATGAAAGGGTGTTATGCAGTATGGTAATTGGCCCATTAACTGATTTTTATTTCTTACAGGGTGAAGCAGGTAATGATTCAGGGTTCAGCTGAATCACTAGATACAAAGGATGGACAGGGAAGCACAGGACTGGTTCAGACAGTCTGACATTGGTCCGGGCGTGGGTTTGACATTGAACAGTGAAGCAAGGAAGTTTTTCCATGAAGCACATGAAAAATTCACATCTTCCAGTGGAAACAGTTCTGATCTATTCTCAAAATTTGTGAAGGAAAATGAGGAAAGGTTTATGTTACATTGTTCAGCACGTGCCTCAGTTGGTGGCTTTGAACAAGATGGACATGACTTCATCCGTAGCTTCTCTGCGGGTTCCGGTTGGACCATGTCTCCTCTACGAAATGAGGAAAAGTTACAATCTCCATTTTCCCAGGCTTCACACCCATCCAAATTATCCAGTATAGATAAGACTCTGTTTGGTGGTGGATTTCCAATGTTTGTGGTATCAAACAGGCGAATGTGGGCTGAGAGTTGGAGTGAGAATTTTTCAGTGTCACGAAGTTCATTTCAGTACCACACAAATGTGTGCAGGTAATTTGTTTTGATTGAATTTAATACCAGTCTTCTTGTTTGCATTTAATTGTTAGACACCTTAAAGCATGTCCTTTTAATTATTTTCTGCCCAGAGTTAGTTCTGCACACACAACACATCATGAGGCGTATGATGTTTCGGAAAGTGAGAGTGAAGATGAAGATGCAGTTCCTCGGCCTATTAGCAGTCCTCCACCTAGTGAAACAAGCTCAGTTACAACATTGGAGAACCAGGGACAGGTATTGGCCATAGAAGCAGATCTGCGTAGAGAGAAAGCTTTCAAGATTGCTATGGAGTTGCTGACAACAGAGAGAAGTTATGTTGCAGTCCTTCATTTGATAGACCAGGTAATTATATTTCAGACAAAATTTGCTTACTGCTATCTGAAAAATTATTGTTTCTGAGTTAAATTATATTGTAGATTGATTAATAATGCATCACTGACTTACTTGGCTAATGAGAAAGATTTCTGTTGTGATGAGTTTAGATTCTTCTCCTGACCAACAGGTCATTATGTGGGGTTTCTGGTGGAGAAGTGGCACAGTGGCAAGTTTTTTGGGTTGCTTCAGTTTTCTGTGTCAGTTCTCATTTAGTCAGCTGCCCCATATTCATTAGTCATGCTATCAGTGATTTCATATAGTGTCGATGCTGATAGCGTCATTGAAATCCAACGTAAACTTGAGCTTCAACCAATGCACTGGCTATTTTTACTCCTCGGTGGAAATCTTCAGACAGGGTTCCTTTAGGCTGTTTGCCACCTCCGGCCCGCCCTCCATCTTTACAGCCAACTGTGAAAGGAACATGTTTTTTTTATTGCTAGTGGGGTGGGACTAAGTCCCTTGTACTGCGGCCACTTCTGGCCTGTTGTACCAGCCCCAGATGATAGGTGAGGATGATTATGGAGCAATTGGTGGAATGAAGATTGGCAAGGGAAACTGAAGTACTCTGAGAAACCCTGCCCCAGCGCCACTTGACCAGACCTGGGATTGAACCTGGGCCACTGTGGTGGGAAGCCAGCGAGTAACACTTGAGCTATGGCATGGCCCTCGGAACATGTTACTTTAGGTTGCCTCATCAGTGCATGTGAATTGCCTCTTCAATGTAAAATGCTTCATAAAACCTAGTCACAATGCAGTTCTAACTTCGTATTTGTAAATGTTTTAGGCAGTAGTTACATACACATGATATATTAAAAAAAAGGAATTAAAGTGCCGCATATAATATGACAGTAAATTCTGATACAGTATTCTAACCTTTTCTTTTCTTCTTTTATAATCAGTTTAAGCAGAGAATTTGTCTGTGGGCCTTCCACTGATCCTATGGCTGGTCAAATAGGAAGGATACATATGACTCATCAGTTGATAGTGCAAACCAATAGCCTGTACACATAATTTATATCTTTGAACAGCTACTGTGAAGTGAGCGTATGTGTAATGTGGCTGTTGACTGTAATCCCAAGCTTCTGCCACTGTACCGGACATTCAGTCTGTGATGTTACTTCGTGTGTCAAAATGCCATGAATTACACATTAAAACAGATGTTTGTGTGAAAACTGAGGAGAGGATTGTGGCATAAACTGCAGGATATTACAGTTCCAAAAAAAAATCTATGTATACAGTCTAAATACATTTGGACAGACAGAAACTTTATTGGACAAAGAAAGGGCAATCAAAATGCTGAGTGTTCACTGAAGAGAAATTCCATGAAATTGGTGCTAGGCTTGAGTATCCTCCTTGAAAGTTTCTTACATGCCTAGCAGAGGAGACAGGAGTTTAAAATTTCACATTTTAGGTTTCACATTTTCTCGGTTTCTGAAGGACTGCAACATGTGAGTGCGAACTGTCTAGTTTGTGCAATTAATGTGCGCATAAAAACAGGCGGAAGAGTGGAGAGTATTTTTGATGTCTGCTGTCATGTGGGTGGGTTTTCCATACAGTGTGTTAGTTGGTCTTAGGGCTTGTCAGTTGTGCTGTGAATTCAGTCAGGCATGGAAAGAGTTGACACTAAGAGCATGGATCTGACTGAGCAATGTGTGGCAGGCTGTCAGATCACTTCCTCTACATTTCTTACATGTGGCAGATTTCACCACATTATTCTTCTATTTTTTTTTTTTACAGATCTTTCACTTTCGATTAGACCAAGAAAACCGAGCCCATAACATGTTTCCTCAGGAAGTGATACCTCAGATGTTTTCTAACATAAAATCTATCTACCAGTTCCATCATGATTTTCTCTTACCACAGCTGGAAGCCCGGATGACAAACTGGAACCAGGAAGCCAAAATTGGCAAGTTGCTGTAGTCATGTTATTTTTCAATTAATGCAAAACTGAAAATTGTAGGCCTGCTTTACAGGAACTGGTTTCATCAACTTTATTACATTGATTGGAGTTTCCTTTCATTTATTGAAGATCTGAATTAATAAGTGTAAACTTCATGACAGTAATTCACCTTAATACATTTTCAAGCCAGCTGTGTTATTTACTGCACTTATATATCCAGTTGTATGTGATGGGCAGTTTAATTTATTCTTTAATGCATGTTTGTTTTAACGTTACTTTACCATTTCTTGGCGTTTCTAAGTACTAAATAGTAGATTGGTTTTGACTTCCATGGTGTTAGATTTATAAGGTGTATTTTGTTTCATTCTAAGTCCCCCAGCTTTTAGTTTACTTTCTAAATCAAATCATATGATTTTTGGGGTGAACATGCGAAAAATGCTCTACCTCCTGGAGGTTGAGCTAGAGCAATGAACCCAGTCAGTATGTGAAGCTATGAAGATATATTTGAAACATGTTCTATTGAACACAGGAATATGCACCAAGCCAAAATATACAGCTACAATTATTTTTATTGTGAAGTGTAGGCTGCTTATATGGCCATGCATTTGATGATTTGCTTTGCTGCATCTTATATAGTGCAGTGTTGTAAATATGAATGATCCCCAAAACTTCTAAAGTAAACACAAGATGTAAAGGACATGTTAATTTCGGTTTTCTAGACCGGATCCGCTACTTTTCCATTCGAGTAACTCCTCAATTATCCTCATGAGGCTGAGTGGACCCCGTTCCAGACCCACTAGTTCACAGAAAATCTGGTAGTGCCGGGAATCGAACCCGGGACCTCTGGATCTGCAGACAGGAACTCTGACCACTAGACCACAACATAAACTGAAAGGAATGAATTGGAAATTATTCTAGTAACCACACTTTTAATATTCTTCAGCACATAACTCTCTTTTTGCAGGTGATATCATGAAGAACTTTGCACCATTTCTGAAATTATATACAGAATATGTGAAGAATTTTGACAATGCAATGAATATCATAAGTGCAATGGCAGCTAAATATCAGAGATTTGCAGCAGTGATGGATGAAATTCACGTAAGTAGAAACATGGACTGGAAATGGTCATGACCTTGTTTCATTTTTGTGACAGTGAATCTCCCCGGACCTGGGGGAGACAAGGGCTAGCTCTATCTATTGGACCCAACTGAGTGTGTTTTACCGAGGACAGGCCGGAATCCAGTCTCCGAAATGTGTTTTCAAAAAGAAACAGGATGGTTTTTAGAAAATAGACAAGATGATGGATGATGTCCAAAAACATAATACTTGTATTCTAATGATTCTTGGAGCCAGGCAATAATTGCTCGAACTGGATTAAACTGTGTTAAGAAATGGAATACTTTAGAAGAGAACTGTAAAGCTTAGTGGAGGAAGTGTTGTATGTCATATCAAACTGTTTCATACAAATTGCTTTGGAGATTATTGCCCTTAGCAGTAAGGTGCTTTGGATTCCATCTGTGACAGCAGTTCATAATGAGACTGGTTTGCGTCTTGAAGTTAAAAAGGTAAAGCTAATCCTGTAACAGGCTGTGAAGGCCCATATTGTTGTGAGATGTCAAGGCTCCCACATTTTCCCTAGACAGTTGATTCATAGATGGCGATACGTTTGTCAGCCTTATGTGCCGGCCACCCTTAACCCCCCATGAAGATTCCTGGTACTCATTTCTGTTGTAGCCTGAGTCGACCCCAGGGCCATAGTACAGCTGGAAGGATTAGGTAAATTGAAAAAATCCACCTCATCAGGACTTGAACCTGCAACCTTCCAGCTCGTAGCATAGTAGCTATGGAATGTAAAGATAAAGCTTGAATGCCTGTTCATGTACCAGAGTAAATGTAAGGCAGAACTCAGGGTTGGAAATTTCATTGCTGACATGTCCATTGTATTTAGTAATGATATATCAACTGCTAGTTTTATTTATGAGTTCCTCATTTTGTTTTTTATGTTTTGTTGGCCTTTTTTCTTTCTGGATCGTGTATCATATAGACAGACGATGTAACATTTATGAAATTAGCTGTGGGGCTTGTCACTGGTGGTGAGTGGGAAGCTGGCATGGCTTAGTTTAGGGTGGCCCAGAGGGACTAAGGAAACCTGTAACAGGATCACCATTCCCCAGCTAAGATTCATATCAGGTCCTGTCTGCTAATTAAATAGGAGTCATATTCACTTCCCCACATTTATCTTTGGTTACGAATTACACTAGATATTTTATTATTTTCAGAGAATGCCAGAATGTGGGAATCTCACGTTATCTCATCACATGCTGAGCCCAATACAGCGCATTCCACGTTATGAACTACTTCTTAAAGATTATCTCAAGAAGTTGCCTGATGATTCAGATGATAAAGAAGACACAGAAAGTATGTATGCTTTTGTAATAAGAATATGTGCTGTTTATCAGCGTCATAGAGGTATAGCACTTACTCCTTCTTTTATTTGAAGACATGCTGAGTTGCACAGGATCATTGTTTTTGGTTTAAATATAAATGAAGGTGAACCTGTTGAGATTTCAGAATAAGATCAATAATTACATTAATTGTACATCAATTTTAAATTGAATTTTACCACAGAATGAACAAACTTGTCTGTATGAACAGTGAGTCCATTCTCACATTAAATTTTGCTATATTTAGCTGTTCTGTATGTCTCTGGTGCATCATAACTGGCTGTGATAACTTGGTTCATTTTAAGGTAACATGTGGCACACTGGTTACTCCTGTCCTTTTGTCCATGACATCTTTGCCCAAGTGATTATTTTTGGCAATCTTCTTTTCTCTAATCTTATTTCTTTCCTCCGCCCTTGGAACCCAAGCTACCTTTCACATGACACTTAGTCTGTTTCTTTGCCCAACATATGTTGAACTTCACAGTTATGTAAGATTTGAGGTTTTCACGGCACTGACTATGAAGAAAGCAGTCTTCTGGGATGTGGCACAGTGTAGATGTGGTGTTAACCGACGTTTCGAAGGAATGTATCGCATCCATCTTCAGGGTGGAAGGAAAAATAAGAAATCTGCAAGCGAAGAGACCGTGAGAACCGGTACAAGCACGTCTCTCTCATAATACTGTTTTCATGTCTCTTTCCATTCAGAAGCTCTTCACTTGGTATCAACAGCAGCAAATCATGCAAATGAAGCAATGAAGAAAATTGACAAGTTTAAGGAGCTATTGGAAGTGCAGGAGAAAATCAGTGGCGCTGTGGACCTGGTTAGCCCAACACGAGAACTGCTGAAGGAAGGAAAAATTGTCAAAATTTCAGCCCGCAGTGGGGACCATCAGGAGAGGTACCTTTTCCTGGTTAGTATCAGTTGGTGTGCCGACTATCAGTATGTTTATGCTATTTGTAATGTAGATAGAATCAGCACACTAGGAAAGTTAGTTTGCTGTTTAGTTGAAGTAACAACATGCTGGATTGCTTTATGTCTTCTTGTCTGTCCATGTCCTAATATTGATAATACCCTATTTTTAACTTATCACTTATCTCCCACTCTTGTGGTATGACGTGACTCCAACACTGTACTGCCAGTAACTGTCAAGAAACTTGCTCCCCACACTGACTGAGCTCCAGTGCTGTTCTGGATGAGATAGTGAAAAATGCAATTCCCGCCAGTTCTTGATGAAGTACATGCATCCGTATAGTCTGTACCCAGTCACTTTACAGATTGAGGTATTGTAGTTATTTATTTCATCTCTATAGATCATTGTTACATGATATAGGACAAGTCAGTTACTGTACATTGGCTGATTACAATAAGAGAATAAAGTTACAATACTTAAAATTGTTTACAGTAGATTACAGTAGATTACAATAGTTAAGATATCTTATAGTGTGAGGTGGAATCCATATTAGGTCCCCTCAGCACGTTGGCTTCCATATGTCCTATTGTACCTGTACTGGTGATAGCTCATATCCTGTATATTTTTAATAAACCCATGAGTGGACACAGATATGAAGTGTGTCAATTAAGTACATGGTTTTTGGTAAATCAGCTTCACCGGTGATATAGTGCTATGCAAAAAATTAAATTGCTTCGAATGCCTGAAGCAAAACAGCATTAGTGTTATACTGTTCGTATCCATCAGTAGAATTAACTTATGAGTCCCTACTTGAGTACATGAAAATCAGGTGTTTGTACAGGGCAACAGTCTTATGTTCAGTTTTGGTTGTGCAGGTACGGACCTCTTATCTGGGAACCTTGGGACATGATCTGAGCCAGATTTATGGATTTTCTGGGGTCAGGGTTGGGTAAATTGCTGCTGGTCTGGCCAGCACAGTTATTGTTGGTTCCTAGTCCTACGGTATTCATGACCATATTTTACTGTCACAAGACTCTTGGAGTAGTGCAACTGACCCTGGTTTTCATGGATTTCTGTTTGTAGACCATATGTGGCAGGTAGAAGCACCTTTCTCTCACTTGTTTACGCTCAGTGCAAAATGCCGTGCTGTAGAGCCTCCCACTAACCACCAGACTTCATACTGGTCTTATAGACAGGTCTTTGATGAAGATTCAGGATTAAATAGCCACAGGAATGATGGAGAAACATGTGTGCTTATGCTAAGCATCATTCAGGCAAAGTATCCCTTTTTTTAATTGCTAGTAGGGTGGGACTAAGTCCCTTGTACCAGCCCCAGATGATAAGTGAAGGTGATTGTGGAGCAATTGGTGGAATGAAGATTGGCAGGGGAAACCAAAATACTCGGAGAAAACCTGCCCCAGTGCCACTTTGTCCACCACAAATCCCACTTGACCAGACCCCGGGATCGAACCAGTGAGTCGAAGTCAGTGACTAACCGCTTGAGCTGTGGCATGGCCTAAGTGTCCCATTAGTGCCATCAACCTGTCAATTTAGAAAGTAGCGGATGATGAAGAAGTGGTCTTGCGCCTGTTTAAGAATCTGTAGTGTATATGACTGTGCACCAGATCTGAAAGCAGATTCTCAGCTTAAAAAGCTGTACCTTAATTCAATTTTTCCAGTTCAGTGATCTCCTTTTGCTGTGTTCTTCCCGCCTGCTGCCAGCTGGAATTTCAGCAGCATATCGTCTGCGGGCTAAGTTCTGGTTAGAGGACACCCAGATTCTGGAGGGTGATGACCTTGTAACTGAAAACACATTCTACCTCAGAGATAGCCATAAGAATGTGGAGCTATATACACAGTGAGTAATGTGAAGCTTAACTAGACTCAGCTGACTGATTCCATGGAGTAGATTCCTGCTTGAGAAGCGAATATATACCCAGGTGATTGAGAAATTTTAGCCTTATATGGAACCCAAAGGTGTGAAGGTGTGATGAAAATAGCCCATCAGTGACCCTTGTCTTAAGCCACATGAATCCATGCTGTCATGACTTAGTTAAGAGCCAGTTAAGACCCATTTTTTATAGTATCCCATCTGTGTCTAGGTCTTCCAAATGAAGTCTTTCCACTTCTCATCTTTCCCATGCATGTCCATGCCCTTCCTATTTCATTTACTCTTTGTAATAATATTGTAACATGTTTAGGTGACTGAGACGCGGGTTTGGATTAGTAATTAGTTTTATTAACAACCTACAGGTTGTAACTATAATTAATTATAACACTGTTACTGAGTTATGCAGTTTACAACCACTACACACTGATCTCTGTAGTCTATCTGCAGTAGTCTTCACAGGTTTATAACACGGGAACTATAGCAATGTCCCTGAATCACACACCCCACTAGGCAGGCAATGGCAGTGAGTACCCCGCATACATATTCTATAACAGAATTGGCATCAGGATGTTGTATGGTATTTTCATATTGCAGTCTTAGAGGTTCAGTCAGGTTTGACCAGAGCTTTTGAAATTCTGGGGTAGGTTCATTAGCCATGGTACGAGGTACCATTACTGTCCTGTCCTATGCTGTTCACCAGTCATGAACTCGTCCTGCCTCGTCTAATTCTTTATTTGGGCTCCTGTCTATAACAGCGGCACAGACCACATATAAAACACTGCTTTCAACAGTTCCTCTGTTGCTGTCATGGAAACCAGTTGTTTACCCAGCCATTGCCTAGTAATAGATATTTCATCTCACTCAGAATTCCTGGGTTTCAACCTGTAAGTTGCAGTATGATACATTTTACTTGAGGTGAAAAGTTGTCTGTTTTCAGAACTGTGGAAGAGAAGACAAGCTGGCTGGATGCTCTGTGTACTGCTATTGAAGAACTTTATAAGAGGAAGTCGTCATTGAAGCTTGGAACAGAATGTTCCAGTCCCGTGGATATGCAGAAGCCTCCGAAGTATATCAAGATGGATGTCATACACAAGTGTATGGATTGTAGAGCCAGTTTTGGTGTCATAAAGCGAAAGCATCACTGTAGAGCTTGTGGAATGGTTAGTGAAGCACTGACACCTGCGGAATATTTCACTGCAGTAGGATTCATATCTCTTTAACATCTGAGGCATGACCACTGATATCATACAAAAGAGTAAGAGATGTGCTGCATTGCCCAGTTTAAGTCCACTGCAGCAAGTCAAATATCATGTGCACTTGGACAGACTTCTCATGAACTCAGATGAAACACTTAGAAAGGGCCATATTTTTCTGAATGTACAGGAATAAACCCCACGTTTTTAGGCCAAGCGGTTAACATTTTAGGGTTTTTTTTTTGGGCCATGTTTTTCTGAATGTGCAGGAGCAAACCCCACATTTCTAGCCCAAGCAGTTAACATTTTAGGGTTTTTTGGGCCATGTTACATTTATTTATGCTTTTAAATTTGTACTCAAGTGTACAGTTTTTTCACAGGTGGTGTGTGGAAAGTGTTCAAACCAGAAGCATCCTCTTCAGTTCGAAGAAAACAAGCCTTCACGTGTGTGCCGTACTTGTTACCAGAAGCTTGTACAGCAGAGATCAGCCAGCCCAGAAAGGATTGACTCTGATCCTGAGAATATAAACACCAGTTTAGCCAGAGGAAAAGGCTTGCTAGAGGTATAGCACTGTATTTGAAGTTTTAAAAATATCTGGTGGATTCAGTGTGAAAGGTACAAAGCATGTTCATACAGGAATGTTACATCTGTCTCATATCTAGGAGGTGCTTTGTTTGAGTCCTGGTTCCGGACTGACCATCCTGACAGATTTCATGATGGTTTTCCTTGTTAGCTTGAGGCAGTTACCAAAATAATGCCTTAAAGAATACCATGACCACTTTCTGCCATATTCTCTCCTGTTCGTTATCAAAAATTACATGAAGGAATTTCATATTACAAGACTTACGTTAAATACAGTAAAATAATTTGTTTTCATAAGTAGTTAAATAAACTGTTTCTACATGAATACAGTCACCTAATTAATTAAATTAAAATAAACAATGTATACGAGATACATTCTGAAAGTATGTAATTTTTTTTTTTAATTTTTTGGGGTGGGGTGAGACCTACTGGCTATGTCAGCCACTGTTTGGCCTATTGTAACAGCCCCGGATGGTTCATCGGTTGATGGTGGTGGCAGCAGCGGCTGCGTTGTTGGCGGAATGAGCGGCAAGGGAAACTGAAGTACTTGGATAAAGCGTTCCCCAGTGCCACCTTGTCCACCACAAATTTCATATGATCGAACCTGTGTCATGGTGACTAAGCACTGGCATGGCCCTGAAAGTGTATAAGTCGAGAAGCAGTATGGTTGTGGCACATGTTCAGAAGTGACCTTATGCTGGACTACACAGTGTCATATCCCATTTTCATTATATTCCTTTCTTGTCAGCAGTACAAATGATACAGTAGTATTTAAATGGCTGTTGTGATGAACATTTGTATTTTATAATGACATCAAGCAGTTTCTTGAGTGTTTTAATGTCAGCTGCTTAATTAACTTTTAATATTGATGTTGTGTGTTCTGTAGGTGGCTGCTGATGCTGAATGTATTCTCAGTGGATACTTGCAGCTAAGAACAAATAAATCATGGGTTCGAAGATGTTTTGCTCTTCATCCTGATTTTGTACTATATTCCTTCCGATCACACAAGGATCAGCGTGCTATCACTGCCACACCCATACCTGGTTACACCATTGTTAAGGTAGAATGTACTGATTGTGTAAATCAAATTATTATATGTGGAAGTTGTATGGTTATGTCTCTTTCCCCTTTCACTCTTACATTTTGTGAGCATGCATGGAAAGAAGTAAAGAAAACCTATTATTATAGTTGAGGAATTACAGTTATTGAGGTTTTAAAGTTTGGTATTGAAGAGAATGTGTTTCTTAATTTTACAGGCAGTGGAGTTGAAGGGCGACTCTTTTGGTGATAAAGAGAAAGTTTTCAAGATGTATCACACAAAGAAGGTGTATTATTTTCAAGCAGAGTCAAAGGATGTTGTTGATAAGTGAGTGATTAGTATGCTTTCATATCTACTAGCTTTTAAGTTGGTGATTTTCAGGCATTGGGCAACTGGCTACAGCTCTTCATAATAAAGCTGTTCTGTTTTCAGTTGGGGGAAGATTCATGGAATTGAGCACATCTGACGGATTAATGTACGTCCTGTTAAAAAAAAAGTGTCGTGAGAAACATTAGAAATTCATGTAGGTCAGGCAGAATTCAATTGATAATTACTGAAGTAAATATATTAGGCTTGTACTTGTCAAATTTTCAAGACTGAATGTGGAAGATGTATTTCTCAGCCTCGATTGAAATATTAATGGTTCAGCATTGAACTTTGAGAATTTTCTAAGACTACTTTTGCTATAGCAAGTGTCACATAACTTCGAACAAGGCCAAGAGTAGCCTTGAATGCACAGAAGAAAAATTTCAGACAAGGGGGTGGGTTCAAAGGTGTGAGAGGTGACAGGCGGCCAGTTGTTTGTGAGGCACCCTCGAAGCAGGTTATACTTACGCATTTTCTATCATCTGTTTAAAAACGTCAGTTTCCTTGTGCACTAAATTGTACATAATGAGTAAGAAATTAGGTCAGGGTATAGGTCTGTTATAAGTTCATGGAGGTAGGCCTAGGCCCACTGGGGCTGTAGTGCCAAGGAAAAAAAATAGGTCTATTATATTTTTATTTTCAAAGTATAAATTAGTAATGCACATTAAATGTACTTGTCTTTGCATGACGATTGACAATATATTTGTATTATTGTAATATGTTCTTCGATAAGGAAATAGAGTAGTTTCAATGAAACATGTGAAAGTGGAAAAGTGAGTGTTAAGAAACTCTTCCCTCCACAAGCTATGCGCAGGATTTCGCTAGGAATGCGGGGCCTTGTTTGAAGTTACGTGACACTGTCTGTAACATCCTCACACCTCTTTCTCACCACATTGCTGATTAGTGGTATGTATGTAGACCTCTACTGCCAGCTCTGGCCGTCTTCCAGAAATGTTATAATTAGGGAGACTTCCAAGAAACAGGTGCAGAATAGGATGCCAGTAATGTGATTTAAAAATTGGGTTATTTTGGAAAGGTGTTAGGTTAGTAACTGCTGACTTCTCTTCAGGGCTTTTACGGGCCTTATTCCAACAAGATGGGAGAAAAATTAACGCATATCATGCACAAGTCGTAAAACAAAGATTAACTTTAATCACAATATTATTCATTACACACAAAACATATTTGAGGTTACTATCAGCCCTCTTTAGTCTGATATTAATGAAACGGAGTCGTGTCTCTTTGTTACACATGTACACAGAAGAGCATCACTTCTTCACCTACCATCGTACCGTCTGTAAAAATGACCATGAAACTGAGAAATCAGCCCTGTGCTCCAAAATGGGAGCGAGAGGAGAGAGAGAAAATGTCAGATCATAGAACATCTACACTTGATACAATATCATTAAATAATTGGGGATTATTCCAACAATGAAATGTAATATATATGTGGTTTGTGTACATATGATCCTCTTTCAGCAACCAAGGAAGTCAAGACAATTTCATCACAGTGATGGTTGATGGAGGGAATCTCTATAACATGGACTGTGTTAATGACTACTTTGTATTTGTGATAGGTGGGTCCACGTCCTGCAAATGGCAGCACTAGCAGAACTTCCTTCTCCTCAGAAAACAGAAGGGAGGTGAAATCAAAAGAGAAGTCTTCACATAATAGTTTGTACCATTTTTAATGCTTCATTCTGTGTTAGCTGCATCACTCAAAAAAACTGATTAGATCTCATGTATTAACATGTCCTTTGTATTTTGGACATAAATGGTAAATGCATAAATTCGTACGCAGTGGATAATCATGTGATAGCTGCGACTACCATCACACAATAAATAATGAAGAGTGTGCTATGTTCGCTTTGGAAAATAATGAGGTAATGTACTTTCTCATATACATGGTGTAGGCGGAGTACAGTGATGGAACTAAGATAAGATTTTAACAAGAAATATGTTCTAGGTATTCCTGTCTTCAGGGCAGTTATTTTGGATGTGCTGTCTTTGGGCACTAGTTGGTCAGGCTTTGATAAATAGATGTCCGGTGCATGCCCAACCCCGATGTCTGCTTGGCCACCATGCTGCCTCATGCTTTCCCTCTCCTGTTATCATTCATGGTCTTACTAGCTTTCATATCAATTGGGATACAAATTTCTGAGGATGGTACTATCATACACATGTGAGTATTACTTAAAGTTTTAGTTATTTTATGTTTCATTTGAATAAAAATTAAAATATTTTATGTCTTCCACCATCTTTCCTTCTTTTTGCCCATTTCATCTCATAACGTATTCCTTCACTGATGCAGGATTACTTAATGTTGGATTAGAAACAATTGATACTAGTTAGTAAATTGTCATGTGACAGGTTGTAACACGGCAGTTATAGGTGGCAGACGAGTGATGTATTTGGGAAAGAGAAATTGAAAGGTCTTTGGAGGGGTACTTGATAGTCATATCTGCTTCCAGAATTTACTGCCAATTAATTCCCTAAATATTCTTCATGTTAGATGTAGACATTTACTTACTAATCAAGTGTTCCTTGAATATGAACTTAAAAGCTTCAAAAATAAAATTATATGGAAATAGAAACGTTAAGGAACAGCCATTCAAAGAAGAGCAATAACAACTGTTATTAAATCTTACGAGCTTATGAAAAGGAGGGTCTGATATAATACATGTCACATGACCTTCCCCTCTCTCAAAGAGAAAGAAATGTACTTTTATTTCTACTCACATAATGTGTGCGAGAAAGTATATACAGTGTTTTTTGCAGTATTTAGTTTATGAAAAGTATTAAATTATGTATAGTTCATAAAGTATTTAATGGAATCAATTGCGTTACTGATATTGTTATGATTTGCATTCTCAAAATGAGAACATGTCTGTTGTGCATATTTAATATGTAAAATTCTTTGTAAGTGATATTTTGAATTTGAATTTGATTGACTTCTGTGTGTGGTTTGTTAAGATCAGGAGGTGAGGTAGCTGGAAGTTGCATCTTGTTTGAAGGTTAGTGCAGTGCAGTTATACTTGGGGTTCCAGAAATATCAAAAGTCTAGTCTGGTGCTGAAATCAATATGTTGTTGTTTCAGATAGCTCCAGTTGTTCACCTAGATGTCCATTTGTTCCGCACTGAGCTTGAAATCAGTTTAGCAGTTATAATCGGAGTAATCGGAGCATGCAGTATATATAGAATTTTGCGTCTTTGGTTGGTTCTCGAAACACCATACCTCAATTACTTAAATGTTTCTTTAAGATTAACATTTGCAAGTGTACTTGTATGTACTCACTGAATTGCAGGAAGAACATATGTAGTCTGAACCTCGGAATACACATATGTTCACAACCTGCGGTACTTTTCTTTGCTGCTCCAAAGTAAGCTTGGTAATATTTGGCTGACGTCACTCTGCAGTTCTGAATTGTTCAGTGTTTGTTTATTTTCTCCACAAAACTACTATTTTTCTCAAACACATTCTAGGGTTACTTTTTTATAGATTGTATCGCTTTAAAATTCACATGTAAAAGATTATTATTATTATTATTATTATTATTATTGTGTTTGTATTACTGACATTTTCATTGAAAGTAGGCCAAACAATAAGCCAGCCAGAAGAAACAGATAAATATAACAGAAATGACATTTGCCAAATGAAATGCCTAGATGGTCCACTAAAATATATCAAACAGAAAGAGAACTTAATATTAGATACAAAAGACACATTGATGTCATCAGAAATTCTTTGGGCTGCTGTTGGAACCAGGCGGTGACTGGGATCATGAAGGCATGCTGCTCACCGCATTCCAGCCTCAAGGACAAACTGTAAATGCCGACTCCTACTGTAACATCCTCAGGAATCTTCATGAAGCCATTCAATGGAAGTGACCAGGACTCCTCACCGAAGGCGTGTTGCTCTTGCATGACAACGTGCGTCCCCATACTGCCAACAAGACAAATGAGACGCTGCGAAATTTCAAGTGGGAAGTCTTCGAGCATCCGCCGTATAGCCCTGACCTTGCTCCAAGCAACTTCCATTTGTTCGGCCCTCTCAAACATCATCTTTTGGCTGAACACCTGACGATGATGCTGTAGAAAGGGAAGTCACCGCCTGGTTCCAACAGCAGCCCAAAGAATATTATGCTGCTGGTTTTCAGGGGCTTGTGAAACAATGGGACAAGTGCCTCAATGTACAGGGAGATTATGTTGAGAAATAAAAGCATTTTTCACATCAGTACTCTTTATTTGTTTACGTTCTATATCCATTTGTAACTTATTGACTTACCCTTGTATATGTATGCTCAGTTACAAGTTCCATCACTGTGAAGGCATAAGTTCATGGATATCTCTTGGAATTATGGTATTTTAATACAGTGTTCAGCAGAATATTTATGATTTTTTCCAAATAACAGGAACTGAAAAACTTGTAATAATTCTAGCTTCAGCACTGTGAAATGTGCCTGTTAATGAGCTGTCTGTCTGTATTTGCAGTTGGTTTGATTGAGGGTGGAAGTTGCTGTGTGTTTTCATCTTAGCTGCTTTTGTTATATACCAGTTATTTTCTTTTATGTTTGATGTCCTTTTATTTCAGGTGACATATTGCTAGTGATAGTTATTGGCTTCTGATGGTATATTTGTCTTTAAAGATGGGAAATCATGGATTTCCATAAAATAGTAAATCATCTGTCCTACATGTTCACAGGGCTCTTTTCTGTATATAGTATCTGCATGATGTTATTGCTACAGACTGAACTGCTTCACTTAATCTTGTAAGCTTTATTGTGTTATGGTGTATGCATTATATTTAGTGACTTGCAACAATTCTGTGATAGGTTTCATCTAGTGGTTAGCTTGTGCTTCTGTTTTTAAATTTTGGTCGTGGCGGAGGGCAGGTTGCGTGTCTGAAAGCGAAGTTGATGTGCACGGATTTAGTTTCGTTGGCCTTAATTCTCCATCGTTGTAGCCATTCTTCGAATTGGTCTAAGTGTGTTTGCAGTATCCGGGATGCTTCAGCAGGGTTCTCATGAGACGCTAGTATTGTTGTGACGTCAGCATAGGTGGGAAGCATTGTTTGTCCGGTTTCTGGCAAGTCAGCTGTATATATGGAGTATAACATAGGCCCTAGGATACTTCCCTGTGGAATTCCGGATAAGACGGTATAATTTGGTATAGACTTCGTCGTATTTAACTAAAAAAGTTCTGTCGGTATGGTAGGACTTTAATAGGGAATACATTGGATGTGGAAGAGCGCACTTAAGTTTGTATAACAAGACTATGTGCCATACTTTCCTCAACATGAACTGCTCATTTATAAACTCCACAGTAAAGAGAATGTTGCACTTTTAAAATGTTCACATTGTGTCATTAGGCCCATACCAGAGCAATTGCATGCCCTTTTTTGTTATTTTTTTTTATAATGACTTTTGCATATCATAATGACCAGAGAGACAAGCTGTTGCACATGCAGTGTTTAATGTGCAAAACATGTAACAATAGTAACTGGTTAAATGTAACTTTTACTGAACTCTGACCATCTTAAGTGCCCAAGGACATATTGTGATGTTTAATTTAAAGTGTATTTTGTTTCTTGTAATGTTTAAATTTTAAAGTATATTTTATTTGAAAAGAAAAATAGTTAGGTTTATGTAGAGATGAGATTATAATTTCAGAAAGGTTATGCACAGTAATTTTTAGGATTGTTGTTAGTGAATGAATTAAAACTTGTTATATTATCTGTGTTTTTGTTGGGGGGGGGAGTCGCCATCACAGTAAATTGCACATGTGCAGATTTATGCCAGTGTTTGAAAATATTATTTGGATACTGAATGTTGTAATATTTCTGCATCATCAAGCATACTGTCACCCTGTTTTATGTGAATTTCCGCTTGTGTACCCAGTATTAATATAAAAGGGTTCTGGGTTAGATACCAGAATGGGAAGAAACAATCCTGATATCAGAATTAGAATAGTTGCTTGAAGCTTTAATTCGCAGAATTGAGAAACTGCAGTATTGTGAAACAGTACTGGGGGGAGAGCTTAATGCCAGTTATATTTTATTTCAAAACTGTGATACATATAACGTGAAATTTGATCCCAAAGCAATTGAAGTGTTTACATGCCTGTTCTGTAGTTACAGATTTCATTAATAAAATATGAATGTATTCATTCTTTATGCTCTGTAGTGCAGTAATATCCACAGTAATTTCCTCTGATTTCAGGAATGTTTGTTACTTTCAAAATACATATTTGTTTTCAAGCGTGTATATATTTTTTATATAACTTTTGTTACAACAACTGTTGTGGATTGAGTGATTACCACTTCTCATTTTTGAGGAGTCATTGGAGGCTAGCCATATTGATAGATTTTCCTCAGTCACTTCAGGCAAATACTGGAACAGTAAGTCGTAGAAATTTTCAGGTCTTTTGCTGTCAATCACAGATGTCGCGTCATCCAGTGTTATTTATACGTAACGTATGGAGTTTAGAAAGCATTGTTGAGCCAGCTAAAACACTGTTAAATTACATTCGTAACACATCTGAAATTGGAAATGTGATAAAATTATTTCATTAAATGACGCCAAAACTTGCGAATTTATAGAACAGGGAAACAAACCGATACACAATGAGCACCTTTCTTACGACAGTTTGCTGCAACCAGGCAATGATTCTTAACGTGATACTACCATTTGGCTTTAATTATTTTAAATATGATAACGTTAATATGAAAATAAAGTAACGTAGTTTTGGCTTGTGACTTGCTTTTAAGAAGAAAGCTTAATATATTTGAATTAATGCGTACATATGGACAGCCGATATGGATCGTTGAGATCGTTAAAAAAATCACATGCACAGGAGAAGCGTGTAACTACTCACATGTTAGTGATCTGAGTTGTCTTCACTTGCCCGTGAACTGTAGACTGCTGGAATGAAAGCGAATGTGTCCCAGAAACGTGACTAACAAGAGACAAAGACAGCCTCGTAGATTTAGGGAGCTCACGGTAATGACTGAAGATTACTATCTTTAATATGTCACGCTGGTGTAGTCCGTAGCTACCTGCTCACGCTGTTTTCTCGCTGGCGGATTTTTCTACCCTGAGGATGGAGGCGATACGTTCCTCCGAAATATCTGTTCACATAAGATTAACACGGCGCCACATCCCAGAAGGCGGCATACTTCATAGTGTGATAGAAGTTCACTGATGCTTCGAAGAAAAGTATTGCTACTTGCTTGGTTCACCCTTCGGCCCCAGAGATGGAGGTAGTGGGTTCCTACGAAACGTCAGATTACATGCCGTCACATTTTATAAGATAGTACTCTTCATCTGTTTATCTATTTGTGGTTTGTGTCACTAATTCAGATTATGTGATGTTGAATGAGTTGGAACGAATTTGGAAGGAAACGCTTTGTGGCAGAGTTGTAAGGTACCTGCTATTCTTGTGTTTGCCTGTAGGAACTGAAGGAAACCACAAAACATCAGAATAGTCGGTGTCATGACTGAGATTCGAAACGGAAACTTCCCGAATAGAAGCCAGAAATGTTACTGCTGAAGGCAGCTACCTTGCTCTAGTTTTTAACAAACTTAACATGTTGAAATAATCAAATAGATAATTTGTCGATTACATTGACGGGTACAATATGCCTTTACAATACGAAGACCAGCTAACTATATTAAGAATTGTTTGCGTAAGGAGTAATGAATCTAGACAAAACCCAATTTCATGACAGACTGAAAGGTGACTGCGTATATACATATATTTGATCTCGTAGTAACTACAAGTAAACTTGGAGGCGGTTCCGAATACCTCCACCGTAAGACTGAGAGTTTTAGGAGCGGTGCCTGGGTGTTTAACTAGGCCGTCCTGTTCCGGTGGGATATAAATACGGGGACCTGGCCCTTCATTTCGGTGGAGTATCGAATCTGAGACAGTAAAACGTGATCATGAATCCCACGGGACTCTGACCCGAGAGCGGCTGCTCTGGCGAGGACCAGCAGCAATTGTAAACAACAGACCCATCCTCTCGTCAGAGAGGCTGTTACATAAGGACCATAACCGCAAGTGTTCAGTTGGAAAAAAAATAAACTGGTCGTGAGTCTAAAGGGGCTTGTAGCCAAGACGAACTGATTAGCGGTAAGCCGCCAGTGCCTCTGACTCTGATTATGAAGTAAACTTCAAATTCAATGTCGTATGAATGTGTTTGCCATATTTTAAAGTTGTTTCTATATTTTCTCTCGTCTAGTCCATTCGATTTTTTTTATTAAATCTCGTGCTAGTTTACAGCCAGAAGCGCAAATGAAAAGAATTCTGAAGCATCGGCCAGTCATCTTCAGCAAACGTTTGCACCACGTGATGGATCAACATATTTAAGTACCATGAAATGGTTGTATTTAAACATAAATTGTGTTCTCTTACCAAAAGACCTGGGGTACGTAGGCTTAAATAGAAGGATCTCAAGGAAGCAAAATGCAACCGTGTTTGGGTTCATGGGCTGAAGATTTGGTTCCGTGTCAGGTTATTTTGAGCGTGAGAATAACAGCAGATTTTATAGAAGCCGAGGAATTTATTGCTTGACGAACGACTGTTAGATACTCAATAATGATTCTGTTATGTGAACTACCAGAGCCAGTCTTGCAGTCCTGAGGCCTTTATTCTCAGGAGACATTTGGATGCCATGTGTACTAAATCTCAGAACTGAACATTTGTGTACTGAAGAGTTCTGTCTTACGGGATATAAAGCCATGTAGTCTGGTGAGAGGCAGTCGGACAACATGGTAGTATATCCCAGGAAATAGCTCTCTTCATATCCACCGCTGTGAGTACCTCACATGCAAAGTTTTTGTACTTATACATGTGATTTTATGTTCGTTGAATGTATAATTTGAGTAGACTTCCATTGTTTATTAGTTTTACGTATGTAATGAAAAAGCGGGCGAGCATTGTCCTTAATGTACCCTAAATACGATCCACAGACTTCCGATGTTCAAACCCAGTATCAACGAAAAGTGTCCGCTAGTCAGGTACTGGGTCTCCTGAGCGCATACCAAATGTTAAGGGAAATGAACAGCGTAAATTTAGCCAATTATAACAAA